AGTATATATAACACTTGTTTTATCTTGTTTTTACCCTGTGCTGTTATGGCGATTTTCTGTTTCTGCATTGGCCTTCTTGCATATATATTGCAAGATTGGAAGACCACAGCAGCATTGCCAAAGATGAAATCCACAGTGCCATAAATGCAGCATTCCCTGTAGAACTGTCTTTGCGAGTGCACATAGAGAGTGTCTTGGTAGCCTTCAAATGCACACCGATAGAAGACTGAGAGGTCACCACCACAACGCACTGCCACTGCTTGGTGATTTTCTGGGCCTGCACTGTTGCGGAATGTGATGCCACGTCCAATGAATCCATCTCCTGTAATCGCTGTAAATGGTTCAAGTTCAATGATTATACACTCACTCACGATGATGATTGTGTAGTCACAGGACAAACACGTGAACAAATTTTGTACAGAAACTGTATTAGAGTGTGTTTATAAATTATTTTATGTGTAAGTTAGTTAAAATTTACTGTAAATTTGTTAGGGTGAAAGATTGGCCTATTAGCTTTTATATATATATATATATATGGTTGTTCTTAACAAAACTCTTACCAACGGTTGCCGAATTAAAAGTGGTGGAACCTCCTCCAACACTTCGGCTACCAGAAATAATGGTGAGCCTTATACCATCACCATACAGCATAACATTCTTCATAGAATTCTCAATCTCAATGTTTTCATTGTAAACCCCACGTTTCACATATATCACAAACCTCTTTTGACTCATCTTGGGGACTACTTTCAAAGCTTCTTTGATGGTCTCAAAGTTCCCTGAACCATCTTTAGCCACCACAACATCTGGTGATAACGATGGTGGTGACTCTAGAAGCTTCCTGTCGTTGGGAGATAACCATCTCGGGAAGCCATTTTTGTTAGTCTTTGGAGGAATGAATGAAGAAGCATTGTTAAGAGCCAAAAAGTCGCTTATGATCTCTGAGATATTCTTGTTGGGAATAAGGGGTAGAACATTGTCGACAACTCCAAGCTCATGGAACCCGGTTTGGCATGTCTCAATGTTGGTTAGGGCTGTGCTGAGCCATGTTTGGAGATCATAGCCTGTGCTTTGTTTGGTAGGGTGAAGTGCTTGGTTGAGAAGGTTGATGGTGTCTTGGTAGAGGGTTATGCAATCTGACCATGCTGTTTTTTCTTGCTTGCTTCTACATTTGTTTCCCAACCACATGATCTGACTTTGGGCTTTCACTGATTGGTGCATTGCAATTCTGAGGATGAGGTTCTTGAATTGAAATGCAGTTTTTGGGATACCATCTTCAAGGGGATGATAATTTACTGAGACAAAATCCTTGCATGTTTGAGGATGTGGGGTTTTATTGCACCAAAAATCAATGGCATTTGAGAAAAAGCTTGAAAGGGCTGGGGAAGAAAGAGAAAACAAGAATATGCAGACAATGATTAGGGTAAGACTTTTGGCCATTATTGCCGAGTTTTCTCTTAGCTAGGTAAATTGTTAGAACTAATGTTTATGACACAGTTCGGGTTCTTATATAAATAGGTTAAAAGTTATTCAAAATTCAAAAGCAACGCGGTGATTAATGCCGGCAAGGTTAATTTGTATATGAATATGAAAGTGATTGTTTAACATTCATCATTAAATCAAGATAAAAATTGTTTGAAGATTATATGTACTCTCTATAAACTAACTAATCTCGTTCGTGATATTATAAAAGTAATTGATCTGACAAATTTTTATATAGGATGAAGATTGAGCATGATAATTTTTTTTCTGTAGTTTTTTATAACAAATAAATCAACTTTGGTTATCTCACCCCTTCTGAAAATTGATACTTTTAACCCCAACAAGCAAATGACATGTTTCACATTCAGAATCAATTTTCTGATCCACCTTTGGAAACTTGTAAAGCATCTAATCTTTTAATATTAATCTATCAAATTCATTTGTGAATGTATAGTATAAAAACATTCTCAGTTAAATAATTAATGAATTTAATTATGCATTGATCTCATGAGGAACGTTGAAGGGTGTGGAGACATGAATATTAAACGGGTTTTGACTGAGATAACTCTGTGAAGCATATATTTGATGGGGTTGTCAAAGGGCAATGGTTGACTGGGTTGATTTTCAAACACATAATCATCATCGTAGAATTGCATATATGCATGAACTGCAATATTAATTAATATAAATGTGTTTCCTTGTAAACCTTTGTTTTGTTTTTTCATTTGTTAGGAATGTTCCTTTTGTAACATACCATGATGCTCTTACAAAAATAAAGTATTCAGTACACAACACAAGTAGAAAAGAAGGAAGGAGTGTCCACACTTGTTTTTGTCAAAAGGGTGCAAGAGAAAATATGGGGTGAAAAAGAAGAAAGGCCCAGTTATTCTAAGGTCAGGCCCATTGGATTTTGTCTTTGAAAAAACTAATTTTATGGAATTATATAATCCTTGTTTGATAAAAATTTTAAATATTTTTAACTTCGCTGCTTAGGTCCCACCGGGAGTCGAACCCAGGTCGTTGGATTCAAAGTCCAAAGTGCTAACCACTACACCATGGAACCAAGTACTACTGTTCAAAATTCTGTGTTTATTCATTTTATATTCTAGTTGTACAAAAATTAAATAAGTTTCAAATTTTTAATAATGATTTTTCTTTTGAATATTTATTTAAGTTAATTTAATTTCTTTTCAAATTTTTTAGACGGTAATAATATGTGAACTAAATCTTTAGTTACGAGTGTTTATTATTTATACTATTTATGAGAGTTATTTTAGTATATATAGAAAAATTATTGTTATATTTTTTTTTCATCTAGTTAAATAAATCATTAGTCAGAAGTACAAATTATTTATCTTTTATGTAAAAATTATTTTAGCACATAAACGACTCATTTTTATATTTTTTATTTAGTGAAGTAAATATTTAATTATGTAAAAATTATTTCATTACATAAAAAAGTCATTTTTATATTTTTTTTATTTAGTGAAGATACAAATTGTTTATTTTTTTTATAAAAATTATTTTTGTGATTGTAATACTTGAAATTATCTTTCTAGTTATAATCGTTAGTAACTAAAAATGATAATAAATAATACTCACGTTCTTAATTTTAAGAGGAGATTAAAGTTGATAACCAATAGGTAGTTAGAAGTAGCAACAAACAATACTCGTGCTTTCAATCTCAATAAGAGATTAAAGTTGATAGCTAGAAATAGTTCAGTGCAATTGTTTATAGTTAAAAGTTGTTTGATTTACTCAATGTAATTTTATTGATTATAATGAAATTTTTTAAATGCTCTGGCGACAACATTCTAATTGTACAAAATGCTGATAAAATAATTAAATAAGTTATTAAATTAATGCAATTGTGTATCGAATCACAGGAACATAATTATAGGAATGTACTTATTATGAAACATAATTTTATCTAAAAATAGTAAATAACAAAAAATTGAAGGTTGGTGACAATAAAACGAAAGAGAGAAAATAAATGAAAGCAAAATAACAAAAAAATTAAAATTAGATTATAGCATAATAATAACAAAAATTAAATTGAAGTAAAATAATAAAAATTTAAATAACTAGAGTTTATAGAAAAAAAACTAAGTGCTTTTAATTAAATTTAAAACTTTTTCTAATAAAGTGCAAAATCACAAATTACTTTTAATTAAAATAAAATAATGTAGTAATTAAATTTAAAATTACTGAAATAGACAAACCTAATTTTAAGTTGCAAATGACAATAAAAAACAGTAAAATAAAATTAGAAAATTGGAATAAAAAACAGTCAAATAAAATGGGATTGGCAAATAGAAAATAAGTCTGAAATTAATTATAATAAAATTAAATGTTTTCTCAGTTAAAAGTTTGCAACATCTGGATTATTGTGCTTGTGAGACATTTTTGGGATTGATTGAATCAATTACGATTCTTTCCTTATTTAAGTTGATTCAATACCAATTTGTATTTACTTTTTTATTTTTGTAGTCTTTAATTTACTTCAATTAAATTTTCAGTAACGAGTTAATTTGATTGGTTCAAATTTGTTTATCATAACATTCTGTAAGTGAGTTGCACAAGTAAATTTGAGTCGTTGATAAGAGTGAAACTCAGTTATACATGAAGCTTGTTGTAAATTTGAGGTATTTATTTTCATTAATTTGACATATCTCACATTACCTCTCATATAAAAAAAAAAAAAGAGAAATATGCATTGTGATGTATGAATGTATATTTTGATGCAAATGGTAACAAATTAAAAAAAAAATGAATTATGTTATATTTTTAATGAAACACATGTTAAATGTATAATTTACAAAGAAAAAAATTAGTTTAAAAATTATTTTTATTTTAATAAATAAATAATAAGATGACATAGACCATATTTTTAAAAGAGATTGAATATAATTCTTGATTAAAATGAATAAGTATTTGTGCAGTGTCTTTATCTAATTATCTTATATATTTACATATCTTATTCATTACTTATTTATTTTTAAAATAATACTTTAAATTAGTATAACTTTTTTTATTAAGAAAGAGATCTAATCAATCTTTTTTTAGAACTGACATATTCAGTTGGTATCAAATCTAACATCTTCATATTAGTTCTTTACGGATTAGAGGAGAAGATCTAATAGAAAACAAAAAATGTGTTGTAAATATACTACTCTTCTTTAAATATGAAAAATTTGATTACTGAAAATGATAAATGATAGCATTTTTTTAATCTTATCACGAATTACAAAAGTTTGATAAAAGTTTTAAATTTGTTTTGGGCCTAGGTCCCGCCGGGAGTCGAACCCAGGTCGTTGGATTCAAAGTCCAAAGTGCTAACCACTACACCACGGAACCAAGTGCAGATTCTAAATTTCCGAACACAAATACAGTGTTTATTTCAAATATATATGTTGATAATAATAAAATACAGGATAAATAAATAGTGTTCAAAAGAATATGAATAGTAGATGTCTTTACAGAAACTACAAAATATAAAACTTGCATACAACAGAAGCTCAAAGACCAGAGGTAAATGGCACAGTTGTAGAGCCCAACCACGTTGGGCCTGCAAGGAGGCGTGTGACTGTAAATTGAGAGGCTTCAGCTGGGCTTGTAATCACATGAAACCCGGGCCATTTCACTCTGTTACTTGTAGATGCACCAGGCCCATAGTTTTCATACTCACCATAATAAAGTGTGTCTTGAGCAAAGTTGGAATTATCCCATGGGGACCAGCCCAGTGGGCTAACCAAAGTGTCTATGAAAGTTTTCATGACCACAACTCTTGAGTACTGTTGCCATGGCCTACCCAAGAAGGTGTTGTATTTGTCAACAACGGGCCTGAGATCCGGGGCGGCCCGAATTTGAGAATTGTGGATGGAAATTCCGGAGTTCTGAAACGGGTCGCCCCGACCTTGGGCCGTGATCATGTTGGCTTGGCCCTCCAAGGGCTTTCTGGCGTAAATGTAACAATTTTGGAACACTACTGCTGCATTGCCAAATATGAAGTCAACGGTGCCGTAGATGTAGCATTGCCTGTAAAATTGCCGTTGTGCGTGGGCCATGAGGGTGTCTTGGTAGCCCATGATGGCGCACCGGTAGAAAACCGAGAGATCGGAAGCCGACCGGAGCGCCACCGCTTGACCCTTTTGAGGTCCGGCCGTGTTTTGGAAGGTGATGTCCCTTGCAATGAAGTGAAGACCATCTATGCCTGACATCAATAGTTCAAGAGTGATTGATTGGTTAGAAGAAATTCACATTTATATTATTTTAATGAAACTCACGTTGCTATCACTAAATTTATTTCCAAAAAATCATTTTGAAGAAGAAAAAGATGAAAATCACTCACCAGCAGTTGCAGAGCTATAAGTGGTGTAACCTTGTTGAACACTTCTGCCACTTGTGATTACAGTGTTTCTAAGTCCATCACCAACCAGCATAACGTTATCATTGTGCACAGCAACCTCAATATTCTCCTTATATACCCCTTTCTTCACATGTATCACAAACCTCGTCTTCACCTTCCTCTTTGCTGCAGCATCGAGAGCATCTTGCACAGTGCTGAAATCCCCCGAACCATCTTTTGCCACCACCAAATTAGCCTTTATGGTTGTGGACTGCAACATTTTCCTCTCTCGCCTTGAAAACCAACTTGGATACGCATCTTCATGAGCTGTTTCCGTGTGATGATCATGTTTCACGAAGTCCATGTTGATGGCCAAGCTGTTCCTTATCATCTCAGTGACATTGTTATTGTTGTTGGGAGCCTTGAAATCTTGAACACCAAGTTCAAATGTTCCATCTTGGCAGGTCTGAATGTTTGTGAGGGCAGTGCTGAGCCAGGTCTGTGCATCAACCGATGAGCAGTTTTGCTTCCCATGGAAACACTCAAGGGTGCGGTTGAGGTGGAAGATGGTTTTTCCATAGAGCTCCAAGCAGTCAGCATGCACGGTTCTGTGGTTCCTTGTTGGCATGTTGGTCTGATCAGAGTCAAGTGCTTCTTTCTCCATGATGAGGGCTTGGTTTAGAGCATGTTCGACAAGCGTTGCCCGGAAGGTAGCTCTGTGCTTAATCAATGTGAAATGTTGACTCTTCCTTTCAGCAGTAGTGATGTAGTATTTGCATGGCGCAGGGTGTGGGGTTAGGTTGCACCACCAATCTATGTTGCTGGATGAAGCTGGTCCTCTTCTTGATGAGGCTACTGAGAAGACTGTAGATGTCAAAAGGAGTGTGAGGCATATTTTTGCTATAAAGCTTTCCATTTCCGGTGGAGATTAAAGAAACTAACAATGAGAGTTGTATATCAATTGTACTTGCAGCACAACAAATAATGTTTGATATGTTTTTGTTTTGTAATGATTCTGGTGATGAAATGTTGTTATGTATATATATATATATTTCTTTGGTGGATGTGGAGTGTGGAAGGGGTAAACGTGTGAGCTGAATTGAAGAATGACACAGATACAAACTGTGAATGCAATTGCAAGAAAGAACGAAAGGGTCATAAAATCTCAAAATTATTTTTGAATTGCTGAAGTGTAATTGTGATTGCAAGAAAAACAAATGTCTTGATCTTGACAGAGAGACATCTCTCTGAAGCTTACTTGTTAATGTTCTCGTGACGGCTGTGACAACAGAAGCACACGATTAATGTTTGATTTTTGGTGGATAATATGGTTGAGTTGGCCTGAAGTTGTATGCTATTGTTTCACATGCATGTACGATGTTGCAGAACAAAAATTGTATATATTATCCTTTCTTGAGTAGACTTGTTCAAGCATAGGAGAAGGAGTAGTTTCTTTGAACATAGAAATCATTTTCTCTTGCTGAGCTTGTACTCACATGCTTCATTTTCAAGCATACGAGTTTATCTGAAATTTTAGGGTAACCCATGTGCAGTGGTTTAAGGAATAAGCAAAATTTTGTATGAGCCATTTTGACAAAACATTGTTAAGATATATAGTTATGTGTCAACGCGTTCATGGATATAACTTGTTTCGTTGAAGGCATTTTAATGATATTGGTTGGTAGCTTTCTTTCTTTACATTTTGTGGCTTAGTTATCCCAACACCAATGGCGGAATTACAAAAATGCTTAATTTAAGTGGATGTTTTGAAAATGGAAAATGGTGTATGCCGTTAAATTATTTTTAAGACAATAATATTGCACAGCCATTGAAGACTATTTTTGTCTTAAGATAGTTGAAAGATAAAAGAAGAAATGTGTTGTATCCTAACAAAGACTACAACTTTACATGTAAGTTATTAATATTATAAAACTTTCAACATCTAATTATGTTCTCCTTTTATACTTATTTCAATGTATGATACTTTTTTCTAAATTAAAAAAAAAACTACGTAGAATACTTTTAATTTAGATATTACTTAAATTTAGAAATGTATATGAAAAGTAATTTTAGTGAATGATTAAATTGTAATTAAATAAAATAAAAAAGTAAAGTATATCAAAGGGGGACGCATGTGTTAATCAGCAGCAAGTATTTTGACTTTATTTTTTAAAATATATATTTGGCTGTTTTATATTCTACCTCACAAACCTAAATTAGGTTAAATCATAGGTTAATATTTTTTTTTCTTAAATCAAATTTAACTTTGTTGATAAAACATAGTATTTTATCAACACTTGAAAGTGTATTTCAAATTTAATTCCAAGTAAAAAAAATTATCATTGTAAAATCACTTTTAATTAGTCAAAATTGTATTTTTAATTATTCTTAATATTAAATTTGAATGAAAAGTATTATTGAAAGGAATTAAAAAGGAGTTGAGTTGACATAGAAGTCGCAATGCACAACTTATCATCCCAACCCAAATGTCTTTGTTCGTCGATCGTCACCATTCCATATTGTTGACATAATAAATTAATAATAATAATTATTATTATTATTATTAGAATTAACTTAATTTTTTTTATACAAATCGTTAATTCCCTTTCTTTGTGCAGCGTTTCACGCATGCGAACGTGAAATGCCTGCACGTTAATCTGGTTAATGACCTCTGGAACTCTTAAAATTTCATACGTGTCGTGTAAATGTTCGACGCTTATCTGTCTCCTTTAGCCTCTAAAATGCAGGCTATATAATTTTATACTATTATTTTATTATAACGCATCAATGCTTCGTATATTTATTTTTGTGATCGTTCAATTATGAGAAATTATTATTCATATTATACTTTATTAAAAGAAGGAAAACTCTATGACAGTTCAGGTTTTATTATATACTGTCCTTGATTCATCACAAGTGTTATATATATATATATATATATATATATATATATATATATATATATATATATATATATATATATATATATATATATATATATATATATATGTATAACAAACTTATTGGGTTTTTTTTAATAGCAATTTTGAAATTCATACCTATATTATAATTTGTACTTAGTTATAAACTTGTCATGTGTAAACTTTTGAAAAATCAACTGTGGAATTATTGAAAAATTCATTCATATGTTTCAGCACATTTTTTCTTGAGTTTCACTCTTACTCTAGGAGGGGCATGAATGACTTAAAATAGTCAAAGAAATACACCTATAAATCATGCAAATCAAGGTCTAGAGAACATTAAAACAAAGAAGTAGAAGCAGAAGGAACTGAGATCTAGCCATGGCTTCCTTCCATGTTCTCACGATTGTTGCATTCATTCTTCTAGCCAAACCTAGCATCACTTCAGCTTGTGAAAATGCTACTATCCCCACCAATTTCTCCAAAACCAAGATTGGTTACACTGCCACCAATTATGAAAAGACAACCACTCCATCCACTTCCTCACTAACCTTCAAAAACTACATTAAAACCTCTTGCAACTCAACCACATATCCATCAATATGCTACAGCACTTTATCCCCCTATGCTAAAACCATTGAAGCAGATCCTTTGAAGCTATGCAGTGTGTCTCTTTCCCTAGCCTATAATTCAGCAAAGAATGCATCTTCCACCATATCAAAGATTCTGAAGAAAAACAATCTGACAAGGATTGCTGAACAAGTGGTGCAAGATTGCTTGGGCAATGTGAAGGACTCCATTGGTGAACTCAAAGATTCCCTTGATTCCTTGGGCCATTTGGATGGGGCTGACAGAAAATTTCAGATCAGCAACATAAAGACATGGGTGAGTGCTTCCATCACCAACGACCAAACTTGCTCAGATGGGTTTGATGAGATGAAAGTGAACTCCAATTTGACAGAGAAAATCAGAAAGGTTGTTTTGGATGTGGCCAGGAAGACTAGCAATGCTTTGTATTTCATCAACAACAATATGTACTAATTAATGTTATAACAAGTGGTTTTCCTTTTCTTTTCTTCTTTTTTTTCTCTTTCCTTTTTCTTTTGTTTGAAAAGGGTTTTCCTTTGGCTTTGGTATGTAATTGGGTTGTGATGTGTTGATTGTATTTACAAGGGTTTGATGAAATTGCTTCAGAATTTATGTGGTAATGGTAATTTTCCTCTGAACCATGCACTGAGACTGTTGCAGTGTTGTACTCAGAAAGGAATTCTAAAGGAAGTGATTATTTTGAAACAATGGCTACATTCAGCTAAAATATAGACTTAATAAGTGAATATCCTTTCCTTTATATTTTTGTTTAAAAAGGTTTTTTTTCTTCTGTTATGATTCCATGATTGTATTTAAAATGGTTTGTGACTGCTTTAAAATCTGTGCTCTCTCGTTCACATTAATTAAGTTTTCACTACCAAATCTTCCTATAGTATTTTTGTTAAAGGAGTCGTATTTTGAAATTTTGCACTATTTTATATACAGAGTAAAATATACGACTCTATTTAATTTTTATTGTCGGATTATATCTTACTTTGACATTTCAAATAAACTTATAAATTCCATATTTTATTTACTCTTATTTTAGAATCTTTTATTTTTAGAGACGTTGAAAAACATCTGTTTTTCCTCGAATGTAAAATCATGTAAAAAGATAAAACATTAAAAATAATTTTAGACGATTTTAAATCAATTTATTTATAATATCGATCTATTCTTGCATGACACATAACTAAATATTAATATTTAAAAATATGCGTTAGACGTAGAAAGAAATTAAAATCATAATGCAAGATTAAAAGAATGTGTATAACACTTAAAGTCAACTAGATAGAATTGTTGTGTGTGACATTGAATGAAATAAGAAAGATTGTAAGCATCATTGGGCCCAAGAAGCTCCTTGGCCCAATGATGCTCCTGAAGCCCTAAGCTATGGATTGGGCTACTCGCACCGCTTCGGAACTTACAGATTTTGTGTTTTATTTCTAATGTTGTGTTACGTTTACGAGTCTCGAAAGAGTATAGAAAACGTTCTAATATCTCAAATATATAAATTGATTTAATAATATTATTATAACGGAGTATTTGAAAGAAAAATAAAGATATCATGAAAATTATGTGGAAAGAATGCAAAATCAAGATAAGTTATTGATCATATAAATAACATATTTAATGTATTTGAGACAATGAGAGTAAAACAAACATTTTCTGATTTAACATAATTTTTTAAATTATTATTGATCAAAATTAACGTATTCTACCAGAGAAATAAAAACACATTTTCTCTACAAACTAGAAGTGTGTTGTAAGTTTTTGGAGGCGAATAATTTAAAGCTTTGTTACTTAAACTACCCTCAAACTCTGCCAACCATATATTAACACTACTTAAAGAAATTAAATATAAGCACTAATGTTAACATTAGTGGGGAGATTTTTTTTCAATTATTACTCACCTTTTTTATTTTAATGAAAGACACTTTATAAGAATGATTGAAAGTATCATATCGCTTATCTCGTATCATTTAGTATGGTTTAAATACATATTAAATTACTCCACATATAATCAATTGGTTTTATGTTAGAACCTTAACATGATATTAGAGGCAAAACCTAATATCTTTTCGATTATTGTCATAAGTTAAAAGTTACTCTTTACTTGGATCAAAAGTATTATTGACTTGATCCGTAAGGTTTCGTTAGAAGAGGTGTGTTGAAAGTTCCGCATCGCCAAAAGAAAGAACCAAGCAGCATGGGACAAACAAAGATGTTTGGTGTTAATATCAGGAACCTTAACAAGAACAAAAACACAATGAAAGTGTAATTGAATTTTCGAGAACAATAACGAAAGAATCAAGCAGCACGTGACAAACAAAGATGTTTGGTGTTAATCTCTAACCTAAAGTGTAGTAGTAGGAGCATTATAATGAATTAGGTCACAATCACGTTATTGAAATCTTTTTGAGTTTCCATTTAACAAAGTTTGAATATTTGCCCATCTTTTCTTCCTTACCTAAAGTGAACTCGACGCAATGGGTGCCTTATTTTCTGCCATGATATACATTGGTTGATGGATAACATCTATTCCACGGTTTTGGGACCCGCAACAAGGTTAAAATACCACAAGAATATGGTACAAGTCTCAAATTTCGGTACTCTTTATCCTCAAAACCTTCCCTTTTCATCAGGTTTGCTCATTATATTTTTTCCATTTTCATTCTCTCCCAGATAATATATATATATATATATATATATATATATATATATATATATATATTGTTTTACATTACGAAAATTAAACTATTAAGTAAATATAATAATATAATTTCGGTCCTTATCCAAATATTTTAAATCTAAAGTTAAATAACGTATAATTAATTTTGTTAAAATATAAAGAATCAAACTAATAAATAAATATAATAACAGAGTCTCAATCTTGATTCAAAGATTTTAAATTAAAATGAAACAATCCATTAAAAATGAGTTTTGGATTAGATTATAATCAAGTTGTTTGAATAAAAGATATAAGGGATAATTTTTTGGAAACAAAGATTATAATTTGAAGGTATGTTTGGATTGATGTGATTAAAATAAAAGCAAGTTAATTATTGAAAGATTGTTTTGGTACGAGGTATTTATGGGGCATCTCATTTTGTCTAATGTTGCTTGCATACATTATGATGAGGGTGAAATCCTCCTTCTAATTGACAAACTGATACGGTAACACAATGATGCTCCATTGAAATGGAACTGTGAAAATGTTGATCAACAACAACAATGAATTAATGTGCTAAATTTGTATTACAATCAACATACACTCTTCTTTCAACTTCTTTCATAACAACCCAACATTCCATGTGATGCCCATGTACCTTTTTGACTTATTTACTATACGCATACGAGTGCATCTTATTGGGAGTTGAGGGGTGTGGTTACCTAAAAATTTCATAACTTTCATGTAATTTATGATTTTAGTTCTCTAAATTTAATTAACATTTAATATATTTACTTGTATATTTACAATTTTATCCTCTCGATCTATCATCAGTTTTATAACTCTCATATAATTTATGATTTTCTCTCTCTCAAACTTAATAATCATTTAATATATTTAAGTATATATATCTACAATTTTATCTATTCATCATTTCATCTTCTTTCTTCCTTTTATATTTATTAATAATATATTATTTGACTCCCTCAAGATTAATGATCAAGATCCACCAATACACACCACACACACTTATACTTGAGTTTCCAAATCAGCAATTTTTTTATATTTTAAAATTATTCTCATATATATAATTATAATTTTCATATAAATTAGGTGTTAGAGAAAAAAATTATAAAATATAATCTAAGAATAAAACAATAATAAATTAAAATTGTAAAATAAATAATATCTTAGATATACTAATTAATTATAATAATATTTTCACATCAAATTTGAGATTAAAATACTTTTATTTATAATAAAACATTAGCTCAAAATATTCTTATTTCGAACTAATCATTAGTGTTTAGTGGAACATATTTACCATGAGATAAAAATAAAATAAATTTTAATTTATTTTTATTCTTTAATCGAATGTTATATTTTGATATATTTAAGATTAAAATAATGAATAAATATCTTCATTCTTCAATTTATTATTTTTTTTAAGATAAAATTATATAATGTATTAGAATTTCTAAACTTATTACATATATAAACCACTAATAACACAGAACATTTAGTAGATTATAGAGACATTAAAACAGAAACAATAATTATGTTTGAACAAATGTTAGATGTTTCCAAACAGAATTAATCTGAGATGCACGCATAGACAATATGTTAGATAATAATTTCAAATATTTTTTATGCTCCAAATTCAAGCACACAGTTTTTTACTCTGACTTTAAAGCTCCATTAAGTGATTATAAAACCAATATATGTAAGTCTAAGACCTTTTAATTACATAACAAATTGGATTGTAAAAAAATAATTAACCTATTTTATAATTTAAATTTAATTTATATATGATATGAAAATAAAAATTTAAAGAAATATTACGAGATAATTTTTATAAATTAACCTTAATTTGAATTATTTTTTTCTCCTAAAACTTTTAATGGCAAAATTTGTCTAATTAAAAATTATTTCAATAATGGTGGTGGTATGATAATAATTAAAAACCTAAAGAATGAATAAAAAAAATATTTGGACAAAAAACATAAAAAAAAATACATGGAAAATAAAAGTAAAAAAGAAATAGAAAAAAATACTAATACTCATAATTGATATATTCTATGTTTATATATCATATTATGTTTATTGTTTATTCTTTTCAAATAAAGTGACTTGCTAAGTTAAAATAATTAAATGTGAAGGAAAAAATAAATAAAAATTAAAAATATATTTAATTTTATTAATTCTTAATTCGTTAGCTCTCCCACCAACCTGGCTCCACCCTGTCACGATAGGATAGGAGGAAAATAAAATAATAATTTATTTTTTCCACAATTTCGTTTCGTACGTTCCTCTCTGTCGGTTCAACCTTTTCCTTTCTTAAAATATTCCTTAATGATAAAAGAAGATTGTAATTAAACGTATTTAGAATTAGAATAGAATTTTATTAAATTAATTTAATTTTACGTAATTTCAATTTAATTTCGATTTAGTCTTAAAATTGTAATAATAAAACAAATTGACTATTATGATACACATTAAATTACACTCAAATTTTTTTATCATCTTAGGTTAGACTCAAATTTACAATATATTAAACGTTTATAATTAGGGTCTCATTTTTTGAAAATATATAGGGAGAAAATGAGTGAGTAAGAGTGGTTTTCTTTCTTCTTCAACAAGCACAAAAAGCGAACATTACTAAAATCTTAAAACACTTGACTAAAAAATATTCTTAAAATACTATTTATACGCATGTTTTACTTTTACAGGGTTGATCCTAACGGTGTTTGTTCAACTTGAAATTTGACGTTGACAACATAATTGAACAATAAAGATGAAGAAAAAGTAGGTTATTTATTCTGCCCTATTCATTGCTCACAATTTCAGATTTGGATTTCATCTTTTCATCCACAATTTACGACGGTTGGGTGTTGTAGGACTTTGAGTCTTAAATGTTATGGCCTCATTTATTAGGTCATCTTAAAGTTACATCCTTTTTACTATTCTCGTAACTACGTAAATCAAGAGTAAACGACCAAATAACTATTATTGTTATCATCAATTGTAACATTTCAATTTATGATTTTTCATTCAGATTATAATATGAGACATTAGAAAATCTCAACTCAAACTATGAAATTTTTTCAATTGAATTTAGTAGATAATAGGAATTGCAAGAAGGTAACAAGAAGAAGAAAAACATATATAACAAAAAAATAAAAATTCACATTTGGGGAGAAACATTATGGTTATGACAAGATTCATATTTCTATTAAAACTTTTAATCTCACTCACTCAGGTACATAAATACATACATGATAAAACACAAAAATAACCAACCAACCAACCACACACATTTTTTGTTTTTCTAAAAAAAAAAAAGTAAAACTTTGTCTAGTGTTTGGCAGCATACTGGTTGATGAGAGAGAGCGCATTGCTAGTGACCTGAGCGACATTGACCATTCTGCCCCTGATGGCGTCCTTCATCTTCCCGCTGAGAGCCTTTCCGGCGAAGCCGTCGCCGCAAGTGCTCTCGTCGGTGAGTGCAGAGCTAACCCACGTCTCCACGTTGCTTATGTGCCAGGCGAAGTCCTCGCCCTTGAGCTTGCAGAGCTTGAGCTCCTTCAGGGACCGGGAGAGGCGGTCCACGCCGTCGCTGATTTCCTCGGCGCAGTCTTTGAGGGCGGCATATTCTCGGGGCTTGAGGCCCCTGAACTTGTTGCACTTGGTCACGAAGGTTTTGGTGGACTCGGTTTTGTTGAGGGCCAGAGAGAGGGCGGTCTGAACCAGTTCGTGGGGGTCCTGCTGAATGGAGGCGGCGTAGACGGAGAGGGACTCCACGCAGAGGGCGGGGTACTGGGTGGCGCTGCACGAGGATTTGATGAAGTTGGTGGGGCTGGAGAGAGTGAGGGAAATGTGGAGGGTGGTGAGGAGAAGGAGAAGGAGAAGAGAAAATTTTCCCATTTTTTGGTTTGAGATCTGAGAATTAAGAAGGGAGAGAGAAAGAAAGATTGAGAATTTGAGCGTGAAGTGTGATTTGGATCTAGATATATAGAAGATGGGATACATACAATTACAGTGTCCTTCCCATTATTGAATCTACCACTCTCTCTATTGTGGGGTAGTGAGATCAAAACCCAATAAATAATATATTCAAATATAAATAATTGAATGATGCCTTTTGTGTGGGGTCTTGGTTAACAAAAAATCTAGGGAACTATTTGTTAAAAAATATTTATTGATTTCATTAAGAATAGTAGCAGTAATAAATGAATGTGTAAGTCTGAACTGAACCCTAATACCTACTCAAAAAGCAGAAAAAAAATGGGAATGGCATTATTATTTACACGTCTTTGTGTTGTTAAGTGGTGCATGTGCGAGTGTAGCTTTTCTCTTGGTTTTGAAAAGTTAAAGCACACTTTTTTTGTGTTGGACCGACATTTACAGTTAATAACAAATTCGTACAAGACATCTCTGTTCTTTTTCTCTTCAGAAACTGTTTGATGGTGGTTAAAGATAAGGATAAAGAGTTGTGTGAACAAAACAAAGAAGATAATGTGTGATTAGTGGTTTGGTTTATTAACGAAGAAGATGGTCCTACCAGGTGGAGGTTTCACACAAAATCTTGTGATGACTGCAGCCATGTGACAAACACAACCTCTTCTGATTGATCCCTGCAACTTGGACTTATCTAGAAGCAGCCTCCGCTCCGTTATTTTTTTATTCTTTTTCATTAATTCATTCTTAGATCTCATTGGTGTAGTTAATATGAATTTACCTATTCAACATAACTATAAATAAATGTGGAATATTGCAATGATTTAATAGGGGAATTTTAACGTTGTAAATTATATTATTGTTGATTGAGGCTTAATTAGACGGAACAGAAGTTAGAAAAATATGAGGTCAAAGAAAAAAACACAAAATGCAAATATGGCAACAAACAACTAACGAGTGTACAAAACGTTCACGTTCACACTTCTTGGTGTAATGTGACGTGAAATGTCCCCTTCAAGCATTCACACCCTCCTTTTCCACTTCAATTTCAAGGGCCCTTTTCCTTATTATTATTGCCTTCCAAACCTACCCATAAACATATATATTCATAAAACTATTTTACTACAATTTAAATTTTAAAATATAAATAGATTTTAGTTGGTAGCTACATTATGTTCTTACTACAATAATTAATGTATAAGAGTTTGGTATATGTTAAAAGCTTTTGAAATTGTGGTTGAGAAATATGACATAACTTATGGATCCTAGGTTAGTGGTTCAGGTTTCTCCAATCTATACATTGGTGTTTTGGTGTCTTGTTTTATTATCAAACAACTATTTATGTTTATTTAGATTTATTCACAGGATGACATAACTTATAAATTAAACGTAATTCGATGTTAGTGGTTCAAGTTACTCCATTGAAGACATGGTTCAATGTCATGATATTATTTCGGAATAAATCTCACATCTCATGAGGTATGATTAATATGTAATTAATTTGACTATAATAAAATTAAAATGTTTACGATAATGTTTTCAAAATTATTTGTACGTCATATTATTCCATGGTTCATGTCGCATGTGTTATATGCTAATTACAAATGAAAAAGAATGAACACGACATCAAAGGAGAGATTAAGAATCAAAGAAAAGATTCTCCACACATTGAGAATCGAGGAAAAGATTCGATACACATCAATAATAGAAGTGCAATGGGAACCAAGCATTTGATTTCCAAATGAATGTTCAAAATTAAAACCTTCTTCATAAAAAAAATGATTTAATAGCAACCATTCAGTAATAGAAGAGTTCTTATCAATGAATATGACATTTGATTATCAATTCAGTACAGGAAATGTTTTTCGGACAGATTCATGTCACTTTATGTAGTGTTTTTTTTACTCAAAGTTTTAATACAGTAAATTACTTAAATTTAAATTGGTTTGATTAACCCAATTTGTTAACATAATATATCTACTTTTTCTATTGTTATTGGTGTTGTATCATTTCAGTTCATGACTTGTAAAGTGTTTGAAAAAAATAAAAAATAAAAAAACAAAACGCCGTTGCCGGGGATCGAACCCGGGTCACCTGCGTGACAGGCAGGTATACTCACCACTATACTACAACGACCTTACAATGATCAGTCCCACCTTTACAAATATCTAGTTTATAATTTATTAATTTACAATTTCATTTTATTTTATAAGATTATATTAACATGAAAATATTATTTAATTTATAAATTAAATTGTATATTTACTTAAAAAAATCGTGAATACATAATATAATAGTACAAAAATTAGAAACATTTAAAATTTAAACTTTGGAAATGTTGTACCGGAAGTCGTTGTAGTATAGTGGTGAGTATACCTGCCTGTCACGCAGGTGACCCGGGTTCGATCCCCGGCAGCGGCGTTTTTGAAGAGTTTTATTTTTCTGAAAACACTTTTTTTTTATTATTATTATTACATAAACAACTACTATTAGATTTCATAATTCAAATATATATTGTTAAATTTCAGAACTCAAATTCATATTGATAGTGGGGGTGGTATTAATAAAATTTTAAAACATCATAATGAGATGTTTATTGTAATTTTCTAACTTAATTAAATATATTTTTATTAGTCCTGCAAAGGTTAACAGAAACTAAAATTATTGTTTAAGTTGAAAATTCTCTCATAATCATGTGTTTTTTACCTAATCCAAAAATGGGATTTACTTGTGTCGTACAAATTATACCTTGTCTCCATGAAAAGTTAAACAGCAAAAGACAAAATTACATAAATTGGATATTTTGAAGATGGAAGGAGAAATGTTTTTGAGTTCCATGGAGTAGAGTCCATATGAAGTTTAATTTTTGAGATTGGGCTTTTTCTTCTTACACCAAGGAAAAATCATTCTTCACCTCCAAAAAATTCCATGTAATACCCTTTCTGTAGTTAGCAATATAAAGAATCACAAAACCAATATAAAGAGAATTAATAATAATAATAATAATAATCGTAGGTAGGATTCAATTATTTGAATTTAATGTTAAAGTTTTGTTGATTAAATTGATAAGAAAGAAAGTATCTTTCACTGGTACTACCCAGAAGGCCCCAATACCATTTATGTCTAAACAAACTTGCTCACTGTGCTTACTATCTCTGCCATTCATAGAAAATGTTTTTAAAAATTCTGAATTGGTGATTTTTTTTTTAAGTTTTGAATTAAAAATTCAATATATATATATATATATATATATATATATATAAATAATTGGATTTCAGGATTTTTTTTTAAATTAAGATTGAAACTGAATTTTTATTAGATAAAAAAACATATGGAATATTTAAAAAATAAAGATGTTTTTGAGTTGACCAGATAATAAATATTGAATATTTCAATAAATAAATATATATTTTAGATTGACCAATAAATTTTTAGATGGTGGTGCAAATAAAATGGAAAAATCAACTGCTTATGATGATTTTAACAATTCAGTAGTAGAAGGATTTGAATCATTATTTAGTTTCTATTATTGTTATGATTATTATTAATTGGATTCTAAAATGAAGATTAATATTGTCATTTAAAAAATTACATGTAATTTGAATTGAGAAGTCACAATATTTTTCTGATCTAAAAAAGTTTGGATTCATGAATTCAGAAGTTTTTCAAAATATTTATTGATTTATCAATCTAAACAATTTTTAGATTCTTGACGTGCTTACTCCATAATTCTAGAAAAAAAAATTATATAATTTAAATTCATCCATTTTTCTGTACCTACCCATAGAAAATCCTCCAAATCAATTTTTCAGAATTTCACTTTCTTTGTTTCGATAGTAACTTTAAATTAATTCCAATCTAATAAACTTTCCAATACACTAAAATAATTTCATGTAGTTTTGAAAAAAATAATTATGAAGAAGCAAGTTTTGTAGTTTCATAAATGAATATAACTAGAATGTTCTCATCATAAATAAAATTGTAGTTATTAAAATAAAAATTGAATTGATATTGGAAATTGGTGTGCAAAGAGAGGGACAACTGTACAAGTTCTCAAAGTGGTGAGTCAATCATGGTGGCTACTTCCAGATCAATATTGAAAATGTTAGATCTAAAGAAAAAAACTTTATGTTTAAATGTCGTTTTAAATTTTTTATCCCACACAAAACGTTTTAATAAATTTAAAAAATAAAAATATATATAAATTAAGATGAAACATCATAAGTCTATCGGAAGAAACCCTTATCCACTTTAAAGTTGAGTCAACTAGTTGTACACGTAAAAACCATATTCATATTATGCAGAACCCATGTATGTCTTGCCAAACTGGTACTACCCTCCCATTAAAGACACCAACTTTCACAAACCTTATCTATGCAACATCACTTTAACTCCCAATTCACACCCTCCATTCTCTCTCACCAACCCTAAAATGAATCTCTTCCACCGTCCCTTAGCCACCACCTTATGCATCCTACTCGCAATCTTCACACCCCACAGGGCCAACGGTGCCACTTGTCAACCCGACGAGGAAGCGGGTCTATTGGGATTCAAATCGGGCATCCGATCCGACCCATCCGGCATCCTCAAGAACTGGATACCGGGTACCGACTGCTGCAAGTGGAACGGAGTAGAATGTCACTATAACAGCACCCGGGTCCAGAGACTATCTTTATCGGGTCAACCCGAAGAAAACCCTAAATCCGTTTTATCCGGTACGATCTCACCCTCCCTCTCAAAGCTCCAACTTCTTGATGGACTCTACCTCTTCGACCTAAAATACATATCGGGTCCTTTCCCAAATTTCGTCTTCCAACTTCCCAACATCCAATTCATCTATTTAGAAAACAACAACCTTTCGGGTCGAATACCCGAAAACATTGGTAACCTCACCAAACTATATGCGCTCAGTTTAGTGGGAAATCGCTTCACCGGAACCCTACCGAGTTCGATCACCGAGTTGACTCAGCTCACTCAGCTCAAACTCGACAACAACTCACTCTCGGGAACACTCCCCAAGACCTTCAAGAAACTCGTTAACCTAAATTACATCTCCCTCGAAGGGAACCAGTTCGAAGGAACCATACCTGATTTTCCCTCCAACCTTCGGAGTCTCAAACTCTCTCGGAACAAATTTTGTGGGAATATTCCTGCCTCGATTTCAACGCTGGCGACGAATTTGGGTTACTTGGAGCTAGGGCACAACTCGCTTTCCGGGAAAATCCCCGATTTCCTCGGAAAATTCAAGGCGCTGGACACGCTGGACTTGTCGTGGAACAAATTCTCGGGCACTGTGCCGGCGAGTTTTGCGAATTTGACCAAGATCTTCAATCTAGATCTCTCGAACAATTTACTCGTGGACCCGTTTCCCGAGATGAACGTGAAGGGGATCGAATCGTTGGACTTGTCGAACAACAGTTTTCACCTTGGGAAGATTCCGAAGTGGGTGCTTTCTTCGCCGATAATATTCTCCCTGAAGCTGGTGAACTGCGGGATAAAGATGAGGATCGAGGATTTCAAGCCTTCAGAGACTTACTTCTACGATTTTATCGATCTCTCGGGAAACGAGATAACGGGTAACGCGACAAGTTTGGTGAACAGCACCGGGTATTTGGTGGGGTTTTGGGCTGCGAGGAACAAATTGAGATTTGATTTGGGTGGGTTGAGGTTCGGGGAGAGGTTTAAGATTTTGGATTTGTCGTATAATTCCTTGTTTGGGAAAGTTCCAAACAGTGTTGTTGGGCTTCAGAAGTTGAACGTGAGTTATAACCATCTCTGTGGTCAGATTCCCAAAAACACGTTTCCGGCAAGTGCTTTTGTCGGCAACGATTGTCTCTGCGGTTCTCCTTTGAAACCTTGCAAAAAGAGCGTGATTTGACGGTGAACAGGGAGCAATAATAATGTATCACAATAAGTAACTTGCTATTTTGCTAAATAAATCAACTTATTGTAATTAATTATCATTACTCTGGATGTTTATTCTGTAACTGTTTAAGATTTTTGCACATCAATAAATAATAATAATAAATATTTTTTAAAATAATCCTATTTTACTAATAAGTGTGTTGTTTTTATTAAAATAAAAAATATATACAAATAATAAATGAAAAAAATACACAAACATAAAACAGAAAAAAAAAATACATGAAAAGCAAAATAAATGAAAACATACACCACATTGTGGAAAAAAAAACTCTCTAAAACACTTACAAATGCTCATTGATAAAGTGACATAAGTAATGACTCGTTAATGATATTTAACTCAAATTATTAAATGTTTTAGGTTTAATTAGATTCAACTAAATGCGTTCCACTTATTTCAAATTCAAACATATAAAATTTAAGAGGAAGTTGCCCGTTAGATGATTACACAAACATTATACTAAATTAAGTGTTGATGAACCCCGATTACATTTTTACAGAGAATAATTAATTCTGATAAACTCTATTAAATAATAACAAAATAGAATAATCTTATCAATAATATATATATATATATATATATATATATATATATTTAAATTATTAAAATAAAATATTTATTAATTTATTTATTCAAGTAAATTTATTTAATATTCATATATAATTTTTTTCTTATAAATTTTTATATTTTTTTCTCTCTTCTTGTTTTCTTTATTCGTCTTTTTTTCTCTCATTTCTCACTTATATTTTTAACTATAAATAATATATTAAAAATTAATAAAAATATGTTAAAATAAAATTTTTAAAATTAATATTAAAACTAACAAATATCAACCTAATTATTTTAAATCATGATAAATTATTTTACTATAATAAATTAATTATTCATCTAATTAAAATATATTAAATATTATTAAATTAAATATTTTTTTATTTAATAATTTAATCTAATTGTACGATAATTATTTAGATTAAGTAATTTAAAAAGATTATGTTAAAAGTTACTTTAAAATAAATATAAATAGTCAGATTAGCTAATTTTAAAAAATATTTATTAAAAATTTACATTAAAATAAATATTTAAATTTTTTAATAATTATAATAATAATAATAATGTTTGTGATATTTTAAATTTATCATATAATAATTTTTTTAAATGTAATATATTAACTTATAATATTTTTTATACGTTATTTTTTTATGTTTTTAGAAATAATAAAATATTTATTGTGTCAAATTTCAATATAGTATTTTTACTTAAAAAAAGAGTGATAGAGAAAAAGACAAAGTAAGAGAAAAAAAAGGATATAAATGAAAAAAAAATATATTATGTTACATGAATTTATTTTTTATTATTAAATTTTATATATTTATAATAAATATGTTTAATTGGATAAATAATTTTATTAAATATTTAATTTAGAATAATTTTTTAAAATATATTATGAATAGATTTATTAATAAGAAGTGATTGATAAAAATACATTTTGAAATGTACAAGTAGAGATAATAAAATAAGTCTATTCATCATCATTTTGATATGTTCTCCTTTTAAATTTTAAAAAATATAAAGAACTTATATGCTGTAATCAAAACAGACTATAGACTTTATCTCGTTTTGTCAAAGGATAGTCTCACAAACTGTCGAATAATTTCATAAATATTTTTTTTTATATGTATTTTTTTAAATAAATATTTAATTATAAAAATAATTTTTTAATTTTTACTTTTTAATTAATATGTTTATTAGATAAATTGAAAAAAAATTATATTTATATATCTAAATATTAATTATAATAAATAAATTACATTTAATTAATTTTTATAATTTAAATTATATTATATTTATGTATTTCAATAATATAGTATAAAAAATATAATATTTTTAAATATTATTTTAATTTTAATATATAAATATATTTTAAAACATCCTAAATTTTGTTTGCAGGATTTAGTCCTTATGCCATCCTTCCACAAAAATAGATTTTAAATATTATTGATACATAAATTATACTTGTAACTTTTACCTTAGCCTGTACATTCAATAAATCTGAACTACATTGATATAAAAGTTTCGTCACTTATAAAAATACTTTCAATAATTATTATAAAAATTATTCTTATCTTATATATATTTATTAAATAGAAAAAAAATAAAATATTTATATATTATCTGTAAGAATATTATTTATTTTATTATTATTATTTTATATGTTAGTTATTAGTTTTTAGGTAGTCATTATTTTTTAAATATTATATAAGAAAGCTTAGTGAAAGATTAAATAACATCTTATCATTCATTTTTTTTTAATTATATTTCTTTTCTTTAAAAATTATCTTGAATATTAAACTCTATTAATTAAAATTTGACTTAAATGTAGAAATATTTTTTAAAGAAAATTATTTGATTTTCTCAATTAGATTTCCCACTCTTTCGGCTACTTTCCCAAGTAAACTAAATTAATTTTTAAAAAATAAAATAAAATATCATATCTTATAACTTTTTTTTTCATTTCATTAAATTTTTCTAATTTATATCAAACTAAACATTAATATTATCTTAGTGTTTACAAATAATTTCAAAGTACAATTAGATTTCGCATTATATTCTGGTACTAAAATGCTAAATTATTAACTTCTTATAAATGACATCTTCAAACAATTAAGTTTAATAATTAAAATAATAAGAAATGATTTAAGTCTAGATCCAAAATACGCTATCACACAGAAATTTACACGATAGAATTATATATTATTTTTTAAAATATTTTTAAAACCTTAAATTCACTACATAATACTTTTGAGAGGATTAAAATAATTATTATGCATATTAATAATTATATATTACTTCCACTTTTATCACCATAAATGTGAACACCACGAAGTTTTTAATAGCGACGATAAACCCTTAAAGAGCCCTAAACCCTTTCAAACGGAATTGCAAAACAGAGTTCCAATAGCAACCAATAGATTGATTCAGAGCTTTCCAAAAGAAATTCATTTCACAGATTTGCCACAACCACCGCCACCCACGTTTTCAGGTGATTATCATCCTTCTCTGCTTCGTTCTTCTATTCTCTTCTTCATTGCGCTAAAACGATTTTTTTTCTTATTATTTCAATTTCATTTTTTAAATTTATTATGATTGCAAGCTTCAATTTTATCAAGGTGTCTGATACTGGATTCGTTGATTTATTCTTTGCTCATAGTTTTTTCATACACGTTTTCTCTGTCTCTCTCTACTTCCTTTACTGAAACCTTGTTCACTGAAAGTGAGTGATTGTTCTTGCAGGCATGCTTGGTGATTTTTTTTTAATTTTTTTTTTATTACATATTGTCACTGACCAAGTAAAAAAAGTAAACGCATTGACAAGAAAATTATGGGGATATTTGAGAATTGCAAAACTATATTTTTAGGTCTTAAATATTGTTTCGTTTCTTACTTGGAGTTTACACAGTTAGATAATATTACTAAGCAAAACTATACTTTTAGAGTATACACGGCTGTATATTGGCTCCTTCTGTCTGCAATTCCCTCAACCCACTAATTTAGCATTTTCCCATAAGCACTACCAGGAGGAGAAAATAAAAAGAAAAGCGAAATAAACTTGTAACTTGTAATGTGAGAAAAATTCTATACATTAACTTATTTATAAGCTAATTTTATCTTACAAAAAATTTATTTCTTTTTCTATTTTTATTTCCTTATCGCAGAAGAGTTTATAGAGAAGTTTATTGGACATGTCTTTACTTGGTAGAAAACTGTGGTATATAGCTTGACTCTACATTACATATCACGAAGCTTCGCTTTGGGAATTTCTGTTTGCCTATAGTAGACATCTTTTTGAAAATGCCAATCAAACCAGATTTAGTATTTTGTTATCGCCAAAACTAAGGGTGCAGACCTCATTGTTGACAGTGAGTATCAGATGGATCACTACGCAGCACATGAAGAGCAACTTGCCTCCCAGAGAATGCGGCAGAAACTTGAAGAAGTAAATGTGGCTGCACAAACTAATCTTGCCCCTGTCCAAGACTATGTCAATTTTACTCTTCAGGTTCTTTCTGGTCCTTTTTCTGTAACAAGTAATTCATATTTTTTTTATACTATTTGATACCATTTTTTAATATTTAATCAGAAGAATTGAAAATGGTTTTATGTCTTGATAACAGAAATTGTGTAAGAATTTGGATCAGAAAGTTGTATCTCCTTTGATTTCACATTATTTCTCCATTTATTGTTTTAGTTCAAATTATTATACTATGATATTCTTCTGGTCTAATAATTTATAAATGCAAAATATTGATCTATGTGGATTATAATTTCTAGGTATCAAAGGTTTGACTTTCTGTACCATGATTCATGTATTTTCCTTTCTACCAGATTAATTTAGCATAAATTGATATAGTTTTGCAGACAATTGATATTTTGTTCTTTGATAAAGCAGACTTTCAATTCCAAATAGTTCATTGTTTGGTTGATTTATTGCAGAAAGCCTATTTTAAATGCGCACACGAGTGTTTTGATCGAAGCAAAAGACAGGAGGAAATAAGCAATTGTGTCGAAAATTGCAGTATTCCTCTTGCTAATGTTCAACAGACATTTGATGCTGAGATGGCAAAGTTTCAGGTAAGCAACCCCATAAGTCTGTTATCCTACTCTATCTCTCTTTTATTATTTGTTATATCTTATTGTGTATAAAATTATTAAGGAATGTTCTATGATATTGTTGAAAACGGAAAACGATAATTCATTTTGTGCAAAGAAAAGTGTACAAGTTCCTCCCCAGCCGCCTCAAGATTTTGGGCCTAATAGGAAGACCAAGACTTACAGTTGTTAATGCCCTCATCATTTGTTTTACTACCTGCCAGAGGCATTTACACATCTTTTATTGACTGAGCATTCTGTCCTTATCCTTATTCTCATTAGAAATTTGTATATTGCATCAACATGTAAGCTGACAGCAACTCATGGTTACCTAGTTGAGTATTCAAGCTGCTTATAGTATTATTGATTATGTTCATGATGAGAAATAATCAATTGTTATTTCATGGTGAAGGTATTGCAACATATAGTTGCTTCTACTTTTGGTTATCTGGTCTGCTAGTCGATGGTCTAAATTATTTTTATGAATTCAGTACCCGACATTCTCAGGATGTTCTATTTCCTGAAAACATTGACATATAATTACCTTCCTCTTTGGTCTGAAAGTGTTTTCAACATGGTGCAGGAAAGGTTGAATAGATCTCTGATGGTGTGTCAAGATAAGTTTGAGGCAGCTAAGCTCCAGCGTACTGAGGCTATTGATGATTTGATTTCCTGTGCTGACCAGTCAATCCAGGAAAGCATCAAGACCCTGCCACATCTTGCCAACAAGTTGAAAGCTTCCTTTGGAATTAGGGACAATGGCTCAGTTTAGCTTGTTTTTTTAGTGGGATATTATTGTTTTGTTATTTATTCCTCGTAGCTTTTTTATTCTTCCATACATTTAACCCCATTATCCAAATCCAATTGGGTTCAAGTCAAACTTTCCTTTTAAACAGATAATAAGGTGTTTACTCAAGTTGTGAGAATTTCAGTCAACTGATGGATGCTATAATCTGCAAAAAAGTTTAACCGCATTGCATATAGACTATAGTTGCATATAAATGTTTAACATTTGAGTACAGTTTGGGGTCATTAAATATTCGGCATGTCTATACGCATAGAATGTGGTTCTGAAAGACAAATGACTTGAGTTAGGGTGGAAGACTGTAATGACCTAGAATAATGATGAAGATGAGGATCAAATAGAAACAAAAAATTATGGAAGTGATTTTATCACGAGTCCAACGTTGGAGAATAGGTCCAAGCGCAAAAGAGTTAAATATTTTAGGGACAATGATTGTTCTCTTAAGGTAGATTGAAGTAAGTAATAAGGTTTATTGTGGGTACAGGGATTGGTTAATATTTCTTTGGTAGTGAGGGTTATGATATATTATAATCTTTCTATTATGACGTGTCTTTCTTGTGGGTGTTACTCCATTATATATGTATATTTTTGGTATTGAATAATGAAGAAAATTATCACCCAAATTTCTTTTGTTTATGAAAGAAGCCTATCTTGCAAAATAGGTATTACTTGTGGTACTTTCATTGAGAGTCCTATAAGCATGACTTCATCAAAAAACGTTGACAAAATGGATATCATTCTTCAGTTACTTGAGTAGTAGAAATTCTTCCAGAAGAAAATGAATATTCGAATGATCAACTTGGAAGCTCACATAGTTGCACGATTTGAAAACCCAGGACATAACCTCACCAATCAGCCATTCACTTGAACTTCCATGAAGTTTAACTTACCTCGTTTTGACGAAACAAAATTCATGTCATGGATCTTCAAACTTATGCAATTCTTCGACTATCATCAGGCACCTGAAGAAGAATAGAGGCTTTGTATGATTTCCTTCGTCTTAGATGGTGAAGCCCTAACTTGGTTTTAGTGGTTACATGTCAATAACATGATCACTAGTTGGGAGACATTTCTGTAAGTATTGGAGGTGTGTTTCACGCCGTTGCACTATGAGGACCCAAAAAGAGCGTTGTGCAAACTGTATCAAACCTCCCCTGTTCGCGAGTACCAAACCCAATTTGAGGCTCTCACGAATCGCATTGTTGGACTACCCCCGCCATTCTTCCTTAGCTGTTTTGTCTCGAGTCTCAAACTTGAGATTCAACGGGAGGTAAAAGCGTTTTAGCCAATATCCTTGTCCCAAGCATAAGCCTAGCAAAGCTGCAAGAAGAAAAATTTGTGGAGGCTTAGACAATCACTCGTTCGAACTGACTAGTATTTCCTATCACCAAAATCACTTTGTTTTTAAACTCTTCCTCTTCCGTTTCAAAAAAATCAAACACTAACCAACCTATCATTAAACGTTTAACTCCAACAGAATTACAGAGTCGGCATGATAAGAATCTGTGTTACTATTGTGACGAGATGTATCATCCTGGTCATAAGTGCAAAATGGAGTTTATGCAGCTAATCGCCGAACCAAACGATTCCAAACAACTAGTGGAAGAATCGACCCACTACCTACAAGTAGATGCTCCAAGTCAGATGACCCACCCGATTCACTCGACACCTATTCAACCCAAATTAGTTTACATGCATTGTTGGACCATTCAATACCTCATACCTTCAAGGTATTGGGTCATATCAACACTTCTCTAGTTGCAGTTTTGGTGGGAGTACCCATAATTTCATCCAAGATCGTATAGTAAAACACTTGGTTCTTCAGGCTACACCAGCTTTGGGATTCCACGTATTGGTTGGAAACAAAGAAGAGCTACTTTGTTCAATAGTGTGTAAGCAAGTGCCATTAAAAATTGACTCCCATACCTTGAGGACAAGGTGTTTGTTGAAGGAAAAATGGATGTAATGACTCAAAATAATGATGAAGCTGATGACCAAACAGAAGCAAAAATTTATGGAAATGACTTCATCACGAGCCCAATATTAGAGAATAGGCCCAAACGTAATAGAGTAAGGTCCAAATACTTTAGGGACTATGATTGCTCTGTAAAGGGTAGATTAAAGTAAGTAACAGGATTTACTTACTGTGGGCACGATGACTGATTAATATTTCTCTGTAGTTAAGATTATGATATATTGTAATCTTTTTGTTATAACATGTCTTTATAGTGGGTGCTACTCTATTATATATATATATATATATATATATATATATATATATATATATATATATATATATATATTTTTTTTTTTTTTTGATGAAGAAAATTATCAGCTAGATTTCTTTTGTTTATGGAGAAAGCTAACCTGCAAAATAGGCGTTACAAAGACTTAAACACGATTCTCTCATCCTTTGTCATTGTGGTGACGATGATGTCACCATGCTGTGAGCCACCACATCCCATGTGTTATATGATGAACAAATACTTCTACGCAGTTTTCTTTGCTTATTTTAATAATTGTTATTATTTTTTTATGCTCTAAAATAGAGATATTAATAAAAAAATATTGTATTAATGTGTAAATTAATTGTAAGACCCATGGAATTAAAGTAAGCATTCACATTAGAAATTTTATTGCAATATGTTTTAATTTATAATCCTTACAAATTCATTTAAGCTACAACGCACTTTTGATGCTCTACGTTTATGCATTTTTGTTGTTTATGTTGTACAATTGATACATCTTTCAAAAGTTCAAGCCTTACAACATCACATGCATTCACAAGTCTTTACCACAAGTTTACATTAATTTAATTTCCACACATTATTATCGTAAAGATTTTTATACTCATCCTAAAACATCTTTTGAAATAATTATTAGAAAAAATCTCAATAACAGGTTATAGTTTGTAATTTATGTATTCTAATTAAATTAATTTTACATACATCAAATAAAAATATTTAAATATATTAATATGAAATAAAAATTACATAATATCATATAATATAAATTAAAATTACACAATATAATAGGATTTTGAAATGTTTAAATTAATTATATAATGCAATGCGAAAACACACTAAATGAGTTTATCTTACAAATATTTAAAACGTATTGATGAAAATTAGAAAGATGTTGTTTTGTTTAAAAAAAAAAAACTATTTTTAGCCAAAAAAAAAATAGAACTAGATTTAAATTTAATTGTAAAGTGAATTATTGTAAATTAGCATAAACAAATGCCGTAGATTGGTGTGTTTCTGTATTATTAATATTTTTAGTTTCATTTATTAAAATTTAATATATATATATATATATATATGTATATTAATTTTAAAATATCAAAATTTGTCTATGAAATTATGAATTGTTAAAAAAAAAGATGTAGTTTTAAGAAGAGAGGTAAACTAAAGAAAAAAAAAGTGAGAGAGAAATTGAAGAAAACTTTTTAGTTGAGAAAATAATGAAGAAATGATATTTTTCATTTATTATTTTATATTCGAAAGAATAGACAAGATAAATGTGTGATGGAAGAGTTTAGAAGAAAAATATATATAACATAGATATAGATTATTTGTTTATTTTTATATCCGATGGCATCAAAAAGAGATTACAAAATGAAAATAAATATATACTAAGAAAATTATCTGTCTAACAAATATACTGTAAAATATAATTTTATATCGTATCATATAAAATATTAGTTATAAATGTATTAGAAATATTGTCGTTAATTAAAATTTTAAGAAACGTTGAAAATATTTATTGAGTTATTTTTTTCTTTGAGAGCTGATAATTTTTTTAAATAGTCAACCTAATAACATGACGCAATGCAATCCATTATAATTGGATTGAGATGTTAAATAAATAAAAAAAATCAACTCTCTTAATAACTGTTTTTTTTATTTCATTTATAATTCATATGCATTTATTTTTTTTAGGATGAATTGCCATAGATTTATAAAAGATATAGATATATTGTCACAGATTAACAGCGAACATATTATATTGCCATAAGAAAAAATTGTTTAAATTGAAACTTCAAAAGTGAAACAGAGATAAGGCAGTACTACAGTGCCCGCAGCAGAGTCTCGCGTAGAGGCCTCCGCAGGTGATAACTTTTCTCTCTCAATTGTGGAATAATCTTGGAACTTCAAATTATTTTACTGGGTGGCACAGAACTAGAAAAAAATATAATGGGTTCAGTTCATGGCTTTTATTTTTGCATCCTCTGTATTCGAACTTAAATTATGTTTTAAGGAAGAAGACAGACAGATAACGAATTGTTTCAACATTTTTTTTTTGTTTTGTTAAATTTTTTATGGGCTTCACTAAATTATTTTGGTCCATTCTTTACCAGTGAGGCTAATATAAAGTTTTACCCAACCGAAAGAGATGTGTTCAAAAGATAATATTAGAGAATTTCATAATATGTTGCATTTTCTCATAATCATTATTGCTTCTTTTCTTTATGTAGTCATATACATGGTGATCTTATAAAAGGCTTGATACTTGCAGAATTGCTTTCCTTATTATGTTTGGTTTCAGTTACATTTTATTGACACTTAGTACATTTCTGGTTTTTCTGTTATATGTCGTAGATTTTATTCGTTGCAATGGTCAGTGAGGGGGTACTTTTTTCATTTGACAGAGTAGTCTTCCACTAGATCTCCCTCCCCCTCCCCTTTTTCTTAGTGATATTTAATCCCTATTGGATGTGGCTAGAGGCTATTTGTGTATTTTTTTTTAAACTTAGTTTTGGTTCCAGAATATTTAAATTGATGAATTTGTCCTTTAATTACATTTTTTTTACTTAAACTTAACATTTAGTGATGAATTTTGACCTACAAAGTTGCAGAAATGACTAAATTCACATATTTTTTTCTTCAGTTTAAAGACTAATTCATTATTTGAAAATACAGAAACTAAAACTATGTTTGACAAGAAGTACAGGAACTATAAGCATATTTTTCCCTTTGGTTTATTATGTTTCCCCATTGGTGGTATTTCAAGTGGAAGATAATGATTGCCTCAGGTTTCAAATTTCCTGATGTTTTAAAAGAGATCATTATGTGAATATAGAGCTGTGCCAGATGTTTTTAATGAATGATTTTGTACAAGCAGTATCAGTAGGATTACTTGACATTTTATTCTTACAGGGTGCATTTTTTATCCTTAGAGAGGAAAGGAATCTTACAGGTTCCAAGAACTGTGGTGCATACTTAATATCCTTCTGGCACACCCTCTCTTTGGGATCTGGATGTCATAGGTAGAAACAAAAAGAGGCTTTCCTCTTGGACAAAGGAAAAGACTGGATTCTAATCAGAGAAGTACTGTGGTGACAATTGAAAGAAAGAATGCATGCAGCATCTCAAACTTTCATCTTAAATCTCACTCCACAGGTTAATCCCTTTCCCATTTTCATTTGATCTTTTAAAATGTTTTCCCTTTATCTTTTTTTTTTTTCCTATGTTGAAAGAAGCCATTCCAGTAATTGTAATTTGTTGCTTGTGTTCTTTGGTAACATAAATTTTTTGTTTTCAGGTGACCAGATGCAAACAGAGAGTAGATGAGTTTATTATGCCTAGCCTGAATTGTAGACGTTTTGGTCTTTCATGGAAGCTTAAACTTGGTGCAAGAAATATTTTAAAAAGGCACTTCTGCTTTCTGAATCATATTTCAAATTGCATAGGTTATTTGAGCAGCCCATACTGTATTATAAAACAGAGCCATTTAAATTCCATACATGATTACACTGCAAAGCTTGGGGCATGATGACATTTCTCCTTGATTATAGTATCAGTTGATCTGTTTACTGATCCAAACATCATTATCTTGATAGAGTTTTGGGTAGATTTTGTTCGAACTATTATGATACAGTCATGGTGAATAGTTGAAAAGGATCTCATAGTGAATAATATCCCTAAAAATTTGGTCTTTAACCACGTCTGATGGTGTTATGGAATTCATGTAGCTGACTATCCTAGTGGAATAAGGCTTCTGTTGTTGTTATTATATTATATAGTGCAGTCATTCCTTGGCTGCCTCAGTGCAACTAATTTTCTAACAGTTTTCGTCCATAGAATTTTTAACGGAATTTATTTAAATGACTCAAATTGATTTTGAAACGTCATATGCATTTTACAGGCAAGACATTAAATGCCTTCCCGCTGGTGGTGTATTATCAGGTGCTGTTTTTTCTTTTCTGGCTGCATGCTTATTTCAATCATAAATAAATTCTTTTGGAATTTGATGTTCTTGTTGTAGATGCCGGAATTTCTTCCAATCAGTTTGAGGATTTCTCTGTCTCTGTTGTTGACAAGGAAGATACTAGAGAACTAAAGGTATCATATAATATTTAATTGAAAAATAATAAGAGGAAATGAAGATATCCATAGATGATAGGAAAAAAAAAGGAGACAAAAGGTGTAACATGGAGGAGATACACAAAGATAGCTCAGAAAATGATAGATGTGGTGGGATTATGGATCAAATCAATACCTTTGAGAGCTAGTGCACTATAGGGATATGGATGGAATTGATTCACGGTAGATAGAGGCACTAAAGCAGAAGGGTGAGTCAGCAGGAACACTTGTAGGGGCTAGATGGAGGCAGAGTGATATCAATCCAGATCCTAACTCAGAAGTAATAAATTTATATTGGAGGAATGGGAGGTCATCAGCAGATTAATGTAGTCTGCAGTAGGAGTATAAAATGGGATAATGTAAATAAAAGTCACCTTTGTAGAAGTGAAATGGAAACTGTTGATAGGTGTCTGGTAAAAAAGATGGGCACCATTTTGAAGAGTTAAGAAAAGGATAAGTTTGGCAGGGTTTATCTTGTGATGTAGAAAGAGTACATAAAGAACTTGCTTAACCAAAAAATGCGGGATGAAGCATTGAATAGTTTGAGAGAAAACTTCTAGAATTGAATACACAAGTGAGTTGAAAAGCTCTATTTGTGCAGAGAATACAGGGTGAAATTATAGTTTAGCTATGTACGCATGGTATTTACCTCAACAACAAACGAGGACAAGATCTTGAATTTTCTGAAACTTGAATATGTTTTCGTGTGAAGCTAAGTCTTTTGACAAAAAGATGGAGCTAAGAAAATAGCATATATAATTTTCGGTTGAATTCTTTTAAAAAATGTTAGCACACTCATGGTTGCCATTTGCTTATAAATTTTGAATCCTCTTTTAACTCTTTTGTCCAGATAAGCTTAGAGGTATCTGGAAACAAAACTCAAAGGATATTTGATGATGTCTTTAAGAGAATGGTTGCAGCTGCACAACCAATCCCAGGATTTCGAAGAGTAAAAGGAGGTGGAGTATTTATGTGTACTGAAATAGGAGAGTATTCTGTCGTAGTTTTATTTGTGTGTGTAGATGTTCTGGGAGGGGAAGTCTAAACAAAGATAATGTGTTTTCTGCTGCTACTTCTGATCACCAATGCATAGCATGCTAATCATAATTGTTATCATATAATTTTTACAGACTTATTCCCCATGAGTGTTCACTTTTACCATGGATTTTGGTGCCCATTCATATTCAATTTGTTTCAAAGCCAATTAATGATGTTTGATGCATAATTTTATTATTTAAGAGGATTAGATCCCTTATCAAAGGAGGAAAAAGAAAAAGAAGATGAAAAGCTAAATACGTTGTGATGTAAATCTTGTAATTGATAATTATAATAATTTCATATTTTTTGTTGTCTTATTTTTATGGGTGTAAGATTCAATCTTTTGAGATTTAGTTTCTAGTTTACCGAATCTGTATGTAATTTTCACTTTTTATCTGTCAAACATGAATTTTTTGTACTGGACGCATGAAATTTCTTTATTGAAGAGAATGGTACTTGGGATACACTGCATTAATAGTAGTGTGAGCTGACAGATCCTGATTTTAATCATGGTCACGATTTGATCAGCGAGGATTCAAATCAATCATGAGATTCTAGTTTGCTTCGTAAACTTGTCTTGTCTTGCTAGAGCTCATCATCAAACCATAAAACTATTGCATGCATGACACTTAGTTTAGCACAACACAAAATCATGATACTGAGGAACAAATACCGCAATACAGCTATATCAGCAATAACAATATTAGTAACTGATAGAGAAAGACCTACAATGATAAATATGATGAACTAGTGAAGATTTCTGTTAATTTCAATTGAGTCCTCCAAATTCCAAAATATTTTATTTTTTTCTTTAGGCTTCCTTCTCTCTTCAAATTTTTCTTTGTAAGTTCTATATCAATAAATTAACATTTTCCTGTGCTTGCTTGTATGGCCAACTGCTGCACTAACAATTTGAGAACTACCAGGAAAAACGCCAGATGTAAGTTTCTGTTATCTATCATATTCGAAATCTTTTCTCATGTAATTTTGCAATAATGATATATACTCTACTTTTTCCTGTCTCCTTTCTATCTAGAGGTATACATAAAGCCACTCAAGGATTGTATGTGATAGGTTGAAACAAATGAGACTTATTTTATATGTCTTATGATGAAGTTCATTTTTTTTCTGAGTGTTCACTATTTTTTGCGGGGTTTTTGATAGAATTAATAACTAATGAGACATTTTTCGGTATTTTGTTGATTTTGAGAGTTTGGTATGGGACCTTTTCTTTGCCCAATGAAAATGATAGTTCTTTACGTTATCTAATACATAAAAACCATCATTCTTAGGGTACTTAATCATGAATCCTTCAGTCATTCAAGGAGTGGGATGGGAACTAAATGTGACAACACTTAGCACTCTCTTCAGTTATATATAAAACTGGACATGATAATTATGTTCGTTTTTGGGATTTTTTTCCTTATCATCTTTTCATGATTCTTATTGGTTCAATTGTTGCCAATTTATCTCTAGAAAATATTTTCCTTTCGTAATTTGATGCTTTCCACCTCCTCCCCAATATTTTTTGGATTTTTTGTCCATAATTGTTGCTTTTATTGAATGCTTAAGTGGACACTTTTATCCATTCTCCATAAAGTGGTGCTCTCCATTTTTCTACTCTCATTTAGAATCCCATTGCTGCTATGTAAATCATATGTTGCATACCATAGTAGTTTATAGTGGGATTAGGGAAAATGTCTGTTCCAAGCCAAATAGTACATGCTTGTATCGAATAACTTGTGTTAGTAATATGCAATTTAGTTCAACTACATATATGCAAGTTGAAATGCAGAAATATATAGCAGATTAATTCAATGTATGGTTGTATAATACGTTGTGTTCAACAGATACCGAAAGACATTTTATTAGAGGTTCTTGGACCTTCCAAAGTTTTCAAGGAAGTTATCAAGAAAATAATCAACTCAACTGTAGCTGAATATGTGGAGAAGGTATTTTGCCACATGAGAAATCTAGTTTTTCTAAATTTTGTTCCTTCATTTTATTTAGCTAATAGCATAAAAAAGGGGAAAATCAAGTATATTTTCGAATAATGACTAGTGGGAAGATATATCTACATGAATGGAATCCTCAACCACTCTGAATAAACCTGTTCATATTCTTCCAAACCTTTAAACATAGATCAGTTAAAATATCAATATCCAACCTTGCACGGAGCATCCCACACAAGTTTTAGAACATAGAAGACATTGTACACTAGGCAATAGTTTGTTTGGCAGTGCTTGTGCAAATTTAATGATTCATGTCCCAAATATCCCATACCTTTGATGTAATGATAATCGGTCAACTAATTATATATGTAATCTAAGCAGTCTGATGGATTCAAATTTGCAGTTGGTTATGTAAGTGTTTGATACACATTCAAAATTTTCTCTTCATTATTAGGATATGTTGGACAAGTTTCTCCATAAACATTTACAAGATTCATATTTTTCTCTCTTAGAAGTTTTTACAGGGAAAATTGTCCAAACATACTCTCAATGATTTATTCCCTTTCCTCTTTAAGGTGGAGTTGATAGCAATAGTATAACTTCAAAACAGTGTTTGGTTTATCAGATGCTGTATATGTCGAATGTACATTACCAGATATTTAAATTTAAAATTTGTAAATTATATACCTTGTTCTCTTTCTAATATCTTTTTGTTTGATGGGGAACTTCAAACCTCTTGATTTTTCTGTTAATACCAAATTTTCTGGAAAAAATTATTGCAGGAAAATTTGACAGTTAGCAAGGACCTGAGAGTTGAGCAAAGCTTTGAAGATCTTGAAACTACTTTCGTGGAAGGGGAAAGGTTCAGCTTTGATGTTGTACTTGAGCTTAAAAAATAAATTGAATTACATATCTTTGTTCAAAATTTATATGAGATTTTTCTCTTTCAATGTGAAAGTTTTCATTGCCATATATAAATTACAATCAAATGTTACGGTATGAAAACAAAATATATCTTAAAAATCTCTTACTCCTAAATTATAACAAACAAATTTTTGAATTCCCTTTCTACATGTCATATTCATGGGAAATTTAACAGGCATTTGTTTGGGTTTTTATTTGGTATCTTTATTTTCTGTTTTTTAAATTGTTACTAGATTTAGTAAACTTCACAGATTTCTTATGGTAAAATTTCTATATTTGCTTGAAAAAAAAAAGTTTTTTCCTTTTTAACGATAATGTTTCTGTGAGAATTTAAACTACAAATAATTCCTGAGAAGTCTTTCTATCTAATAATTTTATTTATTTTAAAATATTAATCAGCCTTGGGAAACATTCTTTCACAATTTCGGATCTACAAGAAAATAAAAAAATTCATTTCTAGTAAACGTCCCCTCAAACTTTAATTTATCTAATGAAAATAATATATTGAAACTGATATAGTTTTTAAAGATTTAAAATTCAAACTAAATGAGTCTTTAAGAAAAAAAAACTTTTAATCCTGGATATTTAAAAAAAAAAACGTTTTTACTTATAAATCACATTTTTATATAAATATAAGTTTGAAGAGAAAATCAGTATTCTAAAATAATTTTTTCTTAATTATTAAATGACAAATAGATTAATAAAAAAATTAATAAATTTGTAAGTGTTATTCTTAAATTTATAGGTGTATACAAGTTGGGTTGGATCCTAATAAAAATATCTTGAGTTAGTTTGGGTCAAATAGATCACAAATTTTTTTAAATAACTTTTTATTACAAATTTTTAATTTTAAAATATAATTTTTAGAATTTTTTAAAATAAAATAAATTAATTATCATTTAAATAATCTATTAATGAGTAAAATATGTTTTTTATACAAGTATTAGAAATTTTTGTATTTAGTACAATTAAATTTTATTGTGTGGTTCTCCTACATTATGATGTACTCATATGATTTTTAAGTGCCACATAAAATATAATATTATATATATTTTAAATTTTTAAAGGTCACCAAATTCCAAAACTTTGTTCATCATTGTGTTTCTAGAAAATACATTTTTTTTGTGCTGGTTTCCAATAATGTCTCTTGAAAAGGAGTTAAAATCTAACAATTGATGTTATGGGTTGAATCACCATTATCCATGGTGTTGCTACTACTAAGGGAAGAAGACATGATAAAAGAGTTTAAGCTTCTTTTAGAGTTAAGAATTGAGGTGTTCAGTGCATACCATATATCAATCAATACTCATCTTTGCTAAGTGTCCAAAAAATCAACCATCCCCAAAGAATTAGTTTCTGCAAAAGTTAATACCTTTTGATCAAAATTGGTCTCAGAGTAGGTGTTTTTTAACAAGTAAGGTTGGCCTACAAAACCATAACCAAACAAAGCTTGAAAAGCGAAAAAGAAAAACTTAAATTACTAAACTTTAAAAATATGAAATTTTAGACACTAAAAAGATTCGAATTTTTGGTTGGATATTCAAAATTGGTAATGAACATATTAACTCACGTACAAGGTTTCAAAGATGAAAACTTGAACACCTATAAATTTGTCTTTTTCTTTATAGGTTTGTGGTTTGCTATACTTCAAACAGTTACACCGAAAGAAGAAAGTCACGAATTTTATTCTTTTTTATTGTCTGTTTTAAAAAAAATAAGAAAAGGAACACCATTTGAACAAAACTCCAGGAAACTATGAATGCGTTTTTTTTTAGCTTATGTTTTTTGCGAGAAACGTTGAAAAAATATGTTACAAACATTTTATTACCACATGCATTTAGAAGTTAAACAAAATTAAAAATAATCATTACATCTTATGTGGTACTTAAAGAATACAACCCATCATTTATTATATCATAATTACATTAAACCAGGAAGAGAACAAACGAGTTTAATTATTTTATCCTTTCATAATTTAATTTTTAAAAAAATTATTTGACCAAAAATTTTGATTTAAAGGGTTAAATTGGTTCGTAAAGATACAACCCCCTTAAATTGGGTCGGATTTGACCAAAAAATGCAACCCAACCATGACCCCTACTTAAATCCCTCGTCACGTATTCTATATAGAGATGTACGTAGCTTTTGAAGTAACCAACCCTTGCACTGTAATTGAGTGTGTGAGTGTGATACTGGTTTGGAAAAGAAGAGGAAGAAGATGAGTACTGTGACCCTCCCTGACGACGTAATCGAACAAGTTCTGTTGAGATCGGTGGTGAAATTGGTGTTGCGTTTCAAATGTGTGTGTAAGTCTTGGTGCTCTTACATTTCTGATTCTCATTTTGCTAAATTTCATTTCGATTTTGGTACCGCACCCACCCACAGACTCTTACGTCTCAACTATGAAAATTATACTGCTATTTCCCTGGACACAGAGGCACCATTTTTTGATGATGCTCGAAAACTTGTTTACAAGATTCCAGGGTTATCAAATCCTTCCCATTATCGAAGAAAGGTACACATTTTGGGTTCATGTAGGGGGTTTATACTCTTACAAACAAACTTTTCCAGAAATTCTATTCTTTTCATGATATGGAATCCCACGACAGGTCTCCGAAAACAAATTTCCTATGATAATTCGTTGCGTTATTCACTTGGATTAGTTCTTTGTGGCGTTGTGTATGCCTCATCAGAGGATGACTATGTGGTGGTGGCTGTAATAGTTTTACAACAACGCATCGTCATCAATTGTTTCTCCTTGAGAACCAATTCATGGAGTGTGTACGAGGATGCTCTTCCGGATAATTATCTCTTAAGTTATACATACTTTGGGTGCATGTCAGTGTTGTTGAACGAGGTTGTTCATTGGTTGGTTATATCTGGAAACGGTAATCGTTACGCAATTGTGGCATTTGACATAAAGGACAAGAAAATATCATATATTCCATTGTCTCATGATTTGGTTGTTCAAATCAAACGTTTTGCATTTCCTTTTCTATTTCCTTTGAGGGTGTTTGATGGATGTTTGAGCGTGTCTTTCCAGAGTCACGACAAGATTGAAATTTGGAGCATGAAAGAATACAAAGTGCAGTCTTCTTGGACCAAGACATTTGTTTTGTCAACTCGTCCTGGTGTATTTTACCCAATATTTTCCACTCAAAATGGTCATGTCTTGGGATGGAATCGTGATGAACAAATAGCCAGATATGATGAGAAAGGTGAGCTTCTTCAGGTTCGCAGATATGAACATCACCACCATAACTACTTTTTGGCTGATTGCATTGTCTATACAGAGACTTTTCTACCTTTCCCCACCAACCCAGAAAGCAACCAAGTGAAGATGGAAAATAGCATCACTCCTAATCTTCATTAGTTTTCCACTTCAATTCAAATTTATTTTCTATATCTATTTTTCTCTCAAATATTTATCTATTTCATCCTTTATTTATTTTATTACAAATTTGAATTTTTATTATTCTGATTTATCTGTGTATTTCTTTCATTTTAAATATTGGTGGAACTGTCGAAAGCTTCAGTTCATTGAAAGAAGAATGTTACCATGTTAGTTGAAAGAAGAAAAAATACGCATGTGTAAGAGAAGGACTTGGTACCATCGTAGATTCGATTTTAGCGTTAAATAAAATAAATTTTGATTTAGTCTTATTAGTCATCTACCATTTTAAAGGTTAAATAAAAAAAATTATAATTCAGTTTTATTTATATTTTAAAATGAATCATAATTTTTAATTTTATTATTATTATTATTAATATTTTTATTTAATAATATATTAATTTAAAATAATAATTCATTTTAATGATTAGATAATAAAATAAATAATAGAGAAAAAATTATTTTTTATATTTATTTTTAAATTAAGTGTTAATTTTATTAAATTATTTTATAATATATATATATATATATATAATAATAATAAAATAATATTATTTTTTATTTTAAAATAATTATATCTTTATATTCATTATGATTTAAACGGATTAAAATAAAATATTTTATATATTATTTTGTCAAATTTTATCTAACTTTTCTATCTTCTAAATTTTTTTAATTAACTTAACTTATTTTGGCAACTTATTTAATAAGATTGAAATAATTATTTAATAAAGAGTAATATATTGAAACTTTCATTATTATTTTAATCCTTAAAACTAATAAATAATTTTTTAATTTCTCAAATTTTAAAAATAATATATTTTAATCTCTTAAATTTAATTAATTATAATTAAAAATAGCTAAAAGCTATAGCTGTTAGTAAGGTCCACCAGCCACTTAGCTAAAAGCTTTTATATATTATTTTGTCAAATTTTATCTAACTTTCTTTATCTTCTAAATTTTTTTGAATTAACTTAACTTATTTTGGCAACTTATTTAATAAGATTGAAATAATTATTTAATAAAGAGTAATATATTGAAACTTTCATTATTATTTTAATCCTTAAAGCTAATAAATAATTTTGTAATTTCTCAAATTTTAAAAATAATATATTTTAATCTCTTAAATTTAATTAATTATAATTAAAAATATAATATTATTTTTATACTAAATTTGTAAGATTAAAAGTAATTTAAAAAATATTTCAGTCTTTCAATTTTTTCGCTTAAAAAATAAAATTATATATTTTCTAAGAGAAATAAAATTGAAATCACTTTAAACTTTACATGCTAAAAACATAATTAGATCGATATTAAAAAAATATAAAAAAGGGCTAAAAATATTATCTATGCTTTTATTTTTCATGAAATCTGGCTTTAATTCGTATAATTTATACTTTGTCACACTAAAAAAATATTAAATTAAAATATGAAGATTAACTAAATTAGAGGATTAAATTATTTAATTTAAAATATAATAAGTAAAGACAAGTTTGATACTCGGGACAAAAACACATTTATGCGAATAAAAAAATATATTCTTAAATTTCTTTCGAAATTTTACTTTTTGTGTGGTTCAATTGTTTTTTTTTTAATTTAAGATCCATAATTTTTTTTTGTGATTTTATAATACTTCTAATTGTACTCTAATCTTTACTGTATATACATTAATAATTTTAATTTTACATTATAATTAATTAAATAATTATTTCTCAATAATATAAAACCATTATCATTACTTTGCCTAAACAAATAATACATAAATATAATATATACATAAAAATACATTAAATTATCGTTACATCTCAATTCCATCTATCTTTAAAATATACATGTAATTACTCTTTTAATACGAAATAATATATATATATATATATATATATATATATATATTTATTTATTTATTTATTTATTTCTTCTACATTTATATTACAATGATGTTTTAACATTTACAATTTTACCTGTTTTATTTAAAACATTACCATCTCAATTATAAATCCAAAATCTTAGATAAATATATAGAGATTTAAATGGATGTAAGAAAAGAATGAATTTTAGATGAAATATTTAGTTCCTATTTAAAACTTTTTTTTTAATGTAAAACTCATTATTAAGATTATAGATTCATGTCCTTAGACTATCTTAAATTAATGTTATGTTTATATTGAGTTGATTTTTTTTTTTTTTGTAATATATGATAACGTTTTCAAAACCCGAAAAAAAAAACGACTAAAATCGTGGTTAAAGAAAATCAATTTTGCAATTTGGTTTTTTAATTTTTTGTTTGGCACTAAATAAACACAAGTTTCGGGTCCGGGTCGGATGATTCGGGTATTGTGAGTGCCTGGCGGATAATATGTTTAAGCGGGTATGTGCGCAGCGTTTTGAACGAGTGGAGTGAACTAGAAGCATGAGCGCGGTGATGTGGAGAATCGTGAGCAGTGGCAGTTCGTCGATTTTCCGTCAAAGCAAACGAAATCGTCTCGCCGTCACTGTCCGTACGTTTTCCGCTACCTCCGGTCTCTATGGCTTCCCCCATTTGAAGACCCCCAAAGGCTTTCAACCTTTCGTCGATGAAGCCATTCAAAGGTATCTCTCTCATCGAATGATTTTCCGCACACAATTAATATTAATGATACTGTTTAAACTGTTACTAATTCATGCATGTGTTTCCCCATTTCTGTTGTGCTAGATTTGATCGATATTTTCTCTTATCGCGCATTGATGTATGTGTATTAAATTGTTCATAATTCGTTTACTAGCTATTATACTTGATAAACGGGCATTTGGTTCATTGTTTAACCTACATAAGGTAAAATAGTCTACACTTAAGTACTATTATTGCTGCTACAAATTTGATATATACTCACTCGGTTTTTAACGATGTGTGGTTTAAGGTTTTGTTGTAAAAACCAAGAATTGTGATATACTTTTTTTATTATATATGTAAATTAATTAAAAATCAGGCGAAGAGTAAGGATATAAGTGACAAAAGAGTGATCAATGCTGTCTTGACTTTTGAAAATGACCAGTGAATAGAAACAAAAGTCTTTCAAAAGGTTGACACAGGGCGTATATTACAACAATTTCTATCATTATGCGTTGACGTGTATTAAAATGCTGATAATTTGCTTTATGGGTAATTGTTGCACACATGTCTATCTGATTGTAGTGTGGTGATAAATGTGCATTTATTTTATTGGTGAACCAGGAAAGTGTTAAACAGTCCACACATAATCACTACTACTACTGCTGCTATTACTAATAATGGAGCCATGACCACCATGATTGATATTTTTTTTGTGGATTATTAGGTCTGAAGAACTCATCAGGTACATTTGTACGAAACATCCAGCTGCTGAAATAATGCGAGCAATGGATGAGATTTCTGACACTGTAAGTTGTTTTAATGAGAATGATTGGGCATGGTAGTTAGTACGCAATAAAATACAACCATTTTGATACGATTATGTGCTTTCAAAGTTTACATTGCCGTTTTTGAAACTCACGTATAGTTGATTAAGTAGTGTCATGGGAGATTTTAAAATTCCTCTTATTTTTTATTTTTTTTAGGCTATATAGTTAATTGAGCTGCAATTTTAAGCTAAAAATCCTAACTGATAGGCATAGAGTTAAGTTAATATGCATTCTTTTTTTCATTTCCCATGTTTCTTTTTGTTAGATTGGTTCTAGAGTTATATTTTTTAATTATTGATCACGTATTTGTGCCTATTTTTTGCTTTTATCATTGGCTTTGAGCTTTTATGCACACATTTATGTATGTGTGCTATTTTTATTATTGATCATGAATATTACTATTCATGGTACGGTTCAATTTGAGATTAAAAAAACTTGCTTTATAATTCACATTTTGTATCCCGATTCAACTACCTTGAGAGAATAAGTACTTTACTTGCTGTATTCACTCTCTCGTTTACATGGATTGCAATTTGCATGTTTCATTTCTCAGGTATGCTGTGTTGTTGACTCTGCTGAATTGTGTAGGCATACCCATCCTGACAGGTTCCCTTCTTGTTACCATTGTTCTTATTAGTATTTTAGCTTTTCCCTGGGCTGTATAATGTTGATAATTATAATTTAGAATTCGTTATAAATATTATTTTATTTAAATTATATTTGGATTTACAGTAAAAATTTAAATTCTGATGTAAGGTTATTTTTAACTGTTGATAGTTTCTTCAAAAAAAAGATATTGGATTTAAAGATACTTTTTACTGTTATTGATAAAGGACAACGATTTAAATAACCAGGAAAATAGTTTGAGAAAGATACTTTTTTTTGGGTAAAATGCACCTCGAAAAGAGAGGAGAAAGATATATTGAGAACATCTGTTATAGAGGGTGACAGTCCTACAGTCTTAAGTTGTGAATTCTAATTTATAATATAAAAGTACATGTTATTATTATTAGTGATTATAGTAATTGTTTTCTCTTTTTACTTAATTCTCATTCTTGTTTTTTGTGTGGTACATAACTAATGAGATCTTTGGCTATCATATTTTCTAATGCTTCTCTCATGATTGAAGTTATGTTTCTGCTTTTTTGGTAATCAGAGAGTTTGTTGAGGAGGCCAGCAAGGCATCAATGAGAATTAATGAATATCTACATGTGAGGTGACCGGTGATGCTCACTGTTTGCTTTTCTTTATGTTTGTTGTTAATTAACTTAACCAAAGCATGGCCTAAGAAAAATGAAAAAACATGTGATGTTGTTGTTCTGTTGAGTAAAGTGTTTAAAGCTTGAGTGTGTGTGCACAGGCATGGCCGTGTGCTTTGTTTACATGTTCAGGAACTCACTTTAATATTAGTTAAACTAAGAAACACATTATTTTTCCTTTTTGCTGTACAGTATCTGAACACAAATCATGACCTATATGGTGCGGTTAAGAAAGCTGAGCAAGAATGTCATATGCTTTCTGAGGAAGCTCAAAGGGGAGTTAGAAACTTACGGGTTGATTTTGAAAGGGGTGGTATTCATCTCTACCCTGGTAATTATATTACTATTAATTTCATGTTCTGCTCACAAAAAAGTTGTGGGAAACTTTTTCTCTGAAATGTTTCTTACGTGATGTGCTTTCTTTGCAGAGAAATTAGATCGAGTGAACACACTAAATATTGAAATTTCTCAGCTATGCAGAGAGTATGTTTATAACTGATACCAATGCATTGGTTGCCATGAAAAATGAATAATTTTCTTTTATAGTGGAAGCAGTCTGCTCCCCAAACATAAGTTTATATTTCTATTGTCTTTTCCCCTTTTTTTTCACTTATGTTGGTAAACTGGTTCCATTTAAAGAGAGAAGGTCCTTAAATGCTGCTATATAGTAAATGACAAATCAATCACAAGATTCAAAATGTTGTTCTCCAAAACGTAAATGTCATGAAGTCACATTAACAAATTTGCTACACTTTGAAATTACTCAACTGTGTTTAGACTAGTTATATGATTCATAAGTACTGCCACCACAAAGCTATTTCGCACTGTGTGAAATGTGGGGTTGGTTTCATGGATTAGTGGATGTTAATCGGAAATATAAAAAACCTACTGTTTAATGGTTCCTCCTAATGTAAGTCTTTCTGTTAGGGCCCAATCCACTTCAGGGGTCTATTCCTAAAGGGAAAGAATGGGTCAGAATAGTCAAACTTGTATATAAACATTTGGTACATCGGTAGAAGGCATGTTTCTGAACAATCCAATTGTAACCTTGAGCAATTAGCTTGTGGAAGGAAAAAATCCTGTTGGAGAGACTTGTCTCCTGAGTGCATTACAAAATTCTTTTGTATTTCTCTCTTTTTCCTTTCTCATAATAAGGGTGCATAGCTGGAAACATTGAAGTAAGTAACATGGGAGCAAGGAAATCAGCTATCTGAAATCAAGGCCCAACTGGGAAAAATTGATAAGATATGGACCAGACTGGGAATATATGATGCAAAACTGGGATTACTGATGGACAATGACAAGACTAGCAATTAAGTTCTTAGTCATTCATAGAAATGAAGAGGACACATGGGGTAATTGGTTGAACTATGGTAGTAATGAGGTATGATTTTGGTGCAAGAAAGTGGAACTACCAACCTTTGATGGGAATGGTATGTTGGGATGGATTGCTAAGGCAAAGAAGATGCAACTTGCTTTTATCAGGATGGCAGCAATGATAATGCATCAGTTTTGTTCCTTGAGGAAGAAAACCCTTGAGTCATCATGGAAGGACTTCACAATGATAATTCAGAGGCTTGGTGGAAGAAGTATGAGAAGTGTATATGAACACTTGTCCACCTTATGACACCTTATGCCGTAGAAGAATTTGGAATCTTGGTAGCCCAAGTAGAGAATCTTAATGACAAACAACTATTGGTTTTTTACTTGGTTAAACCAAAGATAAGATATAGGTACAATGGAAAACAAGCTGTCTGGGTTAACCTGATGGGCCAACTAAGAAATTGTGTTGCGTTGGTTGGGCCCATATTTTAAATGGTTAAAAAATGTTTGGTTTGACCGATCGGGCCAAAGAGTCATTTTGACTTTCTTTAAAAGAAAATAAAAAATATTAAAATATAATTCTAACTTTAAAAGAAACTTAAAAAAATGCTAATTTTTTTAAATTTTAAGTCACGAATAAAATTAATTTCAATTTTTAAATGTAGTGATTTGATATATATTTTCTAACAGTTTTATATATTTTATTGAAGGAATGATTTTAATTTATTAAAATTTTAATTATTTTTTTTAAAAGTGACTAACACATAAGCTTCTGCATTGTCCAAGTAAAAGTGTCGGCATTGCAGAATTTACCCTGCATGGGTGCTTACGTTGTAGAGTGTGGTGGGGTGCTAGGACTTAGGATCCAACTTGAGTCCAACTACAACAACTAGCTTTAGTGTGTGGTTTGCCTAAGGTTCTTATCCTATTATTGCTATAACTTGTATTTGACTAAGATGATCATGCTTGCAAATGTTTCAATGTGATTTCAATTCAGTCATTGCTTCATTACTTTTTCTCCACAAAAGTAGTCCGTTGTATGTTTGAATTAGGCTTACTTTTACTGTGATCTTGATCAGTTTGCAATTTCTTGGTTTGGTTAGGTACAATGAAAATATTGTCATGGAACCAGGAAGTGTTGATATATATCCTTCTTCTCGCATACCCAAGAATTTGCATTATCTTGCAAAGCCTATACATAGTTCAGAATCTTCAACAACCAAGGATTTATCAGGGTCCAGGGGCACCCTTAAAGAGAAAGGATTTCGGATTACAACAGACCCACAAACTGTTGCTTCTGTACTACAATTTTCATCAGATGATAAGGTAGTTTCTATTCAGTGATTTTCAAGTTTTCCTTCGAATATTGATACTAGTAGTAAGGATTACTCACGAGTCCTGTAGAGGACTGTTCAGTAAGTTCATGTGAACTAAACACAGTTGTAATGACATCTAATCTTCTAAACAATCCAGTATTAAGACTCTAGAGTACTCATGAACTCTGTTGGTATTCCAGATGACATCTAATCTTCTAAACAAACTTGTTTGTTTCCCACCCATTTGCACAGATAACATGCTGAAGAGCTTAAAGGGTCTGAAATTTCCAATGTCCAAAGGCTCTAGTTTCCTCTTAATTGAGTTGAGAGGATGCTGTCTCTCCTAACCTATGGTTTAAAAATTGGACTAGATTGGCCGAATAAATGAAAGATGTCCAACCCAATTGAACCTTAGAAACGATGAGTAAAAATATGGGTGAACTGGTCAAAACTGGTGAAACTAGTCAAAAATCGGTTTATTTGAACTTAAGAAACAATGTGAGAGTTGCATAGAATTGCTTAACATGCATTGTGATACATCCTTTTTATAATATCAGTAACTACTTACACCAAGGGGTGTTCCCAAGAAGAAAAATATTTTCGTTCCCAAGAATCATGAATCCTAAGAATTATGATTCATAGGAATGACTAAATTCTGTTTGGTTAGTCAAAAATATTGATGGGAATGTTTATATAAGTTTTCTAAAAATGAAAGAGTAATTTGGTTTTAGAAAAATTTCTTTTAACTTTTTCCTCTTATTTCTAGGCAATATGCCTTATTTCTTCAACCTAACTATCTGAATAATGTATTTAACCAATGGAAACCTGTCAATTTCTATCTTTATTTTAGGTTAGGAAAATGGTATATATACAAGGAAATTCAGTTCCACAGGCAAATGTTGATGTCCTCAAAAGGCTTATATCTGCTCGGCATGAGCTAGCTCAGGTCTGTATGATCATGAGGCACACATTTTAAGCAGTTTGTTTTATGCCATAAAATAGGTGTTCTCTCTCTTATTCAATGTTGGTGTTTGGTTCAACATGTTTCAAGATCCCCTTCATGTATTTGCATGCTTGCGAAACATATTTGATACTTCTGTTTCTTTTTCTTTTTGGGTAGAGATGAATTTTATTAAGGAAGAAGAGAAAAGTTTGTAGAAAGAGAATAAGAAATACTCTCAAGAAAATAAGACAAAGTGGGAAAACTGTAACCTAAGAGATTGGAATTTGGAATGTAACATTGTAACTAGTCATATTAATCTCTTTGTGCATGTCTGTAAAGCAGCTGTTCTAAATACATCAGGAGCTGAAGAAATGTACTTAAAATTCCTGCATTTCTGTTCAGTAATAAACACTAAAAATTTTATGGACAGAACATCGCAACAAAAATAGAACAAATGTGATATTTCTGTTTTATGAATTATACTAGGAAAAAGGAAATTAAGAGCTGAACATTTATTTTCTGATAATGAGTACATGGTAATTACAATTATATATGGGGACTAATCCTATTATTTAAAGGCTAGATGTCATAATTACTATTACAAAGGAAAAGTAAATTACAGGGTAATAAATCTTCACGAATAAAAACTGAAATAATGAAATCAGGAAAGAGTATCATGTGCTCCAACAATTATGAGCAAGGTTTGAATTCTCTTGGGTAAAAATTTTATTTTTGAATAAAAACGTGTGGGATGCTTATTCATCTTTACTTTGCTTGATTCTATTTTGACTTCATAGCATAATGATTTTACTGTGTAATTACTATTACAAAGGAAAAGTAAATTACAGGGTAATAAATCTTCACGAATAAAAACTGAAATAATGAAATCAGGAAAGAGTATCATGTGCTCCAACAATTATGAGCAAGGTTTGAATTCTCTTGGGTAAAAATTTTATTTTTGAATAAAAACGTGTGGGATGCTTATTCATCTTTACTTTGCTTGATTCTATTTTGACTTCATAGCATAATGATTTTACTGTGTGACTATTTCATGCAGATAATGGGGTGTAGTTCTTATACTGAATTTTCGATTAAGCCTAACATGGCTTTATCACCAAAAGTTGTAATGTCATTTTTACTCGAAATGAGCAAGATGGTTCAGTCTAAGACTAATGAGGTATAGATTCCTTCAAGGCATAATTTCTTGGGCATGAGGGTGTAATAGTTAAAGTTGCTTATGCCTGTAACTGAGAATTATTCTCTTTTACTTATGATCTTAGGAGCATAAGCTACTCACGAAATTCAAGAGAGAAAAATGTGGTCAAAATGATGGAGATTTAAGGCCATGGGATGAGACCTATTACATGACAATGATGAAGTCCTCTGCTTACAAATTGAATGCTTCGGTAATTAAAATATAATTACATCTTTTGTTTGTAATTAACACTAATACATACCCATGTATGTATTTTTCACATAAATGGAAAAATCATGTATGCAGATTGTAGGTTCATATTTTTCTCTCGCAAACTGTATTGAGGGTTTGAAGGTCCTGGTTCAGTCATTGTTTGGTGCAACCTTTCATAGCATCCCTCTAGCACCGAATGAATCTTGGGATCCACAAGTGCTTAAACTATCTCTTCATCATCCCGAAGAGGTATTTGGTGTGAAGAAAAATTTGGGCATACATTATATTTTTCTTTAGTTTTAACTTTTGTATTCTACTTATATTGTTGAATGTGAATTCAATATTGAGTTTTGATCCTAGTTTCAGTAATTTTATCTATAAGGACTCTTAAACTGGTAGGTTGGTCCATTATCACATTTTCTACCCGTTGAAAGAATGTCAGCTCTCCTACCATTGCCATTACCCTCTTTTTGCTTATACTAAAAGGGAGAGTGTATCTCATTTAAATGCACTATAAGACAACTGACGGTAGTCAATTGTGTATTAGAATTGTTACTGCAGACATAGCATCTAAACTAGCTTCGGTTTCTCAACTGAAAGTATAAATATAAGAAATCTATTTCGGTTAATCTAGCAAAATGGATTTCAAAATTATACACTCTCATGCACTTTTACACTTCTCATCATTTTCTTTTATTTCCTCACTTGAAACACAATCTTGTCACACTTGTAACAAAAAATGATGATTGACCTTACCATGGTGGGGTTATCTGATTCTGCATCAAACTATGGTTGGGAAGAGTAGTACACAGTGCTAATAATCTTTTTTATGTACTTTCATCCCCTCTCTCTGAGCACCTTTAATTTTCTTGCTTTCCTAGTTAAGTACACAAGATCTTATATTTTTAAGACCTTAATAAATTTATGTGTTGCCAAAGATCGGACACCTCATGTCTATTATATTCTCAGTGATGATTGATATCAATAATGCTTTGCTTTATTTTTCTTAATTAGTTCGAAGATACTGAGACTCAATCTCATTTCAGGGTGACTTGGGGTATCTGTACCTTGATTTATACTCGAGAAAGGGAAAGTATCCTGGTTGTGCTCACTTTGCAATTAAAGGGGGCCGGAGGATTTCTCAAACAGAATATCAACTTCCAGTATGTGAAATTTCTTTATTCCCAATTTCTTAATCTGATTGTGGCATCTAACTAGGAATATAGTTTTCTCTTTGTGTCACTCATGTGTAGTGCCTTTTATGTGAAAGTTTTTTTTTTTTTTTTTTTTTTCATTTTCAATAAGGTTTTATATTAGTGAAAAGAGAAGAGATCGATCATCCTCTGGTGGAAAAACATGATGCTTGGTGATGTGAGACTAAGGGAATACTATTTCACCAATTAATTGGCACTGTTCAATACCTAGCACTTCCGTAACCCTCTATTTATGCTACATGAAGACAACTACCCTTTACTTGGGGTGCACTCACAATAAGATAAATAATTATGTAGTCCATTGCCAGCATGAATTTACCTAATACTATCTTATATTCTTAAATGCTCCTTGTCATGTTGAAAGCTTAACAGGCATGCAACTTGTTACAAATATCAAACCTGTCAACAAAAACAAAGAAAACAGTTTAGATAAAAATCAATTCAACCAAAGAACTTAGGCAATAGTTCTGTTCCTGAATTACAAAACATGAATAATCTCCAATCACTATAGCTCTGACTGCATCTAAAACCACGTTCAAGTTAGTAAACAACCATAATCACCTCATATATAAACTCAATTACCAATCTTTTACTGCTAAATTATAAGGCAAAACAGACCTAGAACATGTTATCTGTTATATTTTCACCGTTTACTTCCCTCCAAATGAAACATTGACCTTTAAATATTTTAATTTTCACTTGACTTTACAAGAAACCTTTTCCTAATTCCCGTTAGAATCTAGAATGAGTTAAGAAACTGGAAGCAGGGCTTATAATAACACTATAAAAGACTAAACAATCTAAATTCTCCTCCTTAATTCAAATAAAAATATGAAGAAATCAAGCTAAATCATAAAGAATTAAATCTTATTAATCTTAATCATTTAGGTTCCTTTCGGAATGGAATTTAAAGAAATGTTACTATTTGGCTATGCTTTTGGCATAATATGTTGGAAATGATCGCAGTATAGTTATTATTACTTTGGAAATCTGTTAGATACCTAAGTTAGGCTTCAATCGGTTAATAACAAATTTGTAGCTGCTGTGACACTATCAACTTATGTGTTTGAGATGTAACTGAAAGGAGCAGATTATAACTTGGAGAACATAATGACGGGTTGTTTTGGTTTTGGATGGAACTGGGAGGGAGAGCCCTGGTCTCTTCTTTTCCTTTGTCTCTGTTATTGTATCTCGTACATACAGTTTATGAGACAGATTTTCGTATCAGTAAGCATCCCATTGCTTTCCTATACTTTGATCCCATTCTATGAGAAACAATTACAAAACATGGGAAATATTAGTCTGTTAGGTTATAGTTCAATTCTTTATAATTCTTGTGGCTAATTGTTTTATGCTATATTGGCCATATATCACCACCATTTTTATCTCTTGACTTGCCCCGCTGAAGTGTTAAGGGTACTTAGATAGTAAATTTTGATTGGATAATTATGGGTAAGAAATAGGAATGAACTTTATAGGTTTTCTTAGACTTGTGTTTTGTTCAATAAGTTTTTTCAAGAAGACATTTTCCTTTTTTAGACAAATATCAACGTGCACTGCTCATTTTAAACACATTTTTCTGACTAAATCTCCGTATTCAATGGATTTTTCAGAGACATTTTCCTTTTATTAGACAAATATCAATGCACAATGGTCATTTTAAACACATTTTTACTGTATTCACGCTAGATGAGGCAGACTTCTTATTCCTCTTTTTTATGCTTGGTTCTGATGATTTTGCAGATTGTTGCTCTTGTTTGTAACTTTTCGGGTTCTCAGAATCCATCAGCTGTAAGGCTCAATCACTGGGAAGTAGAAACACTATTTCACGAGTTTGGACATGCTCTTCATTCTTTGCTTTCAAGAACGGTAACCTCTTGAATTTTTCATGAAGAAATTGTTGCTTTACAAAATGTGGATGAAACTGTATGACGTGATAGAATCAAAGATAAACAGTTGTGCAAGTTGGATTCACAATACAAATTAATTGTTGATGATATAAATAAAATATCTGTTTTCGAGGTTAACTTCTTTTACTTTTGTGATATCTAACTATTTTAGTCAGGCTGGTAAGATCTCCAATCCCTTAAGCACCTAAGAATGTTACAGAACCAGTCCCTCAATTTTAGGGATTTGCACAACCATTGGAATTAATCACTTGTTTACGTAACTTGCCTTTTTGTAATAGGTTACTGCTGTCATTTTTGTAATGAGATTCGGTCATGTTGTCATTGTAGGACTACCAGCATTTTTCGGGCACCAGAGCAGTTCTAGATTTTGCAGAAATACCATCCAACCTGTTTGAGTGAGTAGAATGCAGCAAGAACTATTCTCTTTAATTCTTAACCCTTAAATCAGGATGGTAAACAAAATATAAAAGTTTTGATTGAATTGTTTAATTAGATGATACTTGCTGTGCAAGTGCCTAATTTTCAGTAACACATGTACTTTGGTTTCATTTTGCAGAATTAAGCTGATATCCCAGTCTTTTAAAATAGTATTACCTTAGCCTCTTGAATTTTTTAACGAAACACTGATTTAGTCCCCTACATCCATCATTGTCTTTGAGTTTTACCCTGAAATTTCAATTTTCTGAGTTTAACCCTGACACTCAGAGACTCTTCTATCTTCAATTGTGTTCTGCCATCTGACTTTCATTATGCATCAAAACAAGATGAAAACAATGTCTTACAGAAAAGTCATGTGGCATAATTATACCCAGCAAGGCACTGGAGTAGTGCTCGATATTTTTCACTGACTAATGTCAACTGTGTCTCTAACTCAATGTGGCTCTTGACATTTAAATTCGCAACAATTTTTTTCGAAGCTAAACAGAAAAACACACTTAAATAAGTTGTTATATAATGTTGGAAAATCACCTTAATTTCGGTCACTCCTAGACCACCTTAGTTTCAGCCTCTTTTGGGTTTGCCTTAATTGCAACCTCAAAGTTGGTGGTTTAGTTCTACTTCATCTAGATTTATGGTTTAAATAGGGGTTATAAAGCATGGTTAATTCTTTTTTTACAAATCAGTTTGGGTGATTTAGTTGTCATAAGTTCAAATTCTAAGAGTGATGATTCATGGTATTATTCATGGTCAATATGGTCAGTCAATTTATTCACGGTCACCCGTAAAATTTCCTTTAGGCAGTTGATAGGATTTTCCAATATTTGAAGGCAAGCAAGTACAGATGAAGGAATGGTATTCAGGAGAGATGGTAAATTGTCCAAGGATTATGTCAGGTCAGTTATAGATAGTAGGAGGAGATCCACCCCGGATACTGCATGTTTCTCAGAGGAAATTTAGTAATGGAGGAGCAAGAAGAAAATGTAGTTTGGTTTAGTGCAGAAGCATAATTCTGACTTATGATGCATGACAGTGTGAAGCATTATGGATGAAGATGATTCTAGATGACCTCTGAAAAATAAGGGACCTATGAGGCTGTTTTGTGACAACAATTTAGCTAATAGTATTGCCCACAATCCAGTTCTACATGACACAACAAAGAAGACTTTGATGGGTACTTACATTAAAAATAAGTTGGGTGGGGCTCTAATCAACGGATGTTTTCACCAAGGGGCACTCCCCATTGCTAGATTTCAAGAATGTACTGGCAAGTTGGGAATGATTGATATTTATTTACCAATTTGAGGGGGAGTGTTGTAATGTTGCAGATATTTAGGATATCATCATTTGATAATTTAGAACGGGGAGAGTTTTTTAATAAATATGGCTACCCGCTCATTGCTGATATAGGTATAATAACTTTGCATGACAGATACTATGCCTGGGATTATCGAGTTTTGAGAAAATTTGCTAAACACTATTCAACTGGTGAAGAAATTCCTCAGAAGTTGGTTGAGTCAATGCAGGGTGCCAGGGACATGTTTGCTGCAACTGAACTGCAACGTCAGGTTTTTTATATTTTACATTTCTTTTCTTTTCTTTTTCATGCCTGTGTAGGGTACGCATTGGTTGTCAGTGCACCACTTTATTTTTCTATTTATGAAGAAAAATACCTTACACAGTTTAACACCCTAATTGTCTTTTTTGTCAGATCTTCTATGCTCTTGTTGACCAGACACTTTTTGGAGAGCAACCACTTCCTCATGATGATATTAGTTCTGTTGTTGCTGAACTGAAAAGAGAGCACACCAATTGTGAACATGTGGAAGGCACACATTGGGAGACCCGATTCAATCATCTACTTAATTATGGTGCAGGTGTGTCTGAGGTCAACTTTCTTATAATCCTTGTATCAGTTATGTTGAGCATACTAAAATCTCAATAACATGTTTTGATTTATGAACAAATGCTACTCTTGTGAGAATGACAGAACTAATTAATTTTGAATTAGCAGGTGCTTGATTTCCTTTGGATGGATTGCTTTCATCGATCTTGCACTTCATATAGGCCGGAGATTTTGAATTTTAATTTTAAATAATGATAAAATGTTATTCCGTTTAATAACCTGACATAATAATGCTAGAAGTTTTCTACATAATATTGTAGTTATATTCATCCTATGGATGGCACCAAAAGTGTTTGCCTTCAACATGAATTTCTTCATTTATTGAAATTTTGAAGTGTGGGTCGATACTTAATATATTTATTATGCAGGTTATTATAGCTATTTGTATGCCAAGTGTTTTGCTGCAACCATATGGAAGAAACTGTGCCAGGAGGATCCACTTTCACCAACTACGGGATTTGCTTTAAGAACAAAATTCTTACAGCATGGTGGAGCCAGAGAACCAGCTGCATTGTTGAATGATCTAATAGGGGATGGGATATACAGGTATCATGATGGAGGGATAATGCCCGATATTTCATGTCTTTGTGATGAAATGAAGTTGGTTGAAGAATATCGGCGGCAGGTCCATTTGGTGTGATTTTAAGGAAATAAGACTTGACTCAACTGGCTGCTAGCACTCCCCATAGTTTCCACATGGACACAGCAAATACTAGTACCATGCAAACTATCCTGTCAAATTTCGTGAGGCTTTGTTGTGGGGTCTGTGTCCATTTTTGTTTACACCACCTTATCAATCATATGAAAGAGGATCCAATTTTGATGTACGGCACAATTTCAAGTGTAAATTGCATATGCACTCACATTAGCTTCAACAACTATCATAAACTCGTTAAGAGATAATAAATGATGAAAAGGGAATATGATAGAAATGAACGTAAATGTGTATGCAGTCCTTAAAAAATCACTTCTTACTGCTTCTAAGCCTCACAAATAAATATATTTATTGATTACAGTAGTCATCTTTTTGAGGGTAATTTGATTCTTACAATTCTCGAAATGCAATTGTATCGTATATACGTATTATATAATTTCAAAATTAATATACGATTTAGTATTTTAATTCATTGATATAATAAAAAAGGATATACGTCGTAATCAATATAGAGTTGCTATAGATCTCAGCGTATTGAACCCTATGTCTGGATAATTCAATCCGATCTGACTCACTAATTTGATAACCTAATGAAAGATCAGGTTGCTTTATGTCTATAACAGTTATATATTTATAGGTAAACTCGCAAATTGCGTTGGGCTCTTACTCCAACATTTCTAAATTTTTTCATGTGCTATCCTTGTCGACGATAAAACTTCATTTTTAATGATAATTATTAATTGATAGTTGATAATTGATTCATACATTGATATTTGTTATGATTTTAGTCTTAGAATTTAGTGTTAATTTCATTTTGGTCTCATAATTTTTTTTTTTTTTTAATATATCCTTAAAGTTTGACTCAATCAAATTATTTTAGTTTCAAATGTAGCATTAAGAACTAAAAACATGTTTTAAAATTAAGACTTTATATTTTTAAATTAAGAAATTCAAACTAGATTCATCCTAATTTCAAGGAATAAAAGTATAACCTTGTACCTTTTTATTGTAATATCTAATTATGCTATTTGTATTACGCGTGGAAGACCATACACCTACTATGTAAGTGCGGAGGAGAGGTATTCACGGGCCTATGTCCTAAAAAAATTATTTTGATTTAAGATTTTATTAAGAAAATATTTATAATTAAAAAATATATATTTATATATATTATTCTTTTAAAACTAATTTTCTCATTCAGCTTTTGCATATGTATATCACTTTCTATCAATACACATTCACTATTTCTACTTCTTCAAAGTATCCACATTGTGTAAATTAAACACGAGATAATAATTACTTATTTTTCTTACCTGTTAATTACAAATTCTTACTCATTTAGTTAACTCTTTCTATATATATGGTTAAAAAATAAAAATAAAAAGTGAATCAATAAAAAAGTTGCGATTTAAATTAATCTGTATTACTGTTTTTTAACTTTTTTTTAAGTGACTTAAATAATGTTAAGTTTATCAATTCATAAGTTAGTGAATTTGACCGTTTTATAAAATTGATCATTATTTTTAAAAAATAATATCAATGAAAAGATAAGTGTTGGTTTCTATATATTTTTTTATAATTAATTTATTTTAAAATATTTTTCTTAAATTTATTTTGTTTTTTCTCTTTGCTTTTTAAATGTACATTTTTTTTTCATCTATCATATTATTTTCTCTCATGTATTTTACTATATTTTTAAATATATGAATCATATTTAAAATTATAATATTTTTATTTTAACCCTAAAAAATTATTTATATGAGAGATTTTTCATTATATATAATTATAAATAAAGAAAGAGTTGAGATACTTATTTATTTTAAGATTAAGAGACAGTCTTTATTTTTATTAGTAAAAATACAAATGCATACGCGTGTATATGTTCGTATTTTTATTATATTTTTTATTTTAATTTAATAAAATTTAATATATATATATATACATATATAATTTATAAAATATAATTTTTTATTAGAAATTATGAATTTTTGAAAACAAATAATTGTGCCATAGATTTTAAGAAGAAAGAAAAACTAACAAGAAAGTAAAACAAAAAATATATTTTTTATTATTTTATATATGAGAGAAAGATTAAAAGAAATATATTATTAAAAAACGCAAAGAGAAAACGAAATAATATAAATATAAATTATATTTTGTTTTCATTTGATGATATAAAAATCAGTTATTTAAATTATTAATAATTTTTAAACTGTTTATTTTAGTTTAAAATAATTTAAGATATATTAAAAGATTCATTTTATTTAAAATGTGTATTTTATTTAGATATAAAATAAATTATGTTATTATTTAAATAAATTCATAAATATATTTAAAATAATTTTGAAGTATAATTTAAATTTAAATTTTTTATTTTTTAGTGATTTGTAAAAAAGATAATTATAAAGAGAAATTTAGAAGAAAAAGATCAAAATTTGATTGAAGGTGATATTTGAAATGGATGTGAATAAAGAGTATAGTTCCAATTAATATCTAAAAAAATTAATAAAATAATATATTCCGTTGTGAATATATTAGGTGTATCTCCATGATCTCTTACTGGTAGTTGCATAAAATGTGAATCACGTGCGTCTCATTACCTACTTATTTTCGTCTCTTCGAATTCCTAACATCATGCCTCTTCCTCTACTTCAGTTTCAAACTCTCTCGAATTGGGATTCTATGATCAAAAACATGGACACAGTCACGGAGTCAAGATCAACGTCTTTCTGTGATTTTCTCAATCGCATGCATCACCCTGCTTCCCTCGACCTTGTTCGATCCATCAAGAGGCAAGCACCAATTTCACTCTATTTTTCTTTTTGCATTTTCTTATAATCATTTTCAATGCTTATGGTATACATAGTTTTTACTTTGTTTGTGTATTCAAAGTTGTAAGAGAAACCAGTTTCTGTTTATTATTAGTATTATTATTCCTGCTATAGGTTCAACACATTTCATTGCATTCAATATGTTATGGAAAAATAAGGAAAAAGACACAATGTCACTTAAACAAACTGAGAAATACTCGCTGTGACTTATAATTTTAATATTTTTTAACACATTTTTTATTATTGACTACAATTTACTCTGAATTACAGAACTATATAGATCAAATCTCTGTTTAATGAGTTTTATTTGTTAATTATTTCAGTATTAGTTAATAAGTGATTGTGTGTTTCAGAATTAATAGACAAAAGTTTGCTCCTCACCCTCATCAAACAAATTTATTAAACCTTAACTTAGGTCCTATGTTGTATCGTTCTCTCAAGCTTCAAAATATGGGTAGCTTTTTTCTAGTTTATTCACGATTATGTTGAACATGTTTTCTTTGGATATTTTGATTCCCGTCTTACATTGGTTTCCAAGATGAGTAGTTGTTGCTGTTAACAGGAAAAATGTTAAGGAATAGATTTCAGTGTCAGATTTAGAAAATAGATCGCAGATTTGTCTGTTGGATTCATCAAGAAAATGATTTAGTGTAATTGGCAGCTTATAGAACAATATTTCCTTAGATATATCCTTCTGTCATTACTAATTACACTTTATGTGCACCAGAAAGCCGCTGTGAGTTAAAAATAATTTTCGTGTTTCAAATTTATGAGAAAATTAGACGAGGAAGCTCTTCTTAAAAATGTTAAAGGTGAATAAATTAATTTAACTTATAAAGGCTTTGATTTATTTTATCTTTTTACATTAAATACAACTTAAAAAATAAATCCAAATTGAACTTTGTTTATGAATTTTTTCTCTGTTTTGCGTTTCTGTTAATCCTGACGGCAAACTATTTTATCAGCTTTATAGTATCATTTTCCTTTTACCAACCGAAACCTGAAAATGATGGGAATAAAGTTCAAGACTTTTTTCTGTTTATGGAAGCTGCGATAAGAGATCATCCACTTTGGACAACTGCCTCTGAACAAGACATTGATTGTGCCATGGAGGTTAGTTCATCAAATAGTCACAATTCTAAAACATACTACGTCAATTTAATATATTAACAAATCGACGAAGGTCTATGTTACAAAATGAGTTGAGTCAGATTAAGTTTTAGGAAATTTAATTTTTGATTCCTGAATTTAAGACCTAAGTTTGACTTAAACTTTTGTTGGAAATCCTATTTTATATTAGTCTTTAAATAAATACAGATGCTATTACCTGTTGTATAGGTTCACAAGTCTAAAAGTATGTTTCAGAGTTCAAGTCTTTAAATATATCATTAAGTACATATACTATTCTCATATGCTTACATAATAATATTACATCACATATATTTAATCAAATAGGTTGACTTTAAAAACCATTTTGAATGAGTTGAAACCTATTCTTTGTATATTGATTAACCTTTTAAAAAATGTAGTCCTAACTAAATTAATAAAACCTAACCAAGCTCGAGCGCGACCATTTAAATAGAAAGCGTATACAATATTATATTGTTACAAAGATATAGAAATTTAGAATTAGTCAAACTAAGTTCGAATGAGTAAGTGTAATTTTCCTGTTCACAATTGTTATTCCCTCTTTTTTCTCGTCTTTCCTTTCTTAGAGAAACACTATACAATGACAACAACTAGCTTCTTCATGTTAGGAACAAGACAATAATAAAGGAAAGAATAAAGGAGAGAAAAATAAACGACACAAGAATTTTAACGTGGTTCGGCTAAAATATGTATGCCTACGTCCACGACTACACTAGGAAGTATTTTTATTTCTGTGTATATCTCAAACTTTACATAGGGTTGCTTATATAACAAAATAGAGAACCTCATCTCACAATCCTAATCGATGTGGGACTAAATCAAGCACCATAATACTAACAATTCTCCCACTTGGAGTTTGATTTACGTTACCACCTAGTGTAGTGCCTTCATCATCAATTTGCTCGAAGGCCGCTTGAGGCAATGCAAAGCCTCAACTTAGTTATTGTAACAGTCTTGGTCAACATATCAGCGGGATTCTCTCGCACCTGGAATCTTCAACAAACTCAAGTCTCCATCATTTATCGGGTTTCGATAAAATGATACTTCAATTCAATGTGCTTACATCTCGGAATGAAGGATTGGATTTTTAGCAAGACAAATAGCACTTTGATCAGTCACTAAACAACGGAGAACCATCTTGTTCTCTTCCTAATTCTTTTAGAAGGTTCTTCAACCATATCATCTCCTTCGCCGCTTCCGAGATAGCTACATACTCGCTTCAGTGGTTGAGAGAGAGACCCTTCCTTGAAGTTTAGACTTCCAACTCGATAGTCGTACCACCCAATGTAAAAATATAACCTCGTTGTGCTCTTTCTACCGTCAAGATCACCTCCCAAGTCTCGCATCGAAAACCCCTGTAAAATGAGATTACTTCTCTTGAAAGACAAATGCATCTTTGAAGTGCCTTTCAAATATCCGAATATCCACTTCACTCCTTCCTAATGCTCCTTTCCAGGATTTGATAGAAATCTGCTCACAACTCCCACTCGCATGTGCTATGTCTCGGTCCGGTGCAAACCATAGCATACATCAAGCTTCCTACTGCAGATGCATATGGCACTTTAGACATGTGACTTTCTTCTTCTTCTGTTTGAGAAGATTGCCTCTTTGAAAACTTTAAGTGAGTTCCCAAAGGTGTATTCCTGGTTTTAGCATTCCCAACATTGAATCTGCTAAGCAATTTTTCTATATATTTTTCTTGAGATAAGTTCAAAATACCTTTATCTCTATCTCGGGAGATTCTCATACCAAGAATTTGCTTGGCTGGACCAAGATCCTTCATTTCAAAGCTCTCTGACAATTGTTTCTTCAACTTGTCAATTTCGCCATATTAGCTCCAACAATCAACATGTCGTCAACATATAAGGCAAGAATGATATAGCTATCAACATATTTCTTCACATAACAACAGTGATCTTCTTCACATCTCGCGAAATCTCGAGTTTCTCATAAACTCATTAAACTTCTTGTACCATTGTCTCGGCGCTTGTTTTAATCCGTACAAACTTTTATGAAGCTTGCATACAAGATTTTCTCCGCCTTGTACTTCAAAACCTTTTGGTCGTGTCATAAAAATTTCCTCTTCAAGATCCCCATGTAAGAATGCAGCTTTGACATCTAACTCGCTCCAAATGAAGATTTTCTGCAGCCTACTATACTCAAGATAACTCGATGGTAGTCATCTTGACAACAGGAGAGAAAATTTATGTGAAGTCAATTCCTTGTCTTTGTTGGAACCCTTTCACTACGAGTCTAGCCTTATATCTTTTGTCGCCATCCGGTTCTTCTTTCAACCTATAGACCCACCTGTTTTGCAAAACTTTCTTTCCTTCTCGGTAGCTTGGTTAAAGACCATGTTTTATTCTTCCGAAGGGACTTTATCTCATCTTCCATTGCTAGCTCCCACTTAATAGATTCATCTCCCCGCATAGCCTCAACGAAATGCTCCGGCTCACCAAGCATCGATCAACAACAAATAATGCAATGAAGGGGAATACCTTTGTGGTGCTACAATTGTTCTGCTAGATCTTCTAACCAAGATTTCAGGAGTTGCTGACTCTACTATTTGTTCGAGTTCTGTCTCAGTGCTCGACATAGGCTCTACTTGTATATTCCGCCTTCGGTTGACTACATCACTTTCTGAAATTTCTTCTAATGATACTTGCTCTAGTCTGTTTATTTACATTTGCGGATTCTGCAATCTCGTCTCTATAGAACATGTTTTCATTAAAAGTAACATTTCTACTTCGATAATTTTCTTGTTTTGGTCATCCCAAAACCTCGTAGCCAAACATGTCAGATCCATAACCAATGAAATAACAACGTTTTGCCTTAGGGTCCAATTTATCTCTACTATTAGAGTCTAACATAACATATGAAGCACAACCAAAAACTTTCGGATGTGAAAGATTTACCTCTTTTCCGCACCATACTTCTTCGTGTAACTTATAGTCTAAAGGAACCGATGGTCCTCTCGTTTATGAGATAGGTCGCTGTGCTTATTGCATCTCGCCCAAAATACCTTGGGTAATCCTCGACTGGATTCTTATACATCTTGCTCTCTCATTCAAGGTTCTCGTTCATTCTTTCGCCACACCGTTTTGTTCTCGGTGTTCCTGGAACTGTCTTGATCATTCCGATCCCATTCTCTCGAACAAAACTCCTTGAATTGACTACTCGTCATATTCTCCACCATTATCGACTTCAAACATTTGACCTTTAAACCTGTTTGAGTCTCAACCTCCTTTTTCCACCTTTTAAACACGAAAACACATCGATTTATTTTTAAGAAAATAAACCCATACCTTTCTTGTAGAGTCATCAATGAAGGTTACATAATATTGTGAACCTCCAAGGGATTTCACTGAAGCCGGCCCCCAAACATCTCGTATGCACTAGTTCTAGTCTTTCAACTTTAGACGACTTACTTGTTTTGGAGAAGCTAACCTTTTTCTCGCTTTCCAAAGATACAATGTTCGCAAGGTCCAACGTCAACATGCTTCACGTTAGGTATTTTACCTTTTGATATCATGAGCTTCATTCCTTTCTCACTCATATGCCCAAGCCTCCGATGCCATAAGGAGGAATTGTTGCCAACTTCGCAACCGATATCATATCCTCATCTCGCAATCATGTAGAGAGATCCTTGCTTCTTTCCGCGAGCAACAACAAGATTACCTTTCATTACCTTCCAATGTCCATCTCCAAAAGTGGTGTAATGTCCCTCATCATCCAACCGCCCTATAGATATTAAGTTTCTCTTTAAGGTTGGAATATGTCTCGACATTATTCAAAGTCCACACGTTTCCATTAGAGGTTTTGATGTTAATATCACCTCTTCCTATGATATCAAGAGATTTTCCATCTCGCAAGGTAGACCTTCCCAAACTTTCCGAAACATAGTTAGATAATAGTTCTAAGGAAGGTGTAGTATGAAATGACGCACCTGAGTCCATAATCCATGAGTCAATAGAATTATCTAAACTACATAACAAGTGCATCTTCAACTTCATCAGTTGTCGCATTTGCTCGATTGATCATCATCTTGCTTCTTGTTGTTGTTGTTGTCCTTCTTTGGAGCCCTACACTCGATTTGAAAAGTGGCCCTTTTTCTCGACAATTCCAACAAGTGATATCATTCCGGACTTTTGCTTGTGATCTCCCTCTCGGATTTTGATCTCGCCTCGGCCTTGATTACGACTTTTCTGGCGACTTCTTCCTCTAGTTTCAGCACTCAATGCTCGAACCCGAATTAGAACTCGAAAGATTCTATCGAATTTTTTCTGCGAACATCTTCGCTTAAGATCAAGTCACGGATGTTATCAAGCTTCAACTTGTTATTGCTTGCGTAATTACTTCATCGTAGTAACAGCTTGCACCCCAACTTTCCGTAGAGATGATAATAAAATTAATGCTTTCACCTCATCATCAAATATTATCTCGCACCGATGTCAACTGCAGCAATAATTGCATTAAATTCACTAATATGATTAGTAACCGAGTTACCTTCACCCATTTTGAGGTTGACTAGCCTCGCGAATCAAATGCACTTTATTGGTCGCAGAGGGCTTCTCATACATATTTGACAACGCCTGCATCAAATCTACGGTTGTCTTCTCGTTCATGATGTTGAACGCAACATTCTTGGCTAATGTCGACCGGATCACACCAAGCGTCTCGCTGATCTAACAACTCCCATTCTGATCGCTCCATGTCGGTTGGCTTCGCCTCGTCAAGGGTAGATACAACTTCTTCCGATACGGATAATCTTCCATCTCGCATCTTCCGAACCCGAAGTCACCGCCATCGAACTTCTCGATCCTCACCTTTCCTTCTTCCAATGCCATTGCTCTCACTGCTTTCGAAGAAAGCTCCCACTGTTTCTCTAAACCGAGATTCCCAAGAAAAAAGACCAAATCTTTTCTGATGTGGAAGATCAGACAAAGCTGCAACCACAGAGCATACTAAGAAAATTGGCTCTGATACCAATTGTTAGGAACAAGACAATAATAAAGGAAAGAATAAAGGAGAGAAAAATAAACGACACAAGAATTTTAACGTGGTTCGGCTAAAATATGTATGCCTACGTCCACGACTACACTAGGAAGTATTTTTATTTCTGTGTATATCTCAAACTTTACATAGGGTTGCTTATATAACAAAATAGAGAACCTCATCTCACAATCCTAATCGATGTGGGACTAAATCAAGCACCATAATACTAACAATTCATTCATTATGTAACTTCCTTAGTGAAAGTTATCAATGCAATACTAAGTTATATTGACTCATATTTTAAACCAGAGCATAGTGATATTTCTTCTTCCATTTCATCATGGAGAGGAAGTTTTCGATTTACAATATGCATATAACTATATTATGTATTTTATCTGCAGGGTTTAGAAAAATATATAATGATTAAATTGTTCTCTCGAACATTTTCTGCTTCTGCTGAGGATTCAAAGATTGACAATGAAATCTCTGAGAAAATTTGCTTGCTCCAGACCTTTCTTAAGCCTGAACATTTGGATATACCACCAACTCTTCAAAATGAAGCCTCATGGCTGGTATGCTTCATTAGGATGCTAGATAAATTTAATGCTAATAATTTCTACCTAGTTATTACAATTATTACATTGAATAGGCTTTGACTTAGACAAATTATGCTATTACTTTTTCTTACAATATATAGCTTTTACTACCTGTTGTTAATGAAATTTTATTTTAATACAAGCAATGAAGGAAACTGTTGATTTGTTAGCATTGGTGAGACCTAGAAAAAAAAAATGGGAATAATGTTACCTTTCAGCCTTAGAACACTAGCAGAAATGACTTTTTTTCTCTTTTTCTAATAAGCTTTTGAAAATAAATTCTTTTCATTCGTGGTATTGTATTAGTCAGGTTAGAGATGAGATATAAAATCATTTTAGCATTTTGCTTGAGCTTCTGGGATTCTTACTTCCTAACATAATATTCTCTATAATTAACTGATCTAGATCATTGGAACTCCCATTCTTCTAATAGAAGTTGGAATAGTTACTCATGTGTCTTTCAATTGATAAATTAAACTTTTGGAATAGTTGGTTCATGATTTTAGAAACCCTTCGCACCATATTATGTGAAACTGTAACAGGACAAGCACAGTATTTTTGCAAAGAAAACGGAGTTTAAATTGCAAGAGTTAATCCAATTCCAAAATTTAGATAAACATCCATCAGCTGTCCTACAAATAAGAACAGAGAAGAAGAGAGAAAAAACAGAGAAAAAGCATGTACGTAGGATGTACTGTACATCTATCATTTTGAGATTTCGGTAGGATTTAGATCCTCGAAGCGAGATTTGTCATGTCATGAGCTTTGTGCAACCAACATTCTGAATAACTCATAGCTGAAGAACACGTTGCTGCAAAAATTTGATCTTTCTTCATCTTGCTCGACAATTTCGGCATTGACTTCATGCGGTTGAAATTCGCCTTTGCAGATCACAGCTTCATGTCCAAGCTGGTTGCATTTGCTAAACTTTTCTCCAGCATTTGAACGGTGGGTGACCCATTTTTCGCAATGCTGACAGATAATTTTTCATTGTACCCTTGCCTTTGTTTTGGTTCTTTGCAGTACTTCCAGCTTCATTATGTTTGGCTGGTAAAGCTCCTTCAGCTACATAGTCTTGTCTTATGAGTCTCGGCTGCTCTTGCAAGCCATGTAATAGTTCCACCAAGGTGATCTTGGATGACAAGTATTGATGCTTCATATATAACCAGAATTTTTCTACAGTTTTGGAATCAGAAAATGTTGTTCCCAATAGTTTAATCTTCTTAGCAATACTAAGCAGCCGGTCTGAATAATTTTTAATAGTCTCGGACTCTATCACTTTTAATCTCAAATTCTTTTGTTATGTATAGTATTTGCATGCCTCCTCGAATCCTCTCATCCTGGCATTCTCTTCCTTCAAATAGTCCCAGATTGCTTTTTACTGTTTTGAGGGTCATAATTTAGTGAAGATGGTTTATAAAACACCAGCAAATAGACATGAAGTAGTCCTTGCCTTAGTTTTGTTCTCTATTCCTTTATCTAGGCCATGGTGGGATTTTGAGGCAAGAGAGACACATCATAATCCTCTTGCATAACTTTCGACAAGTTCAAAGCATCAAGGTTGGCCTTCATTCTCACAGTCCAAAGATCATAATCTCTCCCCATTAAAGATAAGAAAGATAGGAAGAGTGACTTGAGAGAAATCTGATTCAGCTTCCATTTTTACTAAGAAGAAAGTTATTGATACCAATTTGTTGGCTTTGTGAAGGAAGAGAAAAAAACAAAGATGAATGTACGTAGGATTATTTTTAATGAGGAATGAGGAGTTATTATATTCATCAGCATTAGTACAGTTTATAATATTTCAAATAGAATAGGAAACCAACGTATTACTAAGATTTCAGCTATCTTGGATAACTGCCCACTTGCTCCTTAAGTCTATCGCTAAGTAAAAAAAAAAAAACTGAAACATTAAAAAGAAATGAAGATAATAAACTAGCCTCGTAAAACAGTCCTAAAAGCAACTAATTAACAGGTATGATGATGAATATTGACACCAATTTCCTTTTTCATTCAGCTTGCAGAGAAAGAATTGCTGAAAATGAATTCCTTCAAAGCTCCCCATGAGAAACTCCAGAGCATTTTGAATTGCTGCAGGGTCATCAACAATGTATTGCTAAATGTTGCAATGTCTGAGCATGTTCCAGCTGGGGCAGATGACTTTCTTCCTGTGCTCATATATGTTACGATCAAGGCAAGCCCTCCTTGGTAATAAGACATTCTGCTGGGTGTCAAATATAATTTTAGGATAATCAGACCCTTTTTGTTTATAGTGTATAGTAATACTGAGGATAGAAGATGTTTTATATCTAATTATAACATAACATTAGAGTTTATTTTAGTATTTGTTGACATCTTCCTCCGTGTGATGATGGTATGTTGGAAATCCAACATACCCTAATTATATGGACAAAATCAAATTCTAGGAGTTTTCACTAACAGTATTGTACTTGTTTTGCATATTATCTGGTGTCAAAGTAGATGAGTAGAAGATCCGAATTCATGAGTAGAGATACTGACATGATGCTGTATAATCAATGCTTTAGTCCAACTTTTAAGGTTCTTTGTAGAGAACTTGAGTCATATGATTTTCTTATGTAATAGCAATTTGACTGGCTGGTAAAGCCTCGTCATGATTTTGGCAACACTGTCTTGAGCCTATAAATTGTCTTAGGCCTCCATAGGCTTCACTTTACATTACCCTTTTCGACACTGATTCATTTATTCCTTTTGGTTTGTCATTTTCAGGCAAATCCTCCAAAGTTGCACTCTAACCTCAAATTCATCAAGTTATACAGAAGGCAAGCAAAACTCATCTCAGAAGCTGAATATTATTTCACAAATCTTGTGTCAGCTACGACATTCATAATTAACTTAAATGCCAAATCACTGTCAATGGACGAAATCAAATTTGAGGAGAGCATGCAAGCAGCCAAGTTGACCAGTAAGGTAACGAATGAATCATCCTCTACATGTCAAATGCGCGAGCAAGAGATCAAAGATTGCAGTTCTTCAGAGAAAATGCACAAGAAGCTTGATGATGATGGAGGTTAGTATAATTCGTTTCTTAATCCCTGGTAATTTTTTTATCATGTGTAATTGTACTATTTAGGGTTTAGGGTTCCCTTGTCATTTTTTTTATCATGTGTAATTGTACTGTTTAGTTTATATTTTAAAAAAATTATTACTATTTTGACAAGAAAACTGTTTGAAAGAGCTTTTCTAACAGCTATTATTTTCTCACAATAATCCATATTAAACGTGCAGAGTCATTTTGAATAAACTTTAAATGATTAAATATAATTAATTTATGTTTTGAGATCAAACAAAGAATTAACGTATGTTTTCTTTAAGAAAATTGTGTAAACTTTCTCGAAAAATCCTGCCATTTAACTTTTTTAAGACCTGAGATTCATATGTTGATTTTAAGTGATATAAAAGAAGTTTGATTTATTATAACTCTTTAATTTCATTCATTTATATTTTTATAAATAATTGTTAATCACAGTAACACCTTGCAGTGTTTCAAGTTTTAGAACATGGATCAAATTATCCTTACATGGAAGCAAAGAGCAAAGAGCTAACAGTTGGAGATGTGGACATGCTATTAAGTGACTACAATGATTTAGTTGCGAAGTACACAATTCTGTGCAAAGCTATTAGTTGCCTTTCGACATCAGAGAGAGAACCCCTCCTTCGTCAAATAAAAAAACTAAGTGCAGGAACTATGCTTTCACAGCATCCACGGATCAACACAGACACAACTCATCCACGCCCCCACCAAGATAATTAATTTACAATTAAAATGTCAATGTGTGTGTGTACATATCTACGCAACAGTTCAATAGACGTTTTTGGTCACTACAATTTTTCGACATGGTCAACCAATCGGAAATCATTGTTGGTATAATTTAAGATGAAATATTGATACAAAAGTTAATCATATTTCATCAATTAGATCCATTTGATTAGTAAAAATGATGATAATAGACAGCACAAATATAATCGTTTTATGTTTGAATTAAAAAATGTTCATGGAACAACACAAGGAAAGTAGAGATTGACACCTGTGACACTCCTCCCGCAATAAAGTTCAAAGAACACGAATCTGATTTCAACGTGTTGAGATAAAACTTGATTTTAATCCCTTGGTGAATTACTCGATTAATCAATACTCGCAGTCTTTCTACTAACAGCATTTTTTTCTTTCACATGACTTGATACGTACTTGAATTATGTTAAACAGTTCGAAATCTAAATAATCGAAATTAACGATACTTAATTTTAAAACAAGCAATTATAAAACCTATACTAATCATGCAATAAGGTATGGACTTTATAATTTCATTGAAGTGCTCCTATTAATTTTTTTGCCAAACATGCATGATAATTGGATATCAACGTCATGACTTGATCGAAAAAAAAAAACTCTCCAATAAGATCAAATTTCAACTTGTTCTAAAAAAATTAAAAAGAAATATTTCATTCGTAACTGTAGTGGAGGAATGGGAAGCGTGGATGTTGAAAAAATTAACAAGTGTGCTTAAATAGAAATGCATTTATTTGAAAAGAAATTATCCTACATTCTACAATAATAAATTTCTTCTCTCTATTAAGAAGATGGGAAGAGAAAAGATGTAATATTTTTTGTTTTCCTTAATTATCCTTTTTATTATATTATAACAACATAATTTTACTCTTAATCCAAATAATCTTATTTTGCATTGTCTTTCTCTTCTTTTTCATTCATTCCCTCAACTCCACTCCCCGATCTAAACAAACCCCAATCCAACTAAACCATTAGGGAACCGAAAAATATATCTATTAATTTTTTAGAAGAGTTTGATTTAAAACTCATCCATGACCCGTAATAGATTGATTGCCCTTAAAGAATCTTTCATCCTTTACGATATTCCTTATTATTTTTTTCTCCATTAACTCCGGTATGTTATCATACTTGGTTTGATAAATAAGAGTGTCTTCAACTAAACCAACATAACACATCAATATACCTTATATGTATCACTTGAGATAGATTTGACATGAAGATTTAGTCTTTGGCCAAAAGACATCGAGTATGTGATTTGCTCTTTAACTTGGCCAAAAACATCGAGTAATCCACAATGGCTGACCTCACAGGAGGAACAAAACTTTTACTGCTGTACAAGTACTGATACACAAGATCATCCAAACAATGCTTTAACGTTGAGTGCTGAATCTAGGTTAAAACATATAGATAAATTAACAGCACAGTTCACGAAAAGGCTAATTGGATGTGGGATAGTCATCAAGTTATTTATAATTTCAACAAGGATGATAGTTGATTAAACAATAATATAATAACATAGATAAATAATATGAGATTAATTTTGTATACTTGGATATATATATATATATATATATCTACATACACGATAAGCCCAACTTTATTATGGAAAGCCACATTCCTTAATTTCAGTACTGCAGCTGTTCTCTAACAAGTAGCTTTTCTAATATTAAGAAATGGAGTCTGTAACTGCCTATTTCATGACATACATACACCATATGTTCAAAGATTGATAGACTAATGCCTCATTCACCTGCAGGCATTAGTCAGTTGATCGCCTTTCAATTCTAGAAATTTCGACGGAAGCAGACATCTACTGCGAGCTTTAATGGCAGAAAATGTACCATTTACTCATTCAAAAGTATGAAGGAAAATTAAATTTCATGTTCAAGCAGCCACCTCAACAGTAGAACAGTCCCTCCTGCAGAAAAAGTCAAAACTTAGAATGCGTTTGACAGTGCTTATCAATAGCTTTTTTGAACTTATTTTATGATAATGGCACTTGGGTAAGAGTTGACGAAAACTTATAGAACCAGAGCTTATTATGTGTCTATAAGTTGTTTTCAACTTATTTTAATAAGCACTCCAAGAAACTTTTAAAATAACTAAAGTTTATATGAAAATTGGTTAACCCTACCCTCTTTCAATTACAAAAATAACTTCTATATAGGTGCTTGCTTCTTGTTAGCGCTTAATTAAGCTGTTTACTCAAACTCACCTTTACTGCAGTGGAAACTCCTTCTGGAGAAGGTCCAAATTTCGACTATCACAAGCTTCCAACATGTCATTCCTAGAAGCACAGCTGGAAAATAGGATGAGACACAAGGTAAGTCATCGGAATATAAAATTAACACATAATTTGAATTATCACTCTCTTATTCGTGGCAGTAAAATCCTGCTATACTCCTCTCTGTTAATAGTATTTATTATTATTATATCATACCTCAATGAAATTCTCAAATATTGCCATGCATTCTCTGCTTTTGGATTCATGGCAAGTGCTCGAACATAATATCGAATGGACTCGTCATACATACCCTGTAGGAAGTGTGTAAGGTAGGTATAGTAAATTACTATCATTGAGACGGTTATGATACAGCATATAAAATAGAAAATTAGATTAAAAAATAGGAAGGTGGAAATTTTTAGATTTAAATAACTCTCATTTTCATTCCTCCATCTTTGACATCTGTCACAGAATAGAACGCAACAACTTTTGGGAAATTTTATATGGATCCCCACCAAAATTCATTCTTATTTATCCTCTCAAACAGTAAAAAATTGGTATTTTCATCCTGTCTTCCGCCCCTCCATTTCCTTCCTCTCTCTTTCTCCGAACAAGTAAAAGAGAAATGGTGTCTTTCTCCAACTGTTAAGGCACACAACTGCACCATAAAATCTCCATAACAGAAGCTAAACTTGTCCAAAATACTTGTCATGCATCATTATTCCACAACAAAAAAAAATTACCCCTAACAATTTCCAATATATTGCATAGATGGATTTCCAAATGTAATCCCACCAATACTACAATGTACTGTCTCTTGCTTTGGAGCAAAGATTGAAATCCAGAACCAAAAACCATATCAAAGTTGAGTATTTTTACTGATATAGTTGTCATACACATACATACTACATTTTTACACTTTAAGTTGAAAAATGCAGTCACCATAAATATAGTAAAAACTGAAAAGAGACAAGCATTATTCAGCTTCTCACTTGATATGTATGATACAAATAAGATAAATGCCCAGCTGGGAACTGACCTGGTTTGCATAACTGATACCCATATTTGCCCAAGCACGAACATAATTAGGCTTTAAATCCAGTGCCTGAAATGATTATTGTTAGTCAAAAGGAGAATTCCATCCAACTAATGATAGATTTAGCTAAAAGAAATAGATTGCACGTTCCCTCCAAAAACATGACTTCACAATAGAATGATAGAACAGGCAGTTAATTTGTGTAGAATGAAAAAAAACATTTGATAGAATTGCTACAATTTTTTATTTTACTTTTCTGGTTACTTAGCATATATATATATATAATATTCACTACAATTTGCAGTTGGAAATACCTGTACATGAAAATAACTAAGAACTAATGATTTACCATCAAATAAGCAAAATCTAGGATTTGAAAAGAGACACGACGAACTCCCTAACTTGTAGTTCGATAATTGTCTCGTGGTCACACATTTGGTTTCCAAAAATCTTGACCCGTTATGTCACATTTGAATGGCATCATTACATTAAAGGTGCAGCAATAGCAGGCAGCAGTAAATTCTATACACGGTACCTGTTGATAAGCCATTATTGCATCAGCACTTTGAATACTGTTTGCTTGTGTAGCACCCAGTTTGTTCCATAATGAGTAATCTTGTGGTTTAAGTTTCAGTGCTCTTTCAAAAGATGCAATGGCTTTGTCATATTCTCTGGATAAGTTATACATGACCCCAAGAACTATGTGGACATCTGCATCATCAGGAGAGAGTTCAGCAGCTTCGTTGAATAACCTAGCAACCTGCAGAAAGGAAAATCAATCTTTCGAACTGTTAGATAGCATATCTAACACTCGCTTTGGGAAAGCAAAAATAACTAACTTCACACCTATTAAAAATGGTCATTAGGTTCATTTAATATTCTTGATCTCAAATAATATAGGAGTATATTTTCTAAGTTAGACTCGGTCATATTATTGCAGATGGTTCCTAGAATTAAATACAAGCGTATTTTGAAATAATACATTCAATAGAATTTTGGGAGTTGGAATTTGCTTATATTCAAGTCCACTTAACATGACCATTTTTTTCCTTATATTATGAGTCCAGAGGTAGTACGTGTTGGAAATAAGGAAATAGCAGTCACTAGAAATGAGGGATGCAGTCACCACAATTTAGGGATCTGATTTATTCTTATATATTTATAACTTATTTTGTTGCCATAACTTCAAATCCCAGATAGAGGCCTGGAGTGGCTGCCTCAAAAAATCCTAGTGGTACAGGTTAAGCACATAGTGGGATGGCTGCTATTTTAATTTTTTTTTTTATTACTATTAATGTTTAGTTTTATTATATTAAATGGTATGCTTTAAATAGTTCATTATAGTACTACTATTATTATTGGTTAGTTTATTGCATTTTTATTAGTACACAAAATACCCAAAAATGTGCAAAAACAACACACCTCCACAAGGCTTTTCAAATACATATTTATGTTGATTAAAAAAATTATAATGTGTATACCAAAGTCACCAACACAAGTGCTTTGGCTCTTGGGTCTCTTAACCAAGGACTGAAATTCGTTCCTGACTTGAGAATGGAGTCATCACTTAACCCCAAAATGGGCCAACCCAATTAGAGGGAAATTAGTTGGGTATCATAAAAGACCCAGATAATGTATGCAAGAGGTCTTTACTGTCCTCACTACTATATTTAATAATTCTTTACATAATTCCCACAATAGGTAATCAATCCACTTACATCAGCATAGTACAAGGAATCGGACATGTCAGGTGGGGCAAGTGTTCCATATTTTGGGTGGTGGCGCAACCATCCATATAGATACTTCAGAGCAGCCGATTGCTCTAGTTCTGCAAATATCAGCATATACCTCAATATTTCATGTCTAGGAATACAATACAAAACCTATGAGTCATCCGCATCAATGCTTTCAGTTACAAATTCAGAAAAACAGAAGACCGGTACAAAATGGAGTATAAGAATCCTTCCAAAGCAAGCAAGTAAAAGTATATTAACTCATTTAAATAGCTATCCAACTTTAAAAATTTTCATCAAACAAAAAATTCCAAAACTGAGTAAGAACGTACATATAAAATTAATTCAAGCATCAAGGGTTAATGCGACAAATGATCTTTAAGCTAGGATGCTATTATCTTTATATCATTAATCCAGGCAATAAAAGGAATCCATCACTAACCATTTGTATGACTAACACCAAGTGCGAGAAGCACTTCCAGATTTGTCGGGTCAGCCTCCTGTGCACGCATCATTGCTGCAATAGCCTGTGTAAGTTTAAATAGTTTTAATACAGATGCATTCAATTCAAAACATGGTTAAATTGTGATAAGTGCTAACAAGTATAGTGTATAGCAAGGGACGAGGTAGAAGAAGAAAGTATTAGTCTTTTACCAAATAGTCAAATATAAAATCACATGAAGTGGCAGCATAAAAAGTACATAGAAGATTTGGCAAGTTTCTATATTATAACAAAGACCTTAGAGGCAGCAAAACAGGTAAAAATAGGACATGAAATAATAAGATTTCTATCTAATTGCACCTAAATGCATTCTACAACTTATGTTTTTGAAAATAGTAGTATATTATTATTCGTATATATGAAATGGCCAACAAATATACTATCCAGTGAACCAAAATTTTGCAAAATGAATAGCAAGCAAAAAACAATTTTATATATATCCAGAACAATCATTTGATGATTTCAGCAAATTTGAACAGCATAATTCATTGAACAACAATAATGTCTATGCCAAAGACTGTTGTTGACATATAAATTCAAACAAAATGATTAATAGAACTGTTTGTTCTGTATAACTTTTGTGTGGCTCCAGAAAATTGCAGCTACATAATAATACATGTGATTGAAGACTACATGGATAGGGGGATATCATCAATAAGGCATAACCTAACCTGTTGATCATCATCATTCTCTGCATGTGCTATTCCAAGCAGTCTCCACCCTTCAGCATTCTCAGGATTTTTTAAGACTTCCGCTTCCAATGCTAGAACTGCTTCACTTAAAAGTCCTTTTCTGAATAGATCTTGGCCTTCTTTTAGTGGATTTGGATGACCAACATAAGGGTTTAAATCTGAAAAGACATACACACCCCTCGAACTGTCTAACTTCTGCTTGGCAGAAACTTGCTCATTTAGGAACCTTCATATAATCCCCAAAGAAATTTTGATTAATAAGGCAGTAACCTCCTCACGGGCATGTAATATTATCAAGTGTAAAGAGAAAACATATGGCATAACCCAAGCAAAAGGAGAAAAAAAAAATAGTAAACGAGCAAGAACAACCACTTTTTAGTAAAGTGAATAAATAATTAACTGATGACAAAAGTGAAGTACATTCAGGAGGATTGTTATTCTCCTCCTGAGCAAAGTTGGCAAGCAGTTAGTTGGACAAATATTCTATGGCAGCATATATTTGAAAAAAGTCAAAAACCAACATTCAATTCTCATTGATTCAGAATGAACATTGAATGATGCATAATTTTTACACAATACTTTTCCAGATTCCATCCTAGTGTTCACAGTCCAATCTTCAAGTAGAAATAAAACTGAAAAGTAACAGATTACTTAGGCACTGAAGAAAGAGTTTCTTTCTCGATCATAATCTTCAATATTTAGGGCATTCCCAATATAAGTGAAAAAAGTCAAAAACCAACTCTCAGTTCTCAGTTAGAATCAATTTTTGAACATATAAACTACAAGTTTTATTAAAAGAATTCTGGAACTAACACAGAATCTGTGGTACAAACTAACAGTGGCCTAAGCCCAAACAAGGAGCCCAAACAAAATTCAACAATATAACACACAATGAATCAGAAATATGTCAAATCCGATTTAAGAAATACACATATAACTGCTACAACATATCACATAATTTTACCACAATTACTAAACACAAAAGTTCCATACAACATATAACATAACTGCCTTATCACTTATCTCACCCTCTCATACGATTTCACTCCTCCTATGTTGTGTATATAGGTATGTGTAGAAACAGGTGTCCTCGACTCCAAGTGTTTTATTTACATTGTATGAAATCTCAATGCCACATCAATCTAGAGTAAAGGCAAAGAAACATATGTTCCTGTCTAGTATATGAATTTCCAAGGGCAGGTATGGAATTCTATTGATTCAATGAAAAGGGAAGCAAGAGTGGTTAACATATTTCTCTTTAAAAAGAAAGGAAGAAAACCAAATTAAAACATCAATCCAGAATACTACATACACATCAGCCAAAAGCAGCTTTCAATTTGTAACTTCCAAATCTATTTATAAATGTTCCCCCAAAGAAATCAGAAGTACACAAGATGCATGGTTATGATTAATTCAGTATATTCTTATTACTTAATAAGAAAAGGTGTTCTTTGTTGCTCTATCCAGTAAATAGTTATTTATTTCGAAAAAACAATTTCAATTCAGTCTGTAGGAAAGTTTGACTTACTCATCATAAGCCTGTGCCCAACTATCAGAAGTGCTATCTCCTAAGGCTGCCTCTCCAAACTTCTGACCAAATTCATCTGCCCAATCACTAACATTCAACTTTGAAAATTCATCAACCCACTGGTCATCAACTGCATCATGCTGCAATCCTTTAGTTGTAAATTCATTCACCCACTGGTCAGGTCCATGATAAACCTGGAAACCACAAGTCAGCATTAAAAAATTTGAGGAAAAGGGATCACCAATTTATTAATCCTATTTTTCTATGCTTATCAATGATTTCATAACTTTGTTGTTAAAATCAAATCAAAAGTTAATCAACTATGAGATGTATCAGATTTTCATGAATCATGAGTGAAGGGTGACTTCATGCATGGATCTCCCAAAATTTCTTAGATATAGGGATCATATAGATTTAGTTCCTCGTAAACTCGATACAAGCATCAATAGGCCAGGAAATCTCCTTATCCTTCTCAGCCAAAGACTTCAAAACCTCATCTGAGTGAAAAAGTCATCTAATCCATATAGTAATTCGAGACTAAGATCTGTGTTGTATATTATAATTATTCAGTATTCAGAAGTTCCCCTGTTTTCACTTAGTTTTATAACTGAATACAAGGTTAACCATAACTAAAAACTACATCTTGATAAATCAGCTTTATAACTGAATATATGCCAATCAATTATATAAAACACATGCAAAATAATATTGTTCCGTGCTCTAGCACATGCCTTATCATTTAAAAATTCTCCAGCCCATGCATGGCCATGATTATACTGCTGATCATATTCTGTTGCCCAATCTCCAGAAGCAGGTAATGCATTCTCTTTCACTTGATTATCATCAATAATCAACTCACCACGGCTCATCTTTGATACAAATTGAAGGAATTTTGAGTTCTGCATACCACAAAACCATGTTATTGAATTTTTTATTTCAAGGAGGAAAGAAATGCAACAAGAAAATAAAACACTCTTCTTAACAAGGGCACATGAATATAGCACAGAAAAAAAAAAATACTCATCAATATTAGTCAGAAAGTTGTTTATTCCATCCACATGGCTTAAAAGGATATCCTTTGATAGAACATAATGGCATAGCAAAGACAGTCTGTAAAATAAATCTTTCATAGTGTTTTCCCTCCTCAATCTTGTCATCTCTGTTTTCCTGATTTTTAAAAATTTGAATAATCTAAAGAAAAAGAAACCCCATATTTCTAATACAGCCAAAGCACAATAAAATATAACAAAAAGAATAATGCAAGGTTATCAACTCAAAACCTACCCAGTTCCTCTTTGAAAAAGCTCCAATTAAAACCCCAGACACAAGCAATAGCTTAACACACAAGGAGACCAAGGACACCATTCTATGTCAAATAACTCATGATAGCTGTGATACCCGTCTCAGCATTACATTCAGGGCCTAAAATAAAATCTCAGCATCACTAGAATACTATTCCCACATATTAGTCCTGTTAATATATTCAACAATTCAAAGTATTTCAAGAATAATTATCACCCATTATAAAATCAATGAGGGATTACTGTAAATGCTAACATATTAATTCCAAACACTCATGTCCTAACTGACCTATAATTTTTACAAGCACCAAGTGATCTTCCCCCTACTGTAAATATTAGAATTACCACTACTGAATAAATTGAATATAAGTGAGAAATCAACTGCATTTTAATGTAAGAGATAGATGGAGATTGTGTGATAAGTAGGTATACCCACCCTCAAAAACTAGCTATCAAGTGGGAAGAACCAAGCACTTAAATACTCCTCCACCGAGCATCCCATACTACTCGATGTGGGACTTAAGCACCCCATAATACCCAAGTTCCTATCATTATGCAAAACCTAAAAATTTGCATCTTGAGAACCTGAAAGTCCAAAACTAACGAACTTCTATCTATTATGAATGTCATCTTTTGAAGTACTGGATTGGAATTATTTACATGTTTGTTAAATAGAAATTTAAAAGCCATGTATAGCAGGAGAAACCTGAAATTTAGGGTCACCATTTTGGGCCAACGTGTTTGCAAGCATACGAGTCTGTTCCATTGCAGCAAAGTTTGACATGTTCATACCTTGCATTTGGTCCACTGATGACAATTGGGACTGCAAAAAATTGCAAAGAAAATAACCTTAAATGAAAGAAACGAATTACAAATAATGATTTATACTCACGTAAAATGAGAAATTGATTATTATCTACAATACAAGTACCAGTATAATCCAAGCCTAGTGACACAAACATGAACACCAGTGAAGATAGAAGGCATTGTATCAAAGACACATTCCACGAAACAAAAAATGATGCATCCCTTCATTTTTTTTAGTTATATGTTCTTTCATGGCCTGTTTGTTTGGGTTCTATTTGTTTTGAATATTCTGATTGAAATTATAATAATCTAAAAACAGAAACGAGATAAAGCAGTCATATATTCTGATGACATTCCCCAAATAGGTCATTCTTCTTCATATGTGGGCTACATGTGATGGATGCCAACTTCAACACCAATGAGAAGACACAGGGCATTGCATCAAAGATCCAAAAATTATTTGGAAGGGAAGCCCATAAACAAAGAAAAAAATGCAGGGATTGTGAAACTGAATTTTAGAGTAATAGACCTATAATGGAGGAAAAGGTTGTAGAAGCATCATGCTAATTCAGGAAAATCTAAAATTTGAACTTGGGAATGATGCCCAGGAAGCAATGTCCAATGGCACTAAGAATCGATGAAATTGTTTCAGACATTCATGAATTGACCATAAATGGGTATTGCAGGTCTAACGTTATCTGAGTTTATACAACTGTGGAACATAAATATGAGAGTAATTCCTCAATGTTTGCAAGAGCAGTCGGCTAAGTATAACAAGTCTCCTCAATAAAGTTTAAGGATTTCAATTTCATTGTTAATAGACCCAATACTACATTAATTTGCAAATAAAAAAGAGTAAGTAACTTCAAATTACAGCAATAAATGGAAGTTAAAAGACTTCTCACATGTTCAAATTCAGACACCCAACCATTCGCACCATGCTGTTGCTCAAATGAGCTAGCCCATGAATCAGGATTGTCATATTTCCCCCTATGTTGACTAAACTCAGTAATCCACCCATCTGCAGGAGGAGGACCAGGTCTCATATTGCCTTGAGACTCATTCCAGTAATCCTCAAGCTCCCGAAATCTTTCAGGCATGGGTCCCTTACCTCGGACATTGCTGTCAATATCTAGAGAGCATAGAAGTGCATTTACCTGAAAAGTAGTTACATGTGATGAGTTCAGAGTCAAGCAATCAAGAAAAATGTATAGGCAAAGACAACAATTTACTTCAGGACACCAATGCACAATATCTGGTAGAAATCATTATTGATCACATGTAGATAGAATACATCGTCACTGCACATGTTTTATAAGAGGAAAGGTTGACATACTCTAGAGGAAGTGCTTTTCTAATTTCTGAGTAAAACTTTGTGAAGATATAACTTAAGAAGTGAGACATTTGACTCAATAAAATAAAAGGTCACCAAAATGCATGAAAAAAGGGCTATCGTACAGGACCAATTCCCAAGCCCATCTAATGTAATCCAGGATTAATTAGCAACCAGAAAAGAAATTCTAAAATCATTTTAGCAAAACTTGAAGGTAGGTTACACGAGAAGAACATCTTGTGCAATCACACCAGAGCCTAGGTGACCATCCTTGCACCTAATCAGTAATCACAATATTGAACTCTAAATCCCTAATACACAAACAACTAAAAATTTTATTCTACATTTTTCCCTCAATGATTATGACTAAACTAAGTGAAACCAGATGAACGTATCCATGAATTTTCTTACTTGGGCATCAATAAATTCTTCACTTTTATCTGCAAAGAGATGCCTGGCCATTATGCTGCTGCGGTCGCGTATGCATTGTTTATCACCTTCAGATAAACCCAGCATCGGAAGAGGGGTAGGATGAAAAGGCACTCCACCACGGCTGCTATCAAGAAATGAGTGCAAAAAACTCGATAGAACTCTTTGTGGCGTCCCTGCAGAGATAACAACATCAACTCCGTAGCTCTTCTTCTATGTTCAGTATCTCCATGCATCCAAGTAACAAAATCAAGTCCACAGCACAACCACCACTAATTACAGCACTTCTACTAAAGCCCACAAAAGGGACAACAGAAAACACTATACACTAATCCAAACACAACCTACCATCCAACGGCGGCTGTTGAACCGCCGGCACCAGTTGCCGCGGTCCGGCAAACCCGCCCTCGCGCTGAATCTCATCCCAAGTCTCCTCGAGCCCACTTGCGCCACGGAACCTATGCAAAAACTCCGAAGCCTGTTTTCAGTAAAAAATATAAAAAATACAATCACTCAAATCATCCATTATTAAGAAGTATTATATCATGTAACATTATAACAAACACACACACGGCACAAACAATCACAGACACAAGAATCCAATCGAAACCGAACCTGAGAGTTTGCTTCCAACAGAGGCTTATCGAATTCGGAGCCGGGAAGGTGATTGGCAGGGAGTGCGGTGGAGTAAAACTGCGAGGCAGGGTCAGTGGGAGTGGACGTGGGAATCTCCTTCAGCCTCTCCTGTTATTGTTTTGTGACCAGAAAACTGAAATCAGTGATGAGTGAAGAAATATTAAGAGATAGAGAGAGAGAGAGAGGGGGGGAAGAAGTGAGACCTGAGTTTTGGAGGAAGAGCCAATAAGGGCGTTGGCGAGGGAAGCGAGAGGGTTACCGGAAGAAGAAGAAGAGTCGCCGCAAGCGGCGGCACCCGCAACGAGGTCGCGCATCGCCATGGCCCCCCTTTGCAATTCTCACTCTTGGTCTGATTGGCGGTGCCTCTTTTGATGGTTTGGTTTGTTTGGTGTGTTGTTTCTTCCCTTCTTCCGCCACCCTCCCCAGTTCGCCTGTTTTGTTATCTCTATCTGCGTGCTATGCTTGTCATTTTCTTTTCTTTTTTATTATTTAATTTTTAATAATAAATAATAATAACAAGAAGATTGTGTTTTAAATTTTAATGAAGTAAATATAATAAAAATTTATTCATGTATGAGATCTATTTAATTTAAAAATTACTTTAAATTCATAATTTTCACAACTTAAATCCATTTTTACAACATAAAATAAATATTATTGTTAGTTTTGAAAAGAATCAACTTTTGTGTGGGTCTCATCGTAATTTCTATTATTTCCTTCTTTTATTTTCATCACAACCAAATCATAAAAGTTTAATTATTTTATTTTATTTCACTCATTTTCAATTCATTCCACTTGTCTTAAGAAAAATATAGACTCGGTCGTTAGAGAAAGTGTTTGAGCTTTTACAGTAATATTGATTTTTTGGGGGCAATTTGTGAATTATTTATATGAAAAAAGAAATGTTATTTGCATGATAAATTGTACATAATTTTGTTTGATAATTGTGAATAAAATTTGGTTGTAGCGTTAATGATAATTTTATAAAAAAATATTGTTGTGTGGTATCTACACGTTTGTGACAGATCATTCAAAATAACACATTTATTCTTTCTTTACTCGATAACATAATTATTTAAGTGTTTAGTACGAGAATGTGTCGATTTTGTATTGGTTATAATATATAAAATGAAATTATTTTGGTTTTATATTAATTATAATAATAATAACAGGGAATAATTTTTATATATAAAATATTATTTATTTTATAATTATAATATATTATGATTTTGTTTTGAAAGGACATTTTGATAAATTAAAAAATAAAAATATATATAAGTTTTCTCATTTAATAGAGAATTAAGCGAAACTTTATTTTAAATTTCATAATAAATAATAATATTATTTCTTTTAAAAACAAGAAGTTAATATATATTAATTTCATGTGCGTTCTAATAACACCAACTTATATATTTCTCATTTAATAGAGAATTAAGCGGAACTTTATTTTAAATCTCATAATAAATAATAATATTATTTTTTTAAAAAACAAGAAGTTAATATATATTAATTTCATGTGCGTTTTAATAACACGCACTTTAAAATTTTAACATAAATTATTCTTAGTCTTATAAGATATGTGAATCTCATCAACATATTATTTCATTACATACATAAATTAAAATATATATATATATATATATATATCCATTAATAAATATTCTTATAATATTAAATTAAATTTTTATAAAATATAGATTGTGAATTATAAATTTAGTAACTATCTGACATCGGCTATTTAATTACTACGTTAAAATAAATTATAAAAATTAAATTTAAATACACAATAAATAAATAAAAATTATATAGCATGGGAGACATTAATTAATCTAAATAAATGTTGTATCAACAAATAAAAAAGTTCTTAAATAATATAATGGTCAAATTTTTCATATTTTCAAAAAAGAATAAATTAAATAAAAGAAACTAATATATAAAAGTCAAAATTATCAATTATATTTTCTTATATAATTACTAATATAAAACTAAATATAAATTTTTTATTTTATCATTTTCTTATCTTCTAATAACGAAATATTCACCTATTTTAATCGACACTTGTTTTTTTAAAGAAATATAGCTAACCACTTTTAATTAGATATTTATTAAGATTTCTTTTACACCTCACAAAATTCACAATTGATTAATATCAACATTAAAAATTTGTTTTTATATATTTGTATAATTGCTTATTTAAAAAATCAGTTTTTATTATTTACAAAATTGATAATTATTTATTATTGTATATACAATGGAAAGACATATATTTGTTATTGGGCTATGTTTGTGCCAGAAAAAAAAAGTACATTTTTTAATAATAAAAACAAAAATCATATTATTTTAATGCAGAAACAATTTTAATATTTAAACTTGTACTTTTTACTTATAATCTATAAAAGTATCTTTTACATGACAAATTTGACGATATCACATACCATGAGGGAGCCATTCATTTGAGAGGATGGGGATTGAGGGGGCCCACTGATATCACTATTATTTGTGTGTTGTATTCTGTGTCATCTCTTCGGTGTGGGATTGAATTCTATCGCTATAGCCTACAAATAAATAACAAGAAAATAAGAAAAAGGGTTTTGTTTCATTTTGCTGTTTCTCTTCATCTATTTCTCACTCTCACACTTCTCCCTCCCCCTTTCTCTCTCTCTCAGTCAGTCAGATTCAGGTTCTAACTCTTCTTTCCCTTTCGCCGCTTAGGTTTATCTCTACAATTTTTTACTTTTCCCTAAATTCTGCAATCCCTGAATCTTCCTAACCTAGATAGTTTTCACTCTTTGTTTCAGCAATTTTTTAATTTCTTCTCTCATGGCTTCCGATTCCAAAAAGGATTTTCCTGCTGGTAGGTGCTATCTTCTTTTCTAAATGGATCAATCGGAGTAATTATGTTATTATTGTTGGTTTGTCTTCCCCCTTATAGAAAAAATTCAGTCCCTTTTTATTTATCTTATTTTTTCTTTAGATTGGTATTGAAAAAATCTTTTTTCCTAAATACCTGTTTTCCAAGTTTTACTTATATTTTGATCTCAATTCATGCTTGTTTGTCACTGTATAGAAGATGAGTGGACTTGGGATTAACTTTTTTTGCTCGTTGAATCGAAGTTACAACTCCAGTTTGTTTATTTTCATGTGCGACTTATATCTGTGTTTGTATTAATATTTATATTTATATAAAAAATATTTATATGAATACTAAGTCAGTAGTTTTTGTCCTTTATTCTTTTCTTTGGGTGTACTACACTGGAGCTTCCTTTTTCTTTCTTGATTTTTTTAAAGTTGAATAGGATTCCGTGATGCTGTAATATTATCAGAATAAAGTTAATTATTTATTTATTTACCTGAATTTATAATTTTGCTACTTTGTTGTTATTTGCATTCCCTTTTTCCATATAGTCAGAACTATAAGGGAGAAATTGCTTTCTACGTTGTGGTTCCCTTCGCATTCCTCCCATCTCATTTGCTGGTGGAACAATCATTTTTGTATGTAGGCATGACAAAGAGTAAGGCATAGTGTTCTGGCAATTTGAAGTTGTACTTCTATGTAAAAGTACTTGCTTGCGAAAAACTATGTTTGCATTTATCATCATGGGTAAATCTGCACTACACTGTATGGCTTTGAATTCATGATTTTGAATTCTGCATTGACTATCCTTTCCTTATATAATCCTTTATTTGAAAGTTCCATTTTGCTATCTGCTTATTGGTGCCTTCTATATTTGATTTATTCTTTATATGTATTCCTTTTAATCTTGTCCCCATCATTTATGCTTCTTTTACATTTATTTCTATCATAGATTTTTGAACCTTGAAAGTGCATTAGTTTTACTCATGTTGAGATTTTCTTAGATGACAAAGCTGGTACAGCAGAGAATAAAACCTCCAAAGACGAAACATCATCTAAAGATTCTGCGGCAGGACAAAGAGCTCCTTCTGGACCTGCAGCTGGGTTTCCAAGCAACCCTTTTGATTTCTCGGGAATGTCTGGTCTGCTCAATGTAAATCAGCATCTCTGGTTTTTTCTTATCTGTATCATATGTGTGTTTGTTGTGTAGTTGTTTTTCTTGATAATTAGTCCATGTTAATTGTTAATGATGGTTGAGTATGTTTTCATTCATTTCTTGAGCACGAAACATCTTATAGATTTTGTTGTTCTTACTAATGCTTGTTTTTACATGCCCTGGTGGTTATCTGGATTTTGAACCTCTGGTTGGACAATGATGCTGGGATCTGTGCGGAAAAAAAAAAAAAAACTATTTAGAAACGTTTTTTAGAAATCTTCACTGTTGGCTATGAAAATTCATCAGAATTGTATTTGACTTTTCCTTCAAAGCTTTCCAGACAGAGTATGGGAGTAGAGGAGTGAGCATTATATGGTGGTTGTGGATTTGGATTAGATTGTGGTCGGTAGTTTCATTCCTTTACAACATTATAACATTTCTACACGAATATAGTGACAAGTATAGCTGAGGAGAATTTAATGTTTTTGGACCTCTTCATATGGTTTCATCCCTGGACCCTGTCTACCCTTCTTTTTTGTTTTTCCTCTCAAGGGAAACTCGTTTGTCATATGTTCGGAGTTGGCTCTCAATTTCAAATCTATAGTGATCCATGTTGGCATACTAATGCTTAGTTGTCAAATGCATAGGATCCAAGTATCAAGGAATTGGCTGAACAGATAGCAAAAGATCCATCATTCAATCAGATGGCTGAGCAGCTTCAGAAAACTTTTCAAGGAGCTCCACAGGATGGTGTCCCTAACTTTGATAACCAACAATATTTTTCAACCATGCAACAGGTTATGCAGAATCCTAATTTTATGACCATGGCTGAGCGCCTGGGTAATGCATTGATGCAGGTCACTATTTTGTAAACTTCTTCCTTATATTTTTTATATCACCAACAAATTTACTGGTTGGTAGAATATTGATGCTGTCTATCACAGGATCCATCTATGTCTGCCATGCTTGAAAGTTTTGCTAGTCCATCAAATAAAGACCAGCTTGAAGAAAGAATGGCACGCATCAAGGAGGATCCATCACTGAAACATATTTTGGAGGAGATAGAAACTGGTGGTCCTGCTGCTATGATGAGGTTTTGAAGCTAGTTCTTTGTTGTCTCACTGTTTTGACATTTTTTTTCCTACCATTCTATGTTATTTCAAGTGGCTTCTGAAGTGATTCTCTTTATTTTCAGGTACTGGAATGATGAGGATGTTTTGCGGAAGTTGGGACAAGCCATGGGTCTTGCAAATTCTGGAGATGTAGGTGCCTCTGCCGAAAATGCTGGGGGAGATGAGACAGAAGATTTGGGAAATGAAGATGAATCAATTGTTCATCACACTGCTAGTGTTGGTGACGTGGAGGTAAGATATAGCACTGTTTTCTACATGCATATGCTTTTAATTATTTTTGAAAGAAATCATAAATTTTCTTTATGATTGAAGACTTGAAGTTATTCTCTAACTTCATATTAGTTTGGACGGCTGAGCTTAGCAATATTCTTAATGACTTGCTGGATATGTGCTATAGGTTTTATTCTTATTTAATTAGATCCTCATCTGTTCTGATATTATTTTAATTCAGTGACTATATGGAATGTATTGTCTAGATTTTGGGCTAAAGGGCTAAGGGTTGCCTATGGACTTTAGATTCATTTTCTTTTTTATTAGGTAGAGTTATGTTGGTAGAAGTAAAGAGGCTATTTCCCATGCAACATGCAATCTATGCTATTAGTTGGTTGGTGAAGTTGGTAGTAGCATAAACCTTGTATTTGTAAGGACGTTTTATCGGCTCTGGTATGTGCAGTGGTTATTTTTAATTTGATTAGTTGAATTTGGTGCAAATGTCACACAGTCTTTTAAAAAATGCTTAAAGATTAGGTTGCTTTTATCCCTTGATGCTATCTCTTTACGCTGTTAATTTACTTCCACTTTCTTCTGAATTCTTTTTATTTGCAAATTTCTTCTTTTATCAATTTAAAAATCCATCTTATAAGATTCTGGATTATACGATATAAATTGGAGCTTGTGAAATCATTTGTAGAAAGATGGATTAAAGACTTTCAAAATTTAATTAACTTTGTGCACATTTTTCTTTTTTTTTTAAATCTATGGAAATCAGCCGTTTATTATGGCAGTTGCATGGACAGGTTTTATATGCTGCTTTCAAGGTTTATGTGCTTTTCTTTGTTGACTTTTAAGGAATAGAAGATTAAATTGAATTCAAACCCTTCTTTTATCAAGGGTTGTTTAGGCTGCGAAGCTATCTAGTCACATTTGTTAAATTCAACCATTGTCTTTTATTGTTATTAGGTATGTTTTTGAAATATTTGACAGCTAATATTTGACTCATCAATTAGGGCTTGAAAACTGCGCTAGCCTCAGGTGGTGACAAGGATGAAGAAGATTCAGAGGGAAGAACTGCTTTGCATTTTGCCTGTGGATATGGCGAGGTATGCTAATATTCAGAGTAATATTTTCTCATCTTCTATATCATGCCTTTTGTTTCTCAGAAATTTTGCTGATTTTTGTTATTGGGTGGCATCCATGACTTTAATTAGAACCATGTGGGAAGGAGATAAAGGTTGTATTGAGGCTCAGGGTGTTATTTAGTAAAAGGCTGTATAGCCTTGATTGTTTCTTCAGCCACGGTGGGCAATTCAGGGTTGACAAACGTGTTATAAAGTGAGAGACAAATTTCTAAACCATGCTGAAAGTAGGGGTGAGTACGGCTTGGGTTTGATGGCATAATCATTGGACGCATCTGAAATTTCCAACTGTCTAATTTTTCTTTGGGTAATGGAGAAGCTGCTTGCAGCTGACTGTTCTAGTAAAAACAATAACATAAAGTGACTATGAATTGGTGGGTTGCAATTTGAAGAAGGAAAGCTTGAGAGCAAAGGGGAATGCAGTTGTAATGAGGAGATAAAAGGCAAGTTGATGATATTATATGCAAGGCTAGTTTGGAATCATCTGCCTATTAGTTTCTTTTCATTGGCAGGCAGCTACTCTCTTTGGTGAACCATCAGCTCTGAGGTCTTCCTTAATACTGGATTTGTTCTTACACCTTGGGCTGCAGAACAATTTTTCATGTGTTAATTATCAATTGGATAAGTGGCAAGTGGAATACCTGTAGCTATCTGTTTAAACCATTCTCTGATGGTACTGGTATGAAAATCTCGTCTGTTTTTTCCGTTATAACAATCAAATATTGACAACTAAACAAAAAATTGTAAGTACGAAGTGAGATTCATTAATTGGTCAGGGAGTTAGGAGCATGAATAGAAAAATGAAAATAAGATCAGAGTCCATCTTGTTCGCAGAATGCTTGTTTTCAAGGCTTCCTTTAATTTTTAAAGGAATAGGTTATCAACTAACCCCGTGATTTTCGTTTTTTACTACACAAAGATTCTTTATGGATTAAACAATGCTATTTTGTTCATCAAATTATTATTCATCAATTCGAAAAAAAAGTTTGGGATATGTTCATGTCATGAAGAATCCTGATGCTAACAAGTGTAAAGTGGGGTGGTACACTTAAAAGTTTTTTAAACAATGTTTAGATTCCTCCCATAGAAAAATCTGAGATTTGATTCCTTTATGGAAAAGGTGGTGGCAATGTGGGGTGACGTTGGTGGTGGTGATGTTGGGATAGTGACATAAATGTTCAATGTGGTGTTGTAGAGAGGCAGTAGTGTCAGCGGTGAATGGATGGCACTAGTTGGCTCTACCACCTTCCTTCAGCTCCCTCCTCCCCCTTGGTGTGCAAGCAAAGTGAATGCTCGTGTCGTGAGGAATTATTGTTGTAGATCCTAAGTAGCTTTTTATAATACTTGGTTGACAGAGGCTCTTGATACCATTTCAGGTGAAGTGTGCTCAAGTTCTCCTTGAGGCTGGAGCAAAAGTGGATGCTTTGGACAAGAATAAGAACACCGCTCTCCATTATGCAGCTGGTTATGGCAGAAAGGAATGTGTGGCCCTTCTCCTTGAAAATGGTGCTGCAGTGTAAGTAGTGTTCTCCATCTTGTGTTTGAGAAACCTCCAAATATTGATTCTAATGCTTACAAAACCGTGTAGTGACTATTGGTACTTTATGCGTGTTAATCATTTATTGTTCTTCCTTTCTTGTTGATCAAATTTGCAGTACTCTCCAGAATATGGACGGGAAAACTCCTATAGATGTGGCCAAGCTAAACAATCAAAATGAAGTCCTGAAGCTACTTGAGAAAGATGCCTTTCTGTAGTTGTAATGCGTGATGCGATGCCGTCACCAACAAGCAAAGGGGAAACTGAGGGGGAGAAGGCATTATGACTTCTTTATTTCTCTTTTAGTTTCTTCCAACTTTGTGTGTTGAACTAAATTCGATTAAAGTTGTTGGATGTGAGTCACCATAGAATTTGTTATCTATGTTCTTGTAATGCATTGATTGTTACATTGCATGATTTTGAAGATTAGTTCCGTCATAATTTTATTCATGTTTCAATTTTACGAATACGATATTTTACTTGGTGGCAAAATGGTTCAAGTGGTTTTGAATAATAATAATAGACATGTTGAAAACATACTAGGTGTGAGGATTTTGAAAATTGATTCAATGGATCTAAGTTTCTGTTTTTTATATCAAAGGTACAGTAATGCTCAGAGGTATTTTCAGTAAAAAAATCATGAAAAATATTCTCTCGAATAAAAGTCTTGCATATATTATTCATCTACTTCACTGCCTAAACCTCATCCAAACACCATTTATTGTGATCTGGAAATATTAGCTCAAGCACCTTGAAAAACTTCTATATGTTGTGTTTCTCACATATCCAACCCTACGCCCACGAATTATGTACAAGACTAACTTATGCAAAAAGATGGCTCATTATTACAAAGAAAAAAAAAAAGTTGTTCTTATAAATATATTTTAATATGATTTTAATTTTCTAGTTATTTTAGTCTAAATAAAATTTAATTAAAATAAGATGTCCTTCTCGTCGTAACACAAGGATTAATAAAAAAACACTCGTAAAGGTATAGAACTAAATGAAGTTTTATAAACCTTTAAGAAATGGAAAATAATTAATCTGAAGAAAAAACTATATTATTCAATTTTAAGAAAGGAACATAAATGCAAACTGGAATAATGCTTTTGTTTTTAAATTTTATAATTAAACCAAAGACAGCAAAATACCCAAATCTAGAATCTCATCACAAGAAGTTGAGAATCAGAATATCCTTTTCAATAAAATCTTTTAAAGAAAAGGGGAAAGAACCCAAAGTAAAGTTTATAAACATCCTAAATATTAGAGCTGGTACATAAAAATCAAAGAATGTAAAATTAAAGTAAAAGAAAAATATGAGAGCTAAAAGAGAAAAATATAGAGAATGTGAATGCAACATGAAATAACAGATAACGACAATAATATAATAATTATCACAAATTAACAAATGTAATTGATCCACAGTTTAGTTACATCGGAATACTTGGTAAATATACACACCATTTGGAAGAGTATTATACAAATACGAACAATGACAGTGAAGGTAAATACAAATATATTTGAAGGTAGTACAATCAGAGAATGGCACAGGTCTTCTTCGTGGTCCTTGTTATTGAGGTTCTTCTATTTGCCTCTTCAAGATCCCGTTTCAGTTTCTGAATTTCATTATTTGATGTAGTTTGGATTGATCTATAATTTTCTTCAGCTTTAAGTCTAGCAACCCTCTCTTGTTCCAACTTTTTCAAAAGATTCGCACTTTCTTCCTTCAGCTTTGATTCAACCTATATATTAAAATCAAATTTATATATAAGTTTCCATAAATCTAAACTCATAATATATTTAACCTTCAACAAGTAAATTAAAACAAAAAAATTGGAAGATATATAGTGCATAGTCATGTACCATATCAGTCATTCGTTTAAGTTCATCTTCATATTTTTTTTGCAGCTGCATTTTAATTCCAAACGTTTCTGCTTTTGAAAATCCTTCCATGGAGTCAACCAATTTGTTATTGTTATCCCTAGTTCTTGCTTTCTCCTACACAGTGAAGTAATGATGAACTCGTTGACATCATACACTATTTATCCAAATCTCAACACATAACAAATACTCTCAAAATTTACAAAAATTTCACCTTCAATTGCATAAACAACTCATTTGTAAAAGGTTGTCCACCATTATGTGACATAATCGCGTCCACAAGATTCAGAAGTTCTTGAACTTGTTCCAATCGCTTATTTTCGTCCTTAATTCTGTTGTTAAAAAGTACTTTACGATTCCCACATAAGGTCAGGATATCCTACAATCATGTTCATCCTTCATCATAATCAACAAAATTCCATACTTTACATGGTAGATTTTGAGCAAACAGTGTTAAAAGTAGCAATGACAACAAGTGTTCTTTCTTTAGAATTAGGGGAATGAAATAAGCATATGTTGCTGAAGTGATGATAATATAAGAAACCTGAAGAGGTTGTGGACAGTTGGAACCTAAGTAACCATCAAGTGTCTCTTCATCAGCTTCTAATTCATCCCCTCCAGTGAACACCACAAGCATGTAGTCAACAATTTTATGTCCAAATAAAGCTTGTAAGGTAAGAAAAGTGGCTTGTTCTTCTTCAGTAAATCGTGTTTTAATAGAGAACACCAAAATGATGCCATGAATTCCATCTTTCGCCATATCAATACATTTCACTATTTCCTTTCCAGCAGAATTAGTTCCATCAAATAGTCCTACAAAACTTGTTCAGTTTTAGATTCAAGACTAGACATTTATGTTAAGAAAATTTAGTTTTTTATTTTAAACAAATCCAATGCTTCAACATATCACATGGACTAAAAATGAAACCAAATTACAAAAATTAATAATCATACAAAGAGTGACAAGTTATCATGTTTTACCTGGAGTATCAATAACATTAACAATTGGTCCATCTTTTATGGCAGTTGTTTTCATTTCACAGACACTTGTTACACCAGTGGAGCTTAACCTTGACTTGAAGGCTTTTCTTCCAAGAATACTATTTGCTGTTGCACTTTTTCCATTCCCAGTGCGTCCAACTAATACCAGTGTCTTCGCCTCAGTAGTTGTGGAAGCTTTTCCCATTCTAATAAATTTAGGGTTACAACTGCAAGGAAAAAAAGTTGAATAAGAAATATAAGAACAAAATGGTCGTGGATTCTTTTGAGAAGAAAGAATAGGAGACACATTTAGGAAACAAATAAGATTTGCAATATGATCAAAGGTGTTTCAAATCATCATCTAAATGTGTTAAATGAAGCAATTAATATCACGTTGAGATCAAAGTATTTGGCATCAAAAAATAAATGACATAATGGTTTCGTGCCTATAAATATTTTGAAGAAACTTGTGTACGTGTGATGTAAAAAATAAAAGGAAGAGGATAAAATATGTATCAAAGGTTGTTTCAAGTTTCTATGATATGATTACTTGAATTTTCCAACTTTGAGAGTCATTTTATACTTGAGTAAACACAAATCATGAATCTCAAACAGCAAAATCAAAGTGTGTTTGAAAATAACAAGAAAATAATATACCTAAGCTAAAAGTGTGACAAAGAATAAATAGGAGGATCTGGGTAGGTAAGTTAGAAATGATAGAGAAGGAAAATTCCCTTATTACTCATAAAGAAAAAAAAAATACATGGAATCCACAAATTATTAAGTATTTGATTCTAATTAACTTACAACTATAACTATACTACTATTCTTTTTGCACATCTCAATTTAGGTATATTATTATCTTGTTAGTTTCAAGAAAACTTTGATTATACTTTTCAATGTGCTTGGTTTTTCTCTTACGCTGTCATAAACAAACATAGTCTGTTACTTGAGCAAATATAAAATGGTTCATAAAGTTAGAAAATTCAATTATAAAGCATATGTAAGTTTTACATGAGACAATTTGTAAGAATCTGAAGTTGATACTATGGAAGAAATTTGTTTGTCTAATGAGGTAAGAACCCTAGTTTTAGTTGGACGTAGCGGAAATGGAAAGAGTGCCACCGGAAATAGCATTCTTGGAAGGAAGGCCTTTACATCAAGGGCAGGATCCTCCACTGTAACGCGTATTTCTGAGTTGCAGAAAAACATCATAAAAGATGGAACGATGGTTAATGTTATTAACACCCCAGGTAATATATAATAATCTATCAGATACAGTTTTAACTTTGTTAAAACCAAAACCTAAAAAGATGGTTTTTTTTTTTAATTTTTTTGGTAAACATAAGAAGTATTTAATCTGAAAACTAAAACCTGGCACATTTTGCAGGACTGTTTGATGGAAGTGATTCAGGAAGAAAGGAAATGATGAAATGCATTGATTTGGGTAGTGAAGGAATTCATGCATTTGTTGTGGTGTTCTCTGTTAGAACCCGTTTCTCAGAAGAAGAACAGACAACTTTGCGAATTTTGCAGACTTTATTGGGTCCCAAAATTGTTGAGTACATGATTGTGGTCTTCACCGGTGGGGATGAGTTGGAAGATAATGAGGAGACACTGGATGATTATTTAGGTCAAGAATGTCCTCAACCTCTTCAGGTATATACAATTTTTTGTCTTGGTTCTTGAGTGGTAACTCTTGTTATTATACTTCAATCGTGTATTGAATGTTGATGAGTTTTGGATATTGTTGTAGGATATTTTGGTTCAATGTGACAATCGTAAAGTGCTCTTTGATAACAAGACCAAGGATGAAATGAAGCAGCAAAGACAAGTTGAACAGCTTCTGAGTCTAGTGAACGTGGTTATATCACAGAATCATGGGCAACCATATACAAATGAGATATTTGTAAAATCACAGGTGAAAAGTTTAAATTTTTTTAAAATATTTCTTACATTTTATAGAAACTCATTTTGATAAATTAAAGACAAAAGTGCAAATGCAACACAAAAAGGTTGAATATTTAGATCAAAGACTAATTAATACATGTTAGATAGTGCTTCATCATTGTTCTTTTGTTATTGCAAATAATAAATTTATTTAAATATGTAGGAGGAATCAAAACTGAAAGAAGAAAGTAGAAATGTATGGAAAAAGTTGGAAGATGAAAGAGTTGGTAGACGTAAGATTGAGGAAAATTACAAGTCAATGGAAGCTACGCGGAATGAAGAAATTAAAAAATTGAGATGTAATCTTGAGTTATCAAAGAGAAGATCACTTTGGCCCATTTGTAACATTCTCTGATTTTATTCTTATTTTATCAAACATAAAATGCATTTGTTTGGACTAACATTGCAATATCTCCATGATGCTTATTTATGATCTTAATTTGGTGTAGTTGTATATTTTGCTATTCAAATAAATAAAATACGTGATGTCTAGTTTTAAATATTTTAGAAGGATATTGTTGAAATTAAATAAGAATAAAAGTCTTAATATATATAAGATGAAAAATACACGAGAATAAAAAATAAAAAATAAAAAATATATCCAAGCATGTCCCTTCAACAGTTTACTTTTATTGATTTGAAAATATGACCTTATTTCTTTGTCTTCGTATCGACCAAACAACAACTATCCATGAACAGTATCTTGCACATGTTGCCAAAAGTTCAGGACTTGGTGGCAATGCTCTTTCGTACTTTCCCATTCATACTGTGGCGTCCATAACAGAATCTACATCAGAAAAAGAGATATATCATATTTTGAGGGAGGTATTTAAAGACATTCGTACCATATAATATACATTACTTTTACAAACCAAACCATATTTTTCTTCACATTCAATCATCCTTACCCTCTTTACTATGTCTTTTCTTTTTTTTTCCTCATTCAAAACACTAATGATCATGCTCATTCATTTCTAAATTGAAATTCACTTTGTACACAATTTCTCTTTTTTATTACCCTTTCTCGGTATCTTAAAAATGAAAAAACAGATTGAACGACATAAATTTTACTTCCAAAGAAAAGATATTACTTTTTATGATATTTATCTCTTTATTGAACCATGAATATATAGTATTATTCAAACCAAGTAAAAACTAATATTTTGTGTGGTTAAGATGAAACGTGAATAAGTAAACAAAAAAGAAAAGAATTAGAGTAGAAAATTGACATGGCTTAATTTAGATGAAAAAGGATGTCTAGGAGGAAAAATGAATTATTTTTAATCATTATTTTTAATATTTTTTATTTATCATTATTATAAAAAAATTCCCCACTATATACCCACAGTCGATTATGAGGTTAGTTTGAATTTTAGTTGTGGTAGATTTAAGCGCAACATAATCGAATCGATTATGTCACTTTGTCCATACTTTTTTATTCACAATTTTGAGAAGAAAGTTTTTAAGTTATTTTTCTTTCTAAGTTAATAAGCCATTTTTCTTACTTTCTTTTTTTCACTATACATTTTAACTACATTACGAGCTATGGATAAACTACATAGAAACATAAACCATGTTCCCACACATGAGGATGTCTACATAAAATCTAAACATCTTTTGCAAATAGATTTACCTTTAACATCATTCCATGAGGACATGCACCTACTTAGCCTGAAAACATACAAACTCAAAAGAATGAGACATAAGTATCAATGAATGCTCTAAAGGATTCTTGGGTGAATCTTTTTTATCCTGACTCTTGAACATACCATGAATTTTTTTTTTTAAAAAGAAAAGGAAAAAAAGAAAAAAAGAAAAAAAGATGAAGATATATATTGATACTTTTAATAATTGCGAAAACATTAGTAGACTAAGATAATGTGTATGGGATGCATAAGAGTTGATGAGCCTAAGATAATGACTTCACAAAGCACAAGTAAAATAGGTTGCCAAATTACGTACGCCTAAAATCAAAATTCAATTAAGAAGATATTATTCTTTTTCATTCTTTAGTTTGACTTTATGAAAAAACAAATCTGATTTTACTAACATTCAGACATATAAACTATTTTCCATTTTTAGAACAACCTTCTGTACACAATTGATCCACACTAAATAAATATATTTGAATACATATTTTATGGATTTTATCCATTTATATTCTACTGCATGTACACCAACAGAAAATTGTCATATGAATGATTATTACTACGAATTTTTAAAACCATTTTTCAGTAGTGCACACCGATGTCAACCATTCCCACCATGACAAGCACTTCACATATAACAAGTATAAAAATGACTAGTTGTTTAACGAAAATAACTGCAGATGGACTGAAAATGCTGTGACTGTAATTCTTTCACCATAATACGTCCCCCATGACCTAGTAAAAGTTTTACTCCTCCAACAGACATGCAAATGAATTTGGTCTCAAAAGCACGAAAATGAAGGATGGTGGTGACTCAACAATGAATCACCATGAAAATTCATATGATGTCCTTGAACTCTTTTTCGCCCTCTACATCGCAAGCTTGTTATAGAAATGCTAAAACAAATACCTTTTTCCTTTTAAGTGGAGGGGGCAATCATATGGTGACTTCCCTTTTTTTCCTTTCTGCCTATTCTCTCATAGCAATACTAAGCTTCAATAACCTGTGCCTATCCAGCAAAAGAAGGTAAAAAAAATCTAAGCCTACAAAGTTGGAAAAGTGCTTTGAGGATGTCCACCAGAAATGAGTAACCAAGCAGCTCTCACATAAAAGCAGTTCGTCCACCCCTTCTGCTATGCCTATCATACGCCGTATTAAATTTGTCCACCAGCTCATTCATTCCACTACACCAAGATAAAAAACATTTGTTAATATCATGTGCATTCAAGGTTACCCGCTTTAGAACTGAAATAGTGTTCACTTTTTTTTTCCAAAAAACATATATTTTACATCTTGAGAGACATTGGGATAATATGACAATTTGATTAAGTTCCAACCCACCAGCAACATTTTTAATGAAGCAAAAGGTAGAGCAAGTATCTAAGATCGTTAGACTAAAGGAGGGTTTTTATGGCAAATTCAGCTTTCATGATTGTACAATACAAGATCGAGCATAGTGACATAATACAATCCATCATATATATTAAAAAGGTATAGGAAATGGCAAGAAAGTAAAAGGGAAGAAAACATTATCAATTTGGTAATGGTGTTTTTAACTATATGCTTCATTAGATAACTATCAAAAATTGTCCGACCACACTTATTTTCAAGGAAGTTTGGCTTAAGATAAACCACCTGGACCATTTTTTGTTATAAAAGGGGTGACAAACTCAAATTTCAAAACCTGAAAAAAAAATAAAGGCAAAGTACATGTCATACCTTGAGCAGTTGGTCAGCATTGCCAGGTAACTAATCAACAAGGTATCATTGTACTCCTAGAAGGGGAAAAAAAGACAGAGAGAAGTTTATATAAGCATTTATACTCCAACTACAAAGTTAAGATATCATATTGCAGAAATATTAAATCTTCAACACAACCAACTCTAATATCATTATTGAACTAAACAATAAAATTACCTAGTGTAAAAAGTCCTTATATAATTGTACAAGTGTCTAACTCCGCTCAAACAAATAAGCTATAGCATGAATCCGTGAATAATTTTAGAGACATGAACAGCTTACTTAACCAATGCATTCTTATGGCAGAGTATGTGTGTTTCTATTCTGGAAACCCATCACATGGTTAGAAACTAAAAACATGTGGATGTATAAGTGTGTGTAGTTGTATGCATATATTCCATAAACGTTGAATCTTGCATTAATGACATTATGTTAGGTAAGATGAATTCTGTTAGATAGGCCTTGTAACCTGTTACAATATGTAATTAGTTAGGCTGTTATAAATAGAGGCAGAAGATGATAGGGGAAGAGTTAGTTGATGAGAAATAATTTTGTAAGGTAGAAATCAGGCGCCCAAATTCCTAGGATTTCATTCTATCATTCTTGTTGATTTGCCTTTGCACATTCTGCCATCACACTGGTACAGATTGGGAATTATGGATTTGATCAATACAATCCGATTTCAATATTATTTCGATATATTTTCTATCAACTGTTATCAGAAAACCAATATTAGAGTTGTGGGTAGTACATACTGACAGATTCATGCTAAGGCCGTCAGGGTATACCAAGAATGTAAAACATTCCAGACATTGTTGAAGATGAGGGGAGAGATTGTGAGATTCAGAAATAAACTCAAGGAGGAACATCACGGAATTTCAGCCTTTCGACAAGTTGACACATGAATGGTGGGTTTCATGGCAAGATTGGGTTCAGGGACCTCTACGTAGGAAATTTTGGCATTATTGTCATTACCGTGAAGCCACTGATTCATGAATTAACAAAACAAAAGCCAATTTACACATAATTTGGGAAAATATTCAGCAAGCACTTGTATCCACCCTGTTGGAGATCCAAGTGAGTTAAGTCTCACGTTAAGTAAAAATGAAAAAATTGAGTAATATATAAGAAAGAAAAACTCATAACCCAATGTCTTAAGATTTTAAGTTGAAAGTGATATCATATTCTTTTATATGGTTAGCTCATGTCTCAATGTTCAAAATCTCCCTATTGTTAACCCCCTCGAAAATACCTAATAGTGATATTAAAGTCGATAGTTCGTTTCGTGATTAGTCGTGTAAAGAGTGATCTCTGTATAAGTTCGTTTGGTGACTAGTCGTGTAAAGAGTGATCACTGTATAAACAATCTTCCTGACGGTGGATTATGCAAGTGTGTTCTGTTATGATGAACGATGGTACAAGTGAGCTCGAGGAAGATGTACCAATGTGAAGAGACACACTTGAGGGGGAGATTATTGGGAAATCCAAATATGAGTCTAACTCTCACATTAAGTAAATGAGAAAATTGAGCAACGTATAAGAAAGAAAGACCCATAACTTAATGCCTTAAAATTTGGGTTGAAAGTAGTATCATATTCTCTTATATGATTTGACTCGTGTCCCATTGTTGAAAATCTCCCTATTGTTAGCCTTCTCATAAATACCTAACACACCCACCACATCAGAACGGGAGAACCAATAGTGAACTTTTTCCCCAAGGCATTCAGAAGTAGGGATACTTTTATAAAAATTTGGGCAGGAATAGCATCTATGGTCCAACTTGCCTAGGGTGTACTATGCATGTGATTAATGGTTGAAGGATATTAATGTCCTCTATATACTATATTATGCTGCTAGCATGGTGGACTTAATTAATACAAAGACCTGCACCCACATAGCTTTCACCTGTTATATCTATTTTGTAATAAGGGTTCAGGAGACCATAAGCCCACTCCATAGCTTATAGAAGGATGACCCATCACAGTTCATGATGGTTGCTCACACAATTCAAAGTAAGAATGCTGAAAGCATAACAAGAGAAGACAAGTTTATTAACCCTCCCTGCCCATTGCATGTAAAGGCTGATTTTAACGCACCAACAAGCATGCTGTCAAGTCCAAAATTCAGAATGAACATATTACATACTCACCATCAAGAAATCATCTTGAAATTTCCCGGACTCAATAGCAGGCAATCTTCTCAGGAGACTTGACACTTGTCTTAATAGTGAATTCTCACAAGGAACATCACCTGCTTTTAATCAGTAAGGTTAATGATCATATTTATTGGAGTTTCAGTATAAGAACATATATGATTTATAGTTGGTGCAGGAAATGGAAATATTGCTCACAGAATCACATTTTTATTATACTGTTTTGGAATTGTGATTAGCAAAAGGTGAATAGAAATACTTAAAACCATAATTGGGTTTCTTACTTTTAAAAACCATTTCTGAAAACCTTAAAGATAATTGGTTATGTTTTAAAAAAGAAATGTCTTAATACATTTCTTACCAGTTAAAAAAAGAGTTTTTTAAGAAAGAAACATTATTTCAAAACTTTAACATGGAGTGTTTATGATACAATAATCCATCCTAAAATTTAGTATATCATAATTCGTAACTGAGGATCCAATTTTCTAGAATAGGAAGACATGTAAAAAGATATATGGCAGTGATAACTTTAAAATTACACTGCTACTATGACTCACCTCAATACTAATCATAAATTTATTATAATTTCAAACAGATACATGTTGAAGATTTTATTTGCAGGTCACCCTCTTTGCAATAATAGAGAAATATATACTTCTAAACTTAGTCAAACACTCAAGTATTATCAATGTATATAACTTTTGTCGATGGGATACCCTAATACCTTTTTGCATTGCTAGAAGATAGTGATGTAGCACCTTTATTCTGCTATGAAGCATTTTGATGGCACTGTGTATACCAGTAAGATGAGCAGCCACTGCAACAAGAAAACATGGTCTATTATTGGATACAACTAAAAAACCCAAACCTTATCCCACTAGGTGGAGTCAGTCTCGTGCATCAATCAACACCATTGACATCAACAAAGACAAAATTCAGTAAACTTAGATCTTCCCCTACTTGTTTTAACGCGAATATATTCCAATTTGGGCGCTTTACTTGCTGAAACCCTCACTGATCTTATTTGAACAATGTCATAATAAATTCTACAAAATTTCATGTTGACTATTAACTACACAAAACAACTCTCCCCTTCATCCAGACTTGTGACAAGCAAAGTAAAATTCAATATAAGAATATAATAACATAAGTATACTTACATAACAATAAGACCATGATACCAATAAGAGTCAAGAAAAACACATACATTGTGTAGCAGCTGAACCACCATCAGATGGCTTAAGATGAGCAACGTGATCAACTGATATTCGTTCTGCTTCAACAGTCTACAACAAACAAGGGGAGAGAGAGAGAGAGAGAGAGAGAGAGAGAGAGAGAAAAGGGAATCCAAGTCAGTCAATTTGTCGAGGAACAGTGATTTATAGCATGAAAAAGGGTACAACAGAAGTCCTAAAACCAACCTCAATAGTGTAGCTTGAGAGAACAAAGATAAGTTGTGGAATCCCATCTATGACATGCAGTTCTGTAGTTGAAAATTGTAATAGCAAGCACCATCAGTAACACAATTACTTTCCTCATTACAATTAGCAGGCAATATGACAACAAAGAAATGACCAAATATATACCAATAAAACAAAAACATAGTCCTGCATTAGAAAGAAAAGAACAGAAAGTAGAAAAGTTCAAATGAAAAGAAGGGAAATATTAAGAATTTGGCAAATTAGCCTTTTAATATACTGATATGTATCAACAATGAAGATTCTATTAGGTAACAACATGCCATTATTGATATTTAAAGACTATACAGGATTTCAAGGGGAAAACATTATACATCGTATGAAAAGTGAAAACAAATAACAGAAACAAAAAGTCTTTTCCCACGCTAGGAAGGGATAGCTACATGGATGAAACAACACTATAGTCTTCTGTCATAAATCACGTTACTTAAGAGTATAAATAAAAGAAAAGGCTTAAGAGATTGATGAATCTCTTAGTTGATCCATTAATCTCTTACATAGGTATAACAGGAACCGATGCTACAACTCTCAGCTAAAAGAACAGTTAATAATCATTTTCAGACCAAAGATCTTGGAGGTCTCAAATATTTATTTAGTATTGAAGTGGTTCAATCAAAGGAAGGTATTGTAATTTCTCCAAAAAAAAAAATTCTCAAGATATCCCCAAAGACAAAGACATGATTGATTGTACTCTGGGGGATAGTCTAATGAATCCAAATTATAAATTAATGGTAGAACAGAGTGAACCTTCCTCTAACCCAAGGAGATATATAAGACGTACTGGAAAACTTATTTATCTTACTCTTAATATCTTTTATAGTTGGTGTTATTAGTCAATTTATATAGGCACATTGTATTGACTATTGAAATCCTGTCAATCATATCCTAGCATACCTAAAAAACCTCCAGATAAGGTTTGTCATATAAAGATATAGAGGATACCCAAATATCTAAGAGTTGTGATGTTGATTGGGAAGAATCTCCTACCGTATGACATTGTGTTTTCATTGAAAGGAATATTAATTTTAGAAAAGCAAGAAAATGTAATTGTCCGATCAAGTGTTGAAGTTGAATATAGGACAATGATAGTAAAAATCACGTTCTAAAACGTAAGATCATACACATCTATGATCTTCTCCATTCTTTCCAATTTTAAATCACTTGTGGTGGATCACATTGGATCGTCATTGAAGATTGAGACTCGCATGAGTGCGACAACTCTCTCATGTGGGAGTGGTGGCTCTCATGTAGGTGCAGTGGTGTCTCTATCATGTGGGTGGGGGTCTTCGTCAAGCATATGAGCACTTTGTCATGAGGGAGCAACACTTCTTTCATGACATGTTTCATCACATTTTGTCCTAGTTCACTGGATTAGTTTTCACAAAGTTGTCCTACTCCTCAGGTATGACATTATAATGTAAGCAATGCTTTCCTTTGTTTTACTAAAAAAATTAAAATTTGAGAGCATATTACCCAACTTTTGTAGATGAATAGATGCTCTTTCGTCTTCACAAATGAAGTGTTGGCTATTGTAAAGTCATACGCTAATAAAAAACTAGGATAGATTTACCTTCTACATTTGCTTATACTAGATCATAACCCCATGTGAACCCTAATATTGTCTAGTCTGCTCCCTACATGACCATTTAGATCCTCACCTATTAAAATCTAATTATTCTAATGGTATTACTAGAATTATATCATTTAAATCATCCCAAAGTTTTATTTTACGATGCTATTCTAATCTTACCTGGGGTGTATAGAAGTACTCAGCATATCAAAGGTCTCCCCTTCCTCTACAAGTTTTAGAACTATGATCCAATCTCCTAACTTTTTCACACCCTCAACATAACTCCTCAAATAATTTTCTACAATTATACCCACCCCATTTCTTGATTTAATTTTGCCAGTGAACCCCAACTTAAATCCAGAGGTGTCTAGTTCCTTCGCATTTTCTCCTATCCTCTTGACATAATGTCCACTAAACATAATTTATCCTCTTAATCATAGTGTCTACTGTTTCCATTGACATACCTACAAGTGTGACTACCTTACATGCTCTAAAACAAATCCTCCTCACATCAACTAACTCCATTGTCCACACTTTCTCATGAAAAATCATGAACCTTGCTTATTCTTCACAACACCTAGGTGTCAATGACAATGTACACAAGTCATGTTTCTTCTGCATAACAGCCTACCTAACATTAACCCTATCACCTAATTGATCCATATGAAATATATTCAACAAGTAGCTTTTGTAGAGACTACCTAATACAACCCCCACCTTTTCCTGAGGGACCAGCTACATAAAGAAATGAGGAAAGCAAAGCACCACTTAGGCACATTAATATGGGTTGTGAGGAATTTTTTTTCTGTAATCCCATTAATGAAATTGAAAGTTCGTATAATGTAAACAAACTCCCCAAACCACCAAAAATATGCATGCCATAATAGATTAGATTATAGAAGTTATCAGCAATGAAAAACTCATTTATGCACGCAAAACTAACAATTCTACATCATAATAGCTATGTTAATTTAGCAAAAATTTCAGGATTTTACTAGAAACTTGTTGGAATAGAATCAAGGATTTATAGGTCTCTCAGCAAGGATGCAAATACAAAGCTCTCATAATGGAAAATGGTAGAACAAATGTTTGATCAGATAATTTGAGGGGCGTTTATTTACTGATATTGGAGGTATTGCAAATGAGGTTGCCTGCTTCAACTTGAACCTTAATCAAAAGTGAATTCTTGTAGAACTTTAATGATAGGCTTGGATTGATACTCATTCTGATGTTTAGCTGTGGGTTTTTTCAAGGATATTTCAATATTGTCAAGGGGGTATCTTGTGGGAGTTTGTAAAATTATTTTCTTCCAATGATAATATCAAAAATATTAATTGCACTGAATAACTGAGGCACTACACAATAGAGTATATGTTCTCTGCCCTGGATAAGGCATTTTGGAATTCATAATCCTGCTACAAAGAACAAATATTGCTTGAACAGCTTTACACAAGAGAAATACTAATGTGACTTATAGTGGTTAGACGGACTCAAATAGATCTCTCTCCCAATATGAGTGTCAGGTATTCATCCATGTCTGAAAATGTGCCTCATTCATGTCTAAATTGCACAGCTGTGCAATTCCTTTGAAAAAATGGCATCTTGTTGAGCAGTGGGTTAAGTCATTTTTGTCCTAGTTTACTGGATTAGTTTTTACAAAGTTGTTTTCAAGGGTTAGGAAGTAAAATCTTGTGGAAATGTGCTGTATAAGAGATTATATGGCTTTCATTAGTCTAAAGCAATGCCTTGATCATAGAAAGTGTGTCTCACCTCTGAATTAGAATGATTTTGTGTTCACTGTTCAGCCCATGGTCTGTGTTAAACATACTTCACTATCTCAGGTTTTTCTGTTAGTATTACTGTTGTTGAGGATTTTCTATCCTCCAACCTTTTGTACTTCTATTTCTTTCTCCAACAAAATTCTATTTTAAAAAAACATCTGTAAAAAATAAAAGAATGGAAATACAGTACAAGTAACTAAAGATGTTCCTAGTTTTTTTTTTTCATTTATTGCATGTGGTTGAAAAAAAAAATGACATTATAAATAACACAATGGTTGGAGATTAAATACCACTTTCATAAATACTGACTGGGAGATCCTTCTGAGAGTGATTGATAGAAGGATTGAGAAGAACATAAACTGGACTTTCATTGATATCCATCAACTGTTAAAGCAGAGGTTCATATATAATCAGAAACTACAGTAACTTTAATTTCAAGGTATTTGCTTTCTGAATAATGACTGGAAGATACTTTCAAATAAACGAAGGCACAAATATGTAAATTTCGTAAATCAAATTAAAACCACGAAATGACATCATTAACCAGTACAAAGAAGCTAAAATAAAGTATAAAAGGAAACTACAATCATGCTCAGCATAGTGATAAAAATTTGTAATAATAGTGCAGTAAGGTCTTATAAAACACCATAGAACATGACAATGACACTAAAGAAAACAGAGAATGAAAAATTAATAGTGTTGCAATTGTATAACTTGAGCCATTCACATCTTTTAGACAAAATATCCAAGAACCAAAAAAACTAAGAAAACCTAGAAAATGAATGAAAAATTTATGAATTACTTCCTCATAGTTTATGCATACCTATACAACTGCAAATAACTAAATTTCCTGCTCTTGAATACAGAATATTATAGTGGGGCTAATGTTCTGCTAGAAAAGTGATAACTCATAGTTTGTATCCGTTATAATTTATAAACTTTTTACACTGAATAACCATTTTCCTTATTCCATATTGTTATGTTGTCCAATTTAAAGAATTAAAGTATCTATCAAACCATCACCCATACATGTAGAGTATAGAGATCTAACCGAACCCACGTTCCAAAACCATTTCCCATTAATTAATGCACCAGTATCAGCCACAATAATTTGTTTGTCCAGAGATACTACATATAGACCAAGAAAAATTTTGCAAGGCCAGTCAGAACATATAGATGACCTGTGATCAATTCTTCTCTAAGAAGGGGGGAGTGCAGTCAATAAAGAGAAAAAAGTGTAGGGCCAAAATCAATGCTTAGTATGAAAGAGTAGATGCTACAGAAGCCATAGCCAAATCAAGGAGCAGACAGATATTCCAATTATGCAAGGTCCAAGGGATGACGAAAATTTATGAAATAAAAAACAATGCCAAGTAGTCAGAACCTGGTAAAGATTGAAAGTCAAACATAGCAAACTTACTTAGATAAAATCCCCCATGTGATAGGTACATGGTGGTCAGACAAACCAAAGCAACTACCAAGGGGCTAATGTGCAGACCAAGAGTGATAGTCCAAACAGCTAGCTAAGAGAGGAAAAGTATGAATGAAATTCAGAGAACAGGTGAAAGCACAGATCAAAATGCAAAAAGGTTGATATAGGAGTGTTCCTAGTAGTATGTAGACAAGGATCTTGAAGAAATTAGAAATCATGCAAACAAGCGAGAGTTGAGAAGAAAGGAGCTCCATAGTGAAGGCAGAAAGAGCGGACTGTTGAATTGAGACCCCCCTTGGTGGAGGAAGGAGAAATGGGATGCTAAAAAGCCTAAATTATTTGGTGACAACCCTTTTAACCAAAATAAACATCCATTAGCTTCACCCTTAGCCCAATCTTAATATAGCATTTTTTTTCCAACTGAATTTCTCTTTATCATACCCTTATTCAAAACATATATCCATATGAAACCATCTTCAACCAGCATTTATTCCTCTTCCTTGGGCATTGAACTTGTCCCAAACACTCTCATGAACCTAAACCAACCTATCAATCACAGGAATACTCAAATTGAAACAAATTGTAATAACACAAACTTACAGCTTTGTGAATATGCATGTCGGATTCCTCCGCGTCACTCCCAGTCGAATACCACCCCAGTATGTAGAAATGTGGGAACACCTTCTTATCTGGGAAAAAAAAGGCCTCCAATAAAATCAACATATCCAAAATCGTCAAATAAATAAAAAACAACTTTTCATATCTAAGAAAAAAAGAAAATTACGAGATCTGTTAGGATAAAATTCTTCGTATCTAAGAAAGTTTCAAGAAATTCATTTTCCTTCTTATTTTCTTGTCCAATCAGTGGTTACAGAGAAGTTGTTCCAAATAGACCCAGTTCGTTCTCAAAAATGAAGCAGAGAAATCAATGCCACATCGAAATTATAAACCAAACAACGCCAATGTCAGATCAAGGTCGTTAAAGGTTTAAAACAGGGGTCACGGTTTCATTGACATCTTTACGTAGCGTAAAATTGTGGAGAAATGCCGCCACAATCGTGATCGGTAATAGATTCAAAAATGTTGACGCCACCAACCATTGAAAAAAAAAAATACTCAACTAAATTAGACTTAAATGAAAAAATTAGAGAAAGAGAGAGAGAAAGGAATACTAAACAGAGCTCTTGCTTCTTCTCGAGGAAGGTGCGATCAAGGGAATGCGTGGAAGGATCATAGAGAAGTTCGAAGCTGTTGAAAATCTCGACAGTCCGGCCCTTCTGGACGCCTATGACGCAGCCATAGACCCTCGGGGGGAGGGGCGAAACGACGCCGTCGCCGCCGTTGGGTGCGGCTGCGTTGTTGTTGTTATTGTTGTTGTTGTTGTGCGGTGGTGCGAGCGTTGGGTTCATCTGAGACTTGACCCTTGTGTAATGGTCGGAGATGTTTACGATTACCAAAGGATGCAGCTTGAACGTCAATCCGCTACTCGAGGAGGAGGCCATAAGCAACGAATTTTGGGGGTGTAGGGTTCAAAGGTGAAATCGGAGTTAGGTTAGGGTTTGTTGGCTTCAGAATTGGGGCGTGAAAGAGAAGAGAATGCTCTGAGCTCTTCTTCTTTCCCTCCTGCTGCTGCTGCTACTTTCTTTCCCCTCTTCTTTTCAAGGCAAAAACCATGAAATCAAATTTTCCTCCAAAGTTTTTAATTAATTTATAAATTAGTTAACAAATTAATTGTGAAATCATTTATAGAAACTATAGATCTTATCATCAATTACTAAATGTTTACCACGATGCTTGATAACATGTTTTGGCACCCTTCTTAAAAATAGTAACTTTGTTATTTAAAAAAATAAATTATAAAATAAAATGAAACTGAAACTTAATATATTATATACTAGATAAATATAAATGTTGGAAAGATTAATATGATGTCGTTGTAGTATAGTGGTAAGTATTCCTGCCTGTCACGCAGGTGACCCGGGTTCGATCCCCGGCAACGGCGATTTCGGAATTTTTTTCTCTGCTTTTTTGAAGTTGCTTTATTCATTCTACTTCTTTATAATCATGGTTTAAAATTAAAGAAAAAAATGTTTATACAGCAGTGAGAATAGATTGACCTGATAATCATAATAAAAGTTAATTAGTCTGTTAAAATATTTAAATACTTGAAGCATGAATGCATCCTTGAAAGGACAAAACCCAGAAAATGACCCTTTAGTTCGCCTTTATGGTTTAGAATTTTAAGGATTTACTACTGTTTTTGGTTCATATAAAAAAGTAAGTAATAAAATATTCAAATGTATATTAAATGTTGACATTTTTAAAAAATTAAATATATGGAATTGACTCTAAAACCTAATATTGAAATTGACGTATAATTACTTAAAACATGAGAGTGAAATTTTTGTTGCTAATGAATATGATTCCTTGTTCTTCTTCTTTTTTCAAATGATACTCTGATTTAATATATATGTTGAATCAAAGTTGAAGGAAAAAAAGTGTAAATGTCATGAAAAAGATAGAAGAATAAAGAGTTGGTAACTTAAGCTAAGGGAAATTATAAGTCATTTAAAAGTGCGTCGAATGATTAAATTTTTGAACTCAAATGGGATCATAAGTTGGGAAATAGAAGAGCCTCTACACGTAGATCTTTTGGGCCTTGTGCAATTCTCTCGTTTTGGTACCTCTTAAGCATTTGTCATCATATTATTGTTATTCCAAATGTTGTATATATTTACAATGGATTGATTAAATATGTTACGCTTTCTAAAATGCATTCAAAATAGAAAGAGACAATAATAAATAATATAATTTTATGAGATTTGAATAAAAAAAATTGATATAATTTTTTTAATTTTTAACAATTATTTTGATTCTAATTCCACGTCTTCCTATAGTAATTTTTTAAGCACTATTATTTCTCATCCATGCTTTTGGGCATAAGAACAGGGTCAACATTATGGTTTACGTCATCTAATTATACCAAAGAAGAAGATTTTTGTATTAGATCAACTGAAAATTTTATTAGAACAATATTTTTCACGAAAAAACTTATTAAGTGGATTGAATGTTTATACAACCTTTAAAAAAGATAGAATGGATATGTATATTGAGTGCAAGTGAAATGTAACAAAACAGAAAAACAAAGACAGTACAATAAAATCTTCACGGTAGTAGGTGATATCATTTTATGTATGTGGTATTTATATATTCTACTACAAAAAATACATAAATTTCATTTTTTAATATAATAAATTGAAATTATCAACATACTTTTCTGTGAGTTTGTCCACAATTAAAATATAATTTCATCCAAATTATGATCCACAATGAGAAATTCTTTTAAGATTCAAGTTTTTATTTACTCCTCATAATTATAAAACAATTTGTTTTAGTTTCAATCTCTAAAAGTATGTATTTAAATCTCTACATTGATTAAAAGAAATAAAATGTAGGTGTGAATTAAAGAAAAAGTTTTAAAATATAGGAAGATATTTGTAATTATGGGTGTCAAAGTGAGTCAACCGGCTCACTTTTTGGCGAGCAGAAATTTTACAACCCAGTTCAACCCACCAGTTCAACCCACCACGGGTTGGTGGGTTAGATGGGTTGATTTACTAGCCCATATTTTTTTTATTTTTTAAATTATATAGAAATTTCATATGTAAAAACTTATGATTTCTTCCTTTTTTTTTCAATATCAGGTATCTTCCTTATTAACTGAAATTGACTTATTGAGTTTTTCATTAATAATAAAATCATTACCAATACAATTTACATTGACACTTTGATGTATTATTTCGCATTTCATACTATAAATTAATTTAAAAGAAAGAAGTCAAAAATTCATATATTAAAGAGATATACGTATAAATCAATAACAAACAACAAATAATGTATAGATGCTAAAATTTTCAAATAAAGATTCATCAATCTAATAGTTTAAGTTATGAAACAAATTTTTATCTTTGAAAATAATACAATATACAGTGGACATGGTGTAGTGATGTGATAGACAGATAATAAGACAAGTGACTAAAGTGAAGCACGTAATGGTGCAACGAACCACTAATAACAAGTTAAGTGAGAGTTTGACTTGTGACAACAACCAACAATGTAGGGTAGATATAAAACATGATAACATCAAATAGGGTTATTAAAGTATTATAATTATTTTTAAAAATTAAAATAAATGATTAATTAAGGTTAGTATGTTATTATAATTATTTTTAAAATTTAAAATTAATGGTGGACCAACCTGCCATAAACCGACTCGAACCCATTTAACCCATGGGTTAAGTGAGCCGAATTCATTTTTAGTCCATAATAAGTAGAAATAAAAAAAGATCGAACCCAATCCGACTCGGATCCGTGGTGAGCCGGATTGAGTCACGGATTAGAACTCATATTTACCCTTATTTGTAATTATAAAATCTAAATGAGTAACTAAAAGTTAATATATTTATAATTACATAGATAAATGAATTAAACTTTCTATTAATGCTCAAAGTTCTCTGAATAAAAAAAAAACTTGTAGTCAATGGCATTAAAGAAGCAATAAATAGAAAAAATTAATTAAATAAAACCACATTTAAATTCCATTGAGAATTACAAGAGAGTAACTTTGAACTTGTAATTCCATGAGCTGGTCAATGTTTTCCAAAAAAAAATGGAAATGACTAGTGGTATCACTGGGCTGGGAAGAGGAACTACCACTAGTGTTAAGTGTGAAATGGTAATCTGCTTTAAAAAAGTAGTATAAAATAAATAGTGTAGAAATAGTTATCTTCCTAAATTAAAAATATATACATTTGTAAAAAAATCATAAGAATTTGAAAGTGGTATGTAAATTGTTTTGGTTGGAAATGTAAATGAAAAAAAAAATGTTAAAGAGGGAATAGGTGTGGCACGTGGTGATGGGATAAATCCAAATCCATAGTTTGACTGAACCTTGATAGATGAGCAATTAAAGTAAGAAAATCTTGAGAAGTGGGGGCACCACTTTCCCTTATTCTCCGTAACCTGTCGTCCTGAATATCTTTCACTACTTTCCTTCTCTTCTCTTCTTGCCTGTGCATTAATTCAATTAGATTACACCCTATCATCCATCAATTACATGTCTGCAAATTACTGTCAATTTGAATTTTAAATATTTTTTCTTCGCATGAACACCGTGAAACTGCAGTACTAAGTTATTTGGACCTCATTAGAAACTAAACTTTGTTTGAAAATGTGTCATATTTAAACTTCAGTCTTTTGTAAAAATACAATCTGTAAAAGTCAATCTCACAATTTCTTCCATAAAATGCCTTAACTCGCAGCTAAACTTCACCTTGATATTTTTTCATTCCATTGTTTCCCTTACCCCACCATGATTGGTGCACATGATGATGAACTGTTTTGTATAATTGTCTTGCTTGAAAGCTGAAACATCCCCACAAATCTAGCAATTGTTTTTATTTAGCACAGCGCCACTAGACACGACCTGAACATCGTACCTGCTGCAGGCACTGTCTGTGAAATTCCAAAAGGTATTTTTTCACAACACAACCCCTTGTGCATATAAGCAAGGTTGGTGTGTTTTTTGTACTTTCATATGTGGCATACAGGTGTGTCCTCCCTCCACACGAATAGATAAACAAATAATAAATCACCATTCAACTACTTTTAAAGGGGAATTATTGCAAGCTCCCCAAACACACGATCAATGTGTGTGTTTCATAATGATTTCCATCAATACTTTTATTTATATTGCAGATGATTAACTTAAGTGTATTACATACGATCTTGAGACTCAAAATAAGAACTTTGGAAACACTATTGAAGTAGGGTAGTAGTAGCTTGCATAAGGTAATTGAATTTGTCGTGGCCCTTTCCTCTAAGTTTGACACCGGGTTCCCCGTTTACACATTTTCAAAACCCAAAGTTTTGGTGATAATTACGTCTTTGAAACCGGAAAGCCATTTGGACCACTTTTTTAAAAGAATGGCCAACATTAATCTTTTTTTAACTTACAATATAATAATATATTTTTCATTTAAAAACAATAACACCCGCCACGATTCCTCCCTCTCACGCAATTTCAGCTTCCCCAACAAACAACTCCGTCTTCTTTTCTTTCTTTTTTTCTCCCCCTAAACAAAACGTTGAAAAAGCGACCCAAAATCAAACCTATTAGCTCAGGGTAGGTACATGTACAGCCACACAAGTCTGAAATTCGGGACAACAAGCAAAAATAAAGCAGGTTTTATGATTAATAGATAACATTATCATACATTTAAATAGTTTAAAAAACGAAAACAAAAATTAGATACCTGATGCACTATTTACCATAAAAAAAAAAAAAAAGGAAGCCACAACCCCGGTACAGTCTCGTGTCGTATTAGGGTTTGTGCCAAAACAAAATAAAAATGGTAAAAGAAAAGACAAAAAGAAGATAAAGAAATTCTTTAGAGTTTTGGATTTGGACTCACTCACATGCACGCACGGAGGGAGAGTTATT